TAGGTAGTGTGAATACTTGTATCTCATTGCTCTTAATAAAGTCGTCGCGGTTGTTGACGTTATAAAGATATCCCTTGTACAAACTTTTTACAACACTTTTTTCAGGCTGACACCTTTTTCTTTAATGTTCGAGAACAAAGTAAGTCGTTTACTTGCTCTGGTGCCTTTGTTCGTGAAGTGATCGGTTCCATTATCTTTTTTTCTCTGGCTCTTTACTAAGATTATCCCCTACTTAATAGAAACGAACATGACTTTGTTTTGCTCTGTGTTGTTTCTTTGCCCTCGGGAAAAATTTAATAGAAAATGATTTTTTTGTTTGCTCGAGTGTCACAATGAAAAAAACGAAGGCTGTCAGTAGTCTACTATGTTGAAATTTAACCGTTTTGGTGCGTTCCCTTAATTAATAGGCATATGGGTCGAGTCAATGACGTCACCCATTGTTGTAACCTAGGGAAAAAGTGGATTCCCTTTATTAATATGTATAAGTGTCTTCCTCCATATATAATGAAGTGGATAGGTTTACTAATGAGCGTCACTCTACTACAATAGGAACAATAGGCCGGCCCAAACTTGCCCGGGCTCTTTTAACCCTGATTGGATAGTAAACAATCTATTATGTGTTCAACATAAAAGCGCGCTCTCCGTTCAGCATTTTATTCTTGCAATCGCTTTGTTAAGGAGAACATTTGTCCGAGTTCGCTCGTTTTGAGAAAACCTTTATTCACTTTTGGAACATCATGGCTTTCATTACCAACGTTCGCGAATTTCAAGCTCTCTTGGATGGTTGTTCCTCGACCCACGATTGGGAATTATTGCTGGAATCTATTTTGATACCCGATGAGTGGATCCCAATGGCGTATGCTCGGCTGTCGGAACTCGCAACCCAAGAGATACCGGTAAGTATTCTATTCCGTCTCTGAATTCTTTCCTGATGACGGTTTACGTTTAATTTGTACGTTGAAATAACGAGTATTCATTAATCTTTACTTAACGTTCTCTCCCACAGACTGAAATCAAACAGGACACGGGTAGTGATGAAGTCAACGATCTACTGAGCGATTCGGTAAGTTTTCCAATATGTTATGTCACCAAGTGTAAAAAGTTCACGCATCATTTATGTCCGTTTTGTTAATAGACTCGACTTGGGTTAGATTTGCATTTGATCTATTAAACTAAATCGCGTATCTTTTGTTATCCTCGTTAAAGAAACAAAAGGACTCCAAACTAGATTTGCTTCAACTTTTTGTAGACAGTTGTCATATAATACTCATCGAATATGTTTCCTTGCTGTACAGTTTACAACTGAAGAAATGCAGGCCGTAAATGAGATGGAACGTATGGCGCTAGACAAGGTAACTCCATTTCCTTTTTAATACGCAACGTACATGAATTGTTTAGTGATGAAACAACATTACGAATCTCCTTATTCGTTCAATGCCCACCTATTTCTTTAAAATGAGCGAGATTTCAAAACCTAAAGTAATCTGATTTCTTCTCTTCTTATCTAGAATAACAACGAGTCGACACAGTTATCAGCGCAAGATACACGGGATAATTATTTTGATGAGGTAAGCATTCATGATCATAAAATTATTTTTCTTTCATGGAATTAAGTTTGCACTATTAATTGTTCAATCACTCATGTGTATTTCTGTTGTTCGTTTTCAGTGGACTGGCGAAACCAGTGAATTACCCACTTGGAACCCGTCGGAAACCGTAAGTCATCTTTCATGTTCACTTGTTTAAAATACGCTGAGTGCAAACGTTCCTATTAAAGTTTTTGAAATGTATACCCTTTAAAAATTAAATTGTTTAGGCTTACCAAAAAAGACAATATCATTCATTCCCTGGTTTATAAGAGTCGGAAGACTATAAAAGTTACAGTTGGCTTACTATTTATGATTTTGAAGGCGTAAATAGTTTATTCTTGATCGATTCCCCTTTCCACTGATCACATAAGTGAATTCGTTTTTTTTCTTTTTTTTCTTTTTTTTTTTTGCGGATGATTGCACCCATATTGAAATCTATTCTATTCTTTTGTTGAAAATAAAAACAAAGCATTTGCTCAATGTACTAATATTCTTCAATCATCAAGCCGAGTTGAAGAAAATAGACAGCGTATTATATACACTCAAACAGGTATTACAGCAACTTAAGCTATTTCCACTAAAACGTTGATTATAGCAATATAGCAGAGTTATAATAGTACCCATGCGCTGCGCTTATCTCTGACAGTCAATTATGTCGTGGATCGACACATAAAATTAAATTTCTTCTGTTGATTCAACACCAAAAAACAAACCATCTACCCAGTTGTTGAGACGCTCAATGTATACAAATAGAGTTTATCGGAGTTTCTTGTTAGTTGAGCTTTACACTAAGACTAGGTCATATTTACTAATTATAGGAAATTCAATCCGGGGATGGTTACCCTCCACCAGCCAAAAAGCCTCGTAAAGAGCATCGTTGTGACACCTGCGGCAGGACCTTTACTCGCCCCAATCATCTAATTACTCACCAGCGAATCCATACTGGGGAGAAACCGTATGAATGCACCCGTTGCGAGAGACAATTTAGGAAAAAGGAAGACCTTACTCGTCTTCAGTCATTAAAAATCCTGCCGCTCTGCCTATTCACGTCATGGGTGTCACCAGATATAAGTCGTTGTGCACACTGTTCGCGCCTTTTTTGCGATAAAATGCTGATTGACCCATTAGTTTGTTTTAGAAATGGGGCCTATTTTTCAAATGAGTTGCGCTTCGAATTAGAAGCGGAAATGAATGGAGTGTATGATACACTTTGGTAAGCGTAGCTCCGTGTGTAAATATAGTGTGTCTTTTTTCATAATTGTAAATAATTTTTTTACTTTAGTTTTAATGTAAATATTTTTTCTGAAAGAGATTTGCGTCCTTTCGTTTTTCTATTTATTCAAGTCTTTTTTCACGGTCAGATGTTGTTGTCTTTTTATATGAGTGATGCAAAGAATAAATGTTGTACAGCAAGACAAGTGGGTGAAAAGTTATCTGACTTTTCAAATATCCCAATTGTAAAAGGTTTTTTAATAAAATGATTTCGTGTAAATATAATTTTCCTGAAAGAAATTAGCATGGAAGCATCCTTTCGTTTTCCTATTTTCAAAAAGTTGCAAGTCTTTTTTCACGGTCAGTTTTTGTTGCCTTTTTATATCAGTGATGTAAAGTATAATTGTTGTACAGCAAGACAAAAGGGTGAAAAGTTATCTGACTTTTCAAATATCCCAATTGTAAAAGGTTTATTAATAAAATGAATTGAGTGATAATGTTGATTATTTATTGATCGAGGGGAATGACATTGACGTAGAATTGACGTCAACAACAACACGATTTCACGCGGTAATGACGTAAAATAAACGTAGATCACCCTAGTGACGTCAAGACTTTTTCATATCAAATAGTCCACTAGTCCCTTCATCGTTAATCCATGCTTAGCAGCGAACTTGGAAAGGAGACCCACAAGATGGAATCAAACGTAAGAGCATACAATTCTTTTGGGGTCTTATAATAGTAAGGGGACTGAGTACTAGGCATAGAACCACGTGCTCCTACCACACCTAGTCTTATAATAGTAAGGGACTGAGTACTAGGGATAGAACCACGTGCTTCTACCACACCTAGTCTTATAATAGTAAGGGGACTGAGTACTAGGGATAGAACCACGTGCTCCTACCGCACCTAGTCTTATAATAGTAAGGGACTGAGTACTAGGGATAGAACCACGTGCTTCTACCACACCTAGTCTTATAATAGTAAGGGACTGAGTACTAGGGATAGAACCACGTGCTTCTACCACACCTAGTCTTATAATAGTAAGGGACTGAGTACTAGGGATAGAACCACGTGCTCCTACCACACCTAGTCTTATAATAGTAAGGGACTGAGTACTAGGGATGGGACCGCGTGCTCCTACCACACCTAGTCTTATAATAGTAAGGGACTGAGTACTAGGGATAGAACCACGTGCTCCTACCACACCTAGTCTTATAATAGTAAGGGACTGAGTACTAGGGATAGAACCGCGTGCTTCTACCACACCTAGTCTTATAATAGTAAGGGACTGAGTACTAGGGATAGAACCACGTGCTTCTACCACACCTAGTCTTATAATAGTAAGGGACTGAGTACTAGGGATAGAACCGCGTGCTCCTACCACACCTAGTCTTATAATAGTAAGGGACTGAGTACTAGGGATAGAACCACGTGCTTCTACCACACCTAGTCTTATAATAGTAAGGGACTGAGTACTAGGGATAGAACCGCGTGCTCCTACCACACCTAGTCTTATAATAGTAAGGGACTGAGTACTAGGGATGGGACCGCGTGCTCCTACCACACCTAGTCTTATAATAGTAAGGGACTGAGTACTAGGGATGGGATCGCGTGCTCCTACCACACCTAGTCTTATAATAGTAAGGGACTGAGTACTAGGGATAGAACCACGTGCTCCTACCACACCCATGGTCTAAGGGATGCCTTATTACTCTCATAGGTAAACGACAACGACTTTATGGACTCCCAAGAGGATGAGTTTCTTAATTATGCCTACGATCGTTTTGAGCAGACGGGGGGTGCGTTAGGACCTCTATTCCAATTTAACCTCACCCCCATTGGACCAAGAAGGCGATGCGCAACGTGGTTGAACGGGCACAGTTTCGCGCCACGTATCAGCAACTCCGGGACCCTACCCCTAGGGATAGTATTGGTCTAGCCCTCGTGGATGCTCTCCACACAGCCATTGATGGTGAATTGAGAAGAGATCATCGCCCCGATCATCATTTTGTCAATTTTTCCATTACGGCCCACCGATTCACCCATGCCTACCAATCGATTAATTTTACCGTGGGTGAATTTCTTAAACGGTCCCTCAAGTTGGATGAGCTCCTACAGTTGTTGGCTAACAAGCTCAATTCCAATGAAAGCTTTTCCCCTGAGTACGGGTTTCAAGTCGATATTACGATTGTTGCCATGCCCGGTCCCGGGTCTGGTCGTACAAAACATAACCCCGGTCGTCGCTGCCTGGAGAAAGAAAATAAGAAGAAAAGAAGTATCATTACCATCCGGAATAAAGACCAGTTATGTTGCAGCAGAGCTTTAGTCACCATGAGGGCTCATTGCCATCGTCAAGAGGGTGCAATAGAAAACAATCGGTACCTCAATATGAGAACAGGATGTCCTGTGCAAGAAAAGGAAGCCAAAGACCTTCACCGATTGGCAGGCGTCCCCGAAGGGCCTTGTGGTCTGGAAGAATTGAAAAAGTTTCAAGAGGCCCTCTCGCCGCACTATCAACTGCTTGTCATGTGTCGCCTCAAGCCCTTCTTTCTTATTTTCAAAGGACCAGAGGCCCTCCACCAGATTTGCCTGATCAAAGGCGGCGATCATTACGATGGATGTACGTCGTTTTCTGGTTTTATCAACCGCTCGTATTATTGTCATCTCTGCGAGAAGAATTTACAACACCGACGATGGAAAGCATCATTCCTGTGAGGGTCGCAAGTGTACGGCATGTGTGAGAATGGACTGTCAGACTATGTTCGTGGCACCAGGCCCACCCTACAATGCAGTTATTGTTATACTCGTTTTTTGGACAGAACTGTTTTACTCATCACAAAAAGGAAAAACTCTGCCAATCTTTCAAGACCTGTCCCCATTGTTGCGCCCATTACAACGTCGTTAAAGGAAAAAAAAGCATCATTGCGGCTTCGCTAAGTGCGATGTGTGTGGGGAATTCGTAAAGATAGCGGAGCATAAATGTTACATTCAGCCTGTCGCAGAGGAGAAAGAAGAAGAAACCACGGTCATGGATGATGACCCACTGTATTGGGACCAAGAAAATGGCCAGAATGACTGCAAACAGCCCCACCCCAACCCTCTTTGTCTATGCTGACTTTGAGGCCATGCGGAACGCTGAAGGAAATTTAGTCAAACCTACTCTGTTACAGTACGTCGGAAGAAGACGAGGTGCATGTCTTGGAAGGAGAGGGTGTCCCCTGGAATTTTTGCACGATTTGGATGACCTCACGGAGGTCCCCGACAATGACAAAGACAGACCCATCATCATCATCTTCCATAACCTGAAAGGCTTTGATGGAATTTTCATCATTAAAGAAATGTACTCCCAACAGAGAGGGTGTCGGATCAACTCACTATGGGTGCAAAAGTCCTGTCTTTTACAAGTGGTCCCCTCAAATTTGTCGACTCCTCTGTTTTCTACCGTTCCACTCGCCGCTTTCCCGTCCACCTTTTCACTCACGGAACTGAAAAAAGATGTGGTTTCCAATCTTTTTCGGTTCCGTGGGAGCTCATCAGCCTGAAGACCGTTTGAAATGCCAGCAATCGATTGACCGCGATGATCAGAAAAATTGACATGAAATGATCGATGGCGACGATGACACAATCTCCAATGTCGGCGAGGTCATGAACGGGGGGGATTATGTGCGCAGAGCGTTCGCCTGGCTTGATCAATAGAGTGGGTGGGTGAATGCCGTCTGCGATCGTAGGCGCTGGTGCTCATCCTTGAAATCGAGAGTCATCTGTATAAAGCCTGGTGCTGAAAGCCCGTGGTTCGGTCCCCTGATATAAGACTGGGTATTGAGCACGCGGTCCATCACTATTATAAGGACTGGATGACAGGGCCGCGACTGGTGTGTCGGCAGCGTTCTATCGCCAGTCACTGCTGTGGTGTGGTGTTCTCACGCGATCCATGAAGCGGGGTGGTAATGCTCGGTCCACTGATTATAAGACTGGAGCCAGGGCACGCGATCCCGGTCCAGTGCCGGTCACTGCTATAAGACTGATTACGTTTGATTCCTTCTTGTGAGTCTTCTTTCCAAGATTGCTGCTAAGCATGGATTAACGATGAAGGGACTAGCGAACTATTTTGTAAGAAGTCTTGACCTGACTAGGGTGATCTACGTTTATTTTACGTCATTACCGCGTGAAATCGTGTTGTTGTTGACGTCAATTCTACGTCAATGTCATTCCCCTCGATCAATAAATAATCAACATTATCACTCAATTCATTTTATTAATAAACCTTTTACAATTGGGATATTTGAAAAGTCAGATAACTTTTCACCCTTTTGTCTTGCTGTACAACAATTATACTTTACATCACTGATATAAAAGGCAACAAAACTGACCGTGAAAAAGACTTGCAACTTTTTGAAAATAGGAAAACGAAAGGATGCTTCCATGCTAATTTCTTTCAGGAAAATTATATTTACACGAAATCATTTTATTAAAAACCTTTTACAATTGGGATATTTGAAAAGTCAGATAACTTTTCACCCACTTGTCTTGCTGTACAACATTTATTCTTTGCATCACTCATATAAAAAGACAACAACATCTGACCGTGAAAAAGACTTGAATAAATAGAAAAACGAAAGGACGCAAATCTCTTTCAGAAAAAATATTTACATTAAAACTAAAGTAAAAAATTATTTACAATTATGAAAAAGACACACTATATTTACACACGGAGCTACGCTTACCAAAGTGTATCATACACTCCATTCATTTCCGCTTCTAATTCGAAGCGCAACTCATTTGAAAAATAGGCCCCATTTCTAAAACAAACTAATGGGTCAATCAGCATTTTATCGCAAAAAAGGCGCGAACAGTGGGCACAACGACTTATATCTGGTGACACCCATGACGTGAATAGGCAGAGCGGCAGGATTTTTAATGACTGAAGACGAGTAAGGTCTTCCTTTTTCCTAAATTGTCTCTCGCAACGGGTGCATTCATACGGTTTCTCCCCAGTATGGATTCGCTGGTGAGTAATTAGATGATTGGGGCGAGTAAAGGTCTTGCCGCAGGTGTCACAACGATGCTCTTTACGAGGCTTTTTGGCTGGTGGAGGGTAACCATCCCCGGATTGAATTTCCTATAATTAGTAAATATGACCTAGTCTTAGTGTAAAGCTCAACTAACAAGAAACTCCGATAAACTCTATTTGTATCCAATGAGCGTCTCAACAACTGGGTAGATGGTTTGTTTTTTTTTTGTTTTTTTATGTGTCGATCCACGACATAATTGACTGTCAGAGATAAGCGCAGCGCATGGGTACTATTATAACTCTGCTATATTGCTATAATCAACGTTTTAGTGGAAATAGCTTAAGTTGCTGTAATACCTGTTTGCGTGTATATAATACGCTGTCTATTTTCTTCAACTCGGCTTGATGATTGAAGAATATTAGTACATTGAGCAAATGCTTTGTTTTTATTTTCAACAAAAGAATAGAATAGATTTCAATATGGGTGCAATCATCCGCAAAAAAAAAAAAAAAAAAAGAAAAAAAACGAATTCACTTATGTGATCAGTGGAAAGGGGAATCGATCAAGAATAAACTATTTACGCCTTCAAAATCATAAATAGTAAGCCAACTGTAACTTTTATAGTCTTCCGACTCTTATAAACCAGGGAATGAATGATATTGTCTTTTTTGGTAAGCCTAAACAATTTAATTTTTAAAGGGTATACATTTCAAAAACTTTAATAGGAACGTTTGCACTCAGCGTATTTTAAACAAGTGAACATGAAAGATGACTTACGGTTTCCGACGGGTTCCAAGTGGGTAATTCACTGGTTTCGCCAGTCCACTGAAAACGAACAACAGAAATACACATGAGTGATTGAACAATTAATAGTGCAAACTTAATTCCATGAAAGAAAAATAATTTTATGATCATGAATGCTTACCTCATCAAAATAATTATCCCGTGTATCTTGCGCTGATAACTGTGTCGACTCGTTGTTATTCTAGATAAGAAGAGAAGAAATCAGATTACTTTAGGTTTTGAAATCTCGCTCATTTTAAAGAAATAGGTGGGCATTGAACGAATAAGGAGATTCGTAATGTTGTTTCATCACTAAACAATTCATGTACGTTGCGTATTAAAAAGGAAATGGAGTTACCTTGTCTAGCGCCATACGTTCCATCTCATTTACGGCCTGCATTTCTTCAGTTGTAAACTGTACAGCAAGGAAACATATTCGATGAGTATTATATGACAACTGTCTACAAAAAAGTTGAAGCAAATCTAGTTTGGAGTCCTTTTTGTTTCTTTAACGAGGATAACAAAAGATACGCGATTTAGTTTAATAGATCAAATGCAAATCTAACCCAAGTCGAGTCTATTAACAAAACGGACATAAATGATGCGTGAACTTTTTACACTTGGTGACATAACATACTATTGTTCCTATTGTAGTAGAGTGACGCTCTGTCAATCTTATATACAGTCTCCTCCGTCTTGACTCGACCCATTGCACTGTATACAAACGCAAAGGGAACGAAAACATTTTCAACATAGTAGACTACTGCTGTCAATCTGACAGTTCAAGTTTCATAATTATCGCAACTCATTATGAAAGGCGTATGGCATTGCTGGATTTTCGCGTTTTGAAAAATAATAATGCACCCAATTAATGTACGTTACCCTTTACTTGTGATGAAACTAAGTCCAGTTAAGGCTGGTTTTCGCTAGCGTTGAAGTCGGAGTCGTAATAAGAAGCGCAGAACCCTACGATCTGGTGAAAACAGCGTGCTGATTCCGAGTGTAGCTAAATGTCGTGGATCGTGGGTCGTGGGTGTGGGTAAATATCGTGGGAAAAAAAAAGTTTAACAAAAAAATTATAAAGTAAAGTAATTGAAAAAAAAAAAAATAGAAAAAAGTTGTAAAATATTTATGAAACTAAAATCTCCGATTCCTTGATTGCGCTTTTCACGGCTTCTTCCCTGTGACAATAAACTCCTTGTGGCCAAACTCTCGTGGTGAGGTCTGTGGTTGGTAATCAGTTAAGAGACATTATTGTTCATTCAAAATATTTCCCCAATTCTGATTGGCTAAAAGCACACGCATAGACATGGCAAGAACAGTAAGAACACAACTCGAAGGGCGACATCTGCTATTTGGAGAATATTTGCGGAGCTGAACAACCCTTCTGACGTGCACTATCGAAGATGAACTTAACATCGATGGATCGATGGAGGATGCATGATTCAGCCTTGTTTTCAAACTAGGAATTATTTTGAATGAATGATAAAACAATTATTGAATTCGGCTTTCGTACCATATGAAGAATTGTGGAGATCTCGGAGGGTGTTATCCGTCGAGGCCGTAACACCCTCCTCGATCTCCATAATTCTTCATAAGATACTCAGTCTCATTCAGTAATTGTTAAATATTTTTGCCTAACTAGGTTCATATATCTTATATTATGAAATCTCAATATATGCGAAACCTAACTCCTAGGTTTGAATTTTTAACCGATAATAATTAGAAATTGTTAATACTTATTGCCCCCATCATTTGCCGTGAGGCAAGAAGTTCGTAATAATGGTGTTTAAATCATTAATTTATCGAAATTAACCCCTGAAAAAGGCTATGAAGCAAGTTTGTGTATGTGCATCGTAGCAATCAATACTTTTCTTGGATCAATTTAGGTTTTTGGGAAGCTGCTCACCTACCCCTCCCCTAACCCAACATTTTGCCCTAAGTGAGAAGTAGGTGTTAATGTTGACTTAGGGGAGGAGTAGGTGGGAAGTTTCCCATTTCCTTTACCTCATCGGTAATTTAATTTCAAGAAAGTTGTCAGTGAAGAACTTAAAAAAATGAATGAAAAAATGTAAGCGTTTTGTTTTGCACCTTGGCCGCTCTCTTTGAGGCTACCCCGATACAAGTGCTAAGACTCGCTATGTCAACAAATTTCGGCACTTAGCATTTAACCATCAAGTGTTTTAATACATTTTAACAAACTTAAAATGTTCACTTTTTTGCGGGAAAATGTTTGTTGTAGTAAGGTGGTTAGCAGATTGTATCAGAGGCGTTGCTTTTGACTCAGTATTTTTAGAAACACTATATTTGGCCAAAGGTTTCTATCGATCATATAATGACTGATCATAACAGTTTCATAACTTTCTTCAAAAATACTAATTAAAAGCCTGTGTTTATTTTATGAAACTGCTAATTATACTTTGGCTTCATTAGTTTGTATAAGAGTGTGATACATGTGTTATCAAGTAATAAAACTCAAGAACAATTCAACAACCGAGGAATTCATGTTGTTTTAGCCTGTGGCGAGAAAACATCATGGATAAGGTGCCTATGTCTCCGCAAATGAAATCTATTTTTATTTCTTTAAAAAGTTTGCGTTTTAACTCAAATGTTTCGCAAGATCTGGATACACAAAGCGAAGAAGAGGACGAGACGGATCTTTTTTCTTCCAAGCTGACGAGTTACGAAAACGTCTACTGCACTTCAGCAAAGAAGTCTACTTCACAAATAAAACGAGAAGGCAAAAATTCTCAATGGGGCAAACTGTGTTTGACCGTTGGACGAAAACAAGACCATGAGGCACGAGAACTGATCACTATCCAATCAAAAGAAACCGTTCGTCCCCAGAAGCGCTCATGGGCTTTTCCCAGGCGTATTTTGGTACGGTGTAATACTGTGGATTCATTACCAATCCAAAGAACTGCGAGCTGTTTTTCATCGATAAAATGCAAGGAAATATCCGAAGATTGTCAGCCTTGGACAGGAAATCGATCAAATTCTGCCCCTCAATCACCTGCACAATCCCCAGTTATAGATCGGAAAATAAATACCGCCAGCTTTAACAAACGGATCAAGCCAAAGAGTGCATTGGTTGCCAGTGAAATACTGCCAACGATTGGTCAGCGGCAGCTCATTGATGGGGTCAAAACAAGAAGGTTTGGCATCAATCCTTCAAGCGCTGGTCCCAGGCGAGCCAAAAGTGGTTTTCACAAAGGTGGAAGCACTTGGGAAAAATTATCAGAGGAGAGATCATTTCTGATAAACAAGTGGCTAGCTTATGGAAACCGGCCGGAAGGGCTAGCCGCTTTGGATGCTAAAACCACAACATCGACAACAACAAGCAACGTGTCAAAATACACAAAATGAATTGTTGGTAAAGAGACGGCAATGGTTTGTGATGGCCAGCGAGCTTATTGCAATCCGGCTACCTCCGTTAAGGATCACAGCACGGTGTAGCCGATGACTGAATAAATTCCAGTTTTAGGGCTGTCAGAATGAACGGAATGAGCCAAGGATATTGATTATTTTTCAAAACTCAGTAACAGCGATGGCTCGTCTATTTCCATCCTGTTCCAGGCGTTTAAATAGCGGTACGGGTCAGAGCGGTGTATGATCATGAAGCATGGAATAATAAAAGCGTAGAGAGAGAGTGTTTCCTTCCTTCTCTCTATTTCTCTTACGTTGGTTTTTGCTTTGCTCTCCATCTCGCGGTTCTCCTCACCGTTCTGAACACCTGGTAGAGCCTTATCGATGCTAAAAGACGGGGATAATCCACTGCCGTCTTGAAGAACCTGAAATAGAAATTTCCAGCTCGTCTGCTTATTAATTAGTTGGTGACAGATATAAATTATATTATTTTGCTCTTTCAAGCCCAACTACCTATCTACTTAATTGGGTTGGAGTCTGTCAAGAAATTTCACACTGACTGAATGCGTTTGACCAATGTGAGTTTATGCCATGTGGCAAATTGGATGAAATGTTATTTGAACCTTGAAAATTGTTGGCCAACAGACCCGAAATACAATGAAAGTATTAATAAAGCTACTTTATGAAATGAGGCTTTCAATCTGCTTCCATCCTTTGGCCTTTGTGATGCTTCCGCGGGGGACTGGGTTCTCTCAAGAGACTCATAGTCTCTTGGTTCTCTATAAAACAAGCGATTAAGCCAAATGCGCCCCATATAAGGGAATTCACAGTCATCGCTGGATTCTGGATTCCACGCCGTGGATTCCGGATAACTGTTATGAATTCCAGTGTTTCTCAGTGGAACTTGGATTCTGGATTCCACTTAGATTCTGGATTCCAATCGTTCCAAAGTCTGATTCCGGAAAAATTTCATGAAATCTGCTTTCCATTTACGAAAAAACCCGGAAATTTCGGTGGTAGCAAAAGTTTTCCGATCGGTAAAAAGTTGTTCCATTTGGTCGTAAACCCCGGTACGTGGCCGGGTGCCCGACCGTGGACCTGGAACTTCAAACTACAAGAAACGTTCACGACATTCCGTTCGGAAAAAAAAACGGGACCACCTTTTCAGATTTTCCACTTTTTCTGGGAATTTTCCAGTGGGACGAACCGACGAAACGTGTTCCATTTACCGCCGAACCGGAAATTCCGGAAATTTTGACTAAATGGAAAGCGCCCCTGGATTCCCTTACATAGGGCGAAATAGACCATTTCCGAGTTCCCCCGGGCCTCTGTTTCAAAGCGAGGGTAGGTGCTCAGCCTTTGATATGGAAATCATTTTTCATTCTCATGCAAATAAAACTCATTTTAACAAGAAAGGGTGTGCACCTAGCCTCATTTTGAAAGTGAGGGTTTTTGGAACTCGGATGTAGCCTATTTTGTTCATCCTGCATGAAATGCCATTATTTCCAAGTCTGACCAGTCTCCGTTGTGAAAGAAATATTTTAATTCTTTTTTGACGGGGAGGACGGGACTCTTAGGACTCCTGAGATCAGGCCCAATTTGAGCGGTTCTCATACATTCTCTCTTCGGCTACCGCCGCCGGAATGTAATTTTCAAAGCGAAACGAAAATAGAGCCTGAACTCAGGTTAGACAAAGAGAACCTGAGACAGCCGGAATTTGTTTTTATCCATATTAGGAAGGCCATGACGATTATGTTTTCATGGCGAAGATCAGCGTTCTCTTTCCGGTACATTCTCAACTTTTTAAATTGTACTAGCCTGCGAACCGCAGACTTATTTCCGGTCGTCGCTTCTCTTACTCCGAAAAATAAACTAGAAACTAGAGCCGAAAAAACGGATGCTCTCGCAGGCTATTTATAACAAGGAAAAAGAAAAAAATGGAAAACACTGTGTTTGTTGCCTGTTCCAGGTGTTCCGATAAGGGTGCATTGATAGTAATGTTGGGCGAAAAGATATAAAATTTTGTTTGCGGCGTATCTCCCCTTTTCGCTTGTAAGTGTGTTGCGTGACGTGAGAGCTCACGTGGTCTGGGAACTAGTTTGTCTGGGTGACTGAAATGAATTTGCACTTTCACTGCCACTTTCACTTGGACTTTCACAAGTTTCTTCAACTTGATGAACTATTACGTACGTGGTAAATTATTACAAGATGTAGATCCTAGGTCATATTTTCCTGTAAAGAGAAAACAAATAATGAAACGTTTTGGAGGCTAAATTCCTTTACAGATCTGGTATCGAAGGTGAGTGATGTTAGCGTAAACAAAAAATCAAAATTTAAGTAATTAAACTGGCCTGTTGAATTTCAATCATTGGCTTTCTTCAAGATAACTTTTCCTTCGAGTACGTTGATAAAAAACTAGAAATCGAGCATTAACCCAGATACCATAGACACTGTCTCCCTTAACACGTACGTTGCTTGCTGTGTCCTGTGTGAAGTATACACTAATACAGTCTTCAAGATCTTAAATTTCCTCTTTGTTTGGAAACCAGGCGCACTGGTTTCTGTTTACTCCGAGTAATTATCAAAATGGTGTAATTTGAATTTGGTACCTGTGACAAGACAGGCAGTCTAAACGATTGTGTAGGCAGTGTTGATGGACCAAAGTTAAGCTTATTACAAAAGTTTGCTGACAGTTGTTTGACATATGTCAGCCACGGTGATGTTATCGATACTAGGCCAGTTCTCTCTCCTCCGCAGAGTCTCCCACCGGGTATCCCAATAAAAGTAATTATCTGTATCATGCTCTGCATGCTCTCTTTTTCTTTCTCCCCGGCCTCACTACAGCATAAAGGGGCCTCTGTGGAGTAGAGACCAGTTACAAACCCACCAATTGGGAGTTTACACAACGACAACGGTGACGGCGACGGCAATGAGAACGGCAAAAAAGCAATAGGTTTAGACAAGCAAAACAACAGCTTTGCACGTGCATGACGCTTTTTTGTACATTTCTCTACCACTGTTGGATGACTGTAATGTGAAACTGTCTAATTTGATGTTGCGTACTTTCCAGTCAGCTCCAAACTTAACTATCAATGGGACGCCAATCAAACAGGTTTCCCAGGCTAAATCTCTGGGTGTGTATGTTGATGAAAACCTTTCATGGACTACACATATAAATGAAATCACAAAGAAGATTGCATCTGGTATGTCACCCTGAAACGTGTCTTCTTGCTTGTCCCTGTAAACACCTTTTGACCATATTTTTTCATTAGTTCAGTTCTTTCAACTATTGCTGTGAAGTTTGGGATAGCTCCACCCTTTTTTCAGTCAAGCTCAAAAGCTTCAAAACAAAACAACTTTTAACCTTTTCTGGCTATGGTCTGCCGGTCCCCTTATTGAAATTCTTGGCTGGCAAAAACTAGAGTCACAAAGAAGCTTTCATAAGGCTGTCATGGTTTAAGTCAAAATTCTTTAAATGGACTGGTCCTGAATATATGGTTCCATGTTTATATAAACATGTGCTTTTACCCCTCAGAATCAGGGGGCAAACTTTATTCCAAAGCCCCGCACAAACTAATTAAAAATAGCTTTAGCTATACTGGTGCGGTGCTTTTTTTTTTCTCCCCAGCCTCAAGCAAAAACACTAGAAAGCTTCAAAGCCGGAGGAGTCGGGTCATTTTACCACCAATTAGTTATAGTTTTTAGATTAGTAATGCACGGCTCTCGTGGAAAGCAGGGTTTTATATTTTATATTTGTAAATAAGTAAAGTAGTAATATATAAAATTGTTTGTAATTTTAAATTTTAAATTTTAATTAATTATTATAGATATGCCTGATGAGACAACCGTGGATAAATAAAGTATTCTTCTTCTTCTTCTTCTTCTTTGTCGAGGACGCGAACAAAACACAGCAACTTTCTTTTTCTATTCCTGAACTTTGATGCAGTGCTTTATATTCCAAAAAAATTTGCCAACATTTGACGAATTAACAAGATGGAATAAGCACGATAAAATTTGAGTCAGTGCAAGTTCACTTTTTAAGTGACGCTTTCGTAGCTGTCACCATCGTTGTTGCGTAAACTCCCTAGTACCTAATGTAGATCACTCTTCATTGATATGTCCGATCCATCAACACTACCTTTGATGAGTATAGAACAAGATCAACAAAAACAAATTTACAAGTCAAGAATTTAAGACAGTATAACTAGTAACCACACCCATGCAGGTTATATTTTCGGCAAAATAAACTGCAGTACCATATTTTAAGAACTTTACCAGCAACCTTGGTGCTCATTGTGAAACCTTAAAAAAATTGTAACAATAATCTCATTTACTTTGACCTCAAGTGGTACATTGTTGGGTGCAAAACCTACTGTACTGTATGAATATATAAGGAGTTTAGATTTATGCAAGATTGAAAAAGGGCAAAATGTATTTGTGCATGTGTGTTTATTTTGATCTCTTTTTTTTAAAAAAAGGAAATGGTGCTCTGATTGGGCTATTCTGACTGTTTATTTATGCTGGCTTTTTTCTTGTATTTTTCTTCAGACATTATGGAGCGCCCAAATCTACATCACAGGTCTAGAATTGTCTAATTGGCTAAGTGAATTGCAATGGAGCAAAATAAAGCTAGTTCTGTTGTAGTTAAACCGAGGAGAAGAAGGCTCAGTACTGCACATGCACGTCGTCGTGCCAGGGCTTATACAAACCCAATCAAACAAGAGATATTACATGAGGAAAGTGCAGATGAACTGGGTGGCTCACAAGAATACAGCCTGGAAAATGGTTCAGCAGCTTTCTTAAAAGGGTTTCTAAGTGAAACTGAAGGTCTTGTTAGAGGCATATCTGATCGATATGAAACACTACGAGAAGTGAGAAAGAAACCTGACTTTTGCACGAACTGTAATAATTATAGTAATTAATTAATTAGTGAATCTTACAGGGTCTGGAAGGGAACATTCCTTCTCTTCTTTCACAACAATCCAGTGCCCGAAAACTTCTGTCATCTCAATCCAGAACACTCTTTTGTTTCCCAATACTGCATCCCTTGGCAAAATTTAGCAAATCCTACTTCCTAGGTAGCAGTCAAATCCTTGATCTTGTCAAGAAGTTTTGCGTTTTCGCGAACCCTGCACTTTAGTTTGGTCAAATCACGGATCCAGATTAAGATAATATCCTTTCAGACCCTGATCTTTTAAGCCACAGTCATTCATGTTATTCAATGTCACTGCATTTGTCGAGAGAAGGCAGTTTAGACAGACACAACATATTCTGATAAAAAATAAATGTGTTGTAAACTGTGTGTTTTTATCATTGCATGGGTTAATTAGTTACCCATTGCACTGGCATGAGTATAGCTTTTGTTGTGGAACTGATAAAACAGTTTCAACTTTCCCAGAACAAAAGAAATGATGGAGAAAAGTTTAAATTGAAATTTTTCACAACATTTCATTTAATTTACATTGTTGTGAGGGATCGGTGTTAAACATGTCACAACATCAGCTAAAAAAAATGTTGCAAGAATGTTGTGACTAGTTTGAAGGTGGCTTTAAGTACATTAAACTGCCTCTTGTTGTTAACAAGCCATTGCATTGCCAGTTTAATATTGCACCTCTTTCCTTTAGGTCTTGTTTCACCCTGCTCAAAATAAGTTAAACTTTCCAATTTAAATAAGATCATTATTATGCCCAATGCAGGTAAAGGAAATATATGTTGTGGTTCAATTTTATCCTTGATTTTAATTTTATTTCCCTTATTAGTTTTAAACGCATTGTCGTGCATTACCATACCCAAAAACAAAGGGAAATATAATTTAAACCAATGATAAAATTGAACCCCAACAAATATATATAATTGATGTTACCAAGACCAAAGCCAGTCTTTTTCTTAACCTTGCTTGGCCTGTTGGCTCACGTTACATATAACTGCCTGTTGACATAATCGTGCTTTCTAGCATACTTGTGAAGCCATAATTATGTTCTAAACTGAAAAAGTGATGTTTAAATGTTATTTCTTCATAGTTAAAGATTATATTTTTTAATACATCCATTTAACAGAATACTGACTGGATATACAAGACATTCAAAAGGAAGGAATGTATCAGACATGTTGATGATGACCAAGAGACTGGATTGTGAGTAACAGATTGACGTTACGGACTTTTTATGAAGATGACATGTTAAATCATTTTATTTATTACAAAGGTAACATTGTTTAGAGGTAAAGAGGAGGAGTGGGGACAGGAAGGGCTGAAAGGAGTAAACATTGTACCTCCCTGCCCTCTGTTGCATTGTCTCTGGATAATGTGTAACATCAAGATACAAAAAAAAAAGAGTTTTAAAGCTGCCATAAAATAATGGTATTACTTTGTGACGCCATTTGTCTTGTCGATCAGAGCAAGGTCAACCTGTATCATGACATTGTGGTCATTATTTAGGTCCTTTACTGAGCAGTAACTCTAATTTTTGTTGATAGACAGTAAATATTACTTAATTTATAGTCTCAAGTGACTTACATTGTATTGCAAATAACCAATGTATCACTACGAGAGAAACAGAGGGCAGGTACTGTTAGATTCTAGAGAGTGGTTTGGAGAAAGCAAAGCTAGATAGCAGCACTACATTTAAGCATATTTTCTACAGTCATGGACAAAAGTCTTGGGACACTTTTGCATTTCCAGGACATTTTCCAATTCACACGTGCCCAACCCGTTCTCTCATCCCACAAACAAGGTTGGATGTATGTATCCAAAATTTTTTCCAAGTTTCAACTTTGTATGGGTTGGAGGAGGGACAAATGAAGAAAATTTTGAAAAGGTTGCACTGTTTTATGAGGGAACCCAGATATTGCAGAAAATTACGAATACGGCATTACTGTCCCAAGGACTTTTGTCCAGGATTGTAGGTACTATAAATTATTTTCTAGAATAGCGTCTTTCTTATATCACTTTATTTGTTTCTCTTTCTTTGGCATAACTGTGGTAACTGTAGGTGTTGCTGTGGACGTCATGAGAATCAGCATGGCAAGCTAACGATTTTTGAAGAAGAAAACGAGGAGGCTGAGGCAGCCAAGGAAGCTGAGGAGGAGGGAACTGAGTCTAGCGAAAATGAGGATGAAGTAGTTCAGTCAGAAGAAAGGGTCAAGCTGGGGGGACGAGGTTTGTACTAACAAAGCTCTGTGAGGCCCACGGGTGTTTTTTATTCAAGGTCTCAAAAGTGGGTGCTATTTATAGAAAGGGCCTGACAGAAGAAAATCTCCTTCTTTGCCACTTGTACATTTTTATGCTTGGGCCCCACCCCCAAAAATGGACCAACTTTTTTCACAGGGCTCCCACGATTACAATGTACACACACAGGGAATCCAAAATAGGAGACTTTCAAGATCACTCGTAGCCTTCTTAAACGATTGAAAACCCGTTTCTTGACAAATGAGTGTTTCCTGAGTCCGTCTGTTTGAGTCTGTTCTGACGTTGAAGGTGCATTACAAAGCATTACACACGGTCTTTGCGTGCATACAATACAGAGCATTAATCACTGAATCAATTCACGTATATGAAAGGTTTCATAATATTAAACATTGCAGGTCTTCCTCCTTTAAAGAAAACGAGAGGATACACTCCAGGAAAGGTTTATCGTAGATCAAAAACTAACGCTCAAGGATGGTCAGCTAAAAATGACATAAAAGAGTTTCCTACAAATGCGTTTGGTCACATCAAGTTTGTAAACGCCTACAATTCATCACTGAAACCTTCGAAGGTATATGTGTTTGTCTAAATCATATGTTATTGATCAGTCTGATGAGTTCCTCCTTCTCGCTGACGATATTTCTGAGCGATGCCTGGCTCATACATGTAGCTGTTTTCTATTTCTTGTTCTTTTTGGCCAAAGCTGGCGCTAAATCGTACTTTTCAGCTCAGAAATGGATTGTCGGGGGGTGGGAGGGGGTACTTCCTTAGATGAGCTATATAGGCATGTGCCGCCACAAAGAGTAGGGTTTTTGCGCTTTTTTGGTCAGAAAACAGGTGTAGACTTTGCATATTTTGGTCTGGAATTGGGTATGGTTTTCGAGGGAACTACGGGAGTGTATGAACGTATTTATCCTTTCAATTCCAAATGAGTAAGAAAGAAAGAGAAATGTGCGAATTAAGAAATAGTTTTTCTTGGTGTTCTAGTGTAAGTAATGATGACATCATTTCTTAGAGGCCAGGTCTAATGACGGGTATGGATTTTGGAGGCCAGGTCTGAAAATGGGTGTGAAAAATGACATTTTTTGGTCTGATATATGGTCAGGATTTGGAGAACCGGGCGGCACACCTCCTCCAAGAATTCCCATATCCATACCCGTTTTCAGACCAGGTCTCTTAAAAATTATGTCATCATTACAGTACAGCCCGAAAATAATGTACTTAGATTAGAACGCCAACAAAAAAGATTTCTTAAAACCCAATTCGAATTCGCATATTTCTACTTTTCAGTACATTTTTTCTCATTTATTTGGAATTGAAACGATAAATCGGGGTTGTCACTAAGATTTCAAGTAGGCGGGGAATCAAACAGCTACGGATTTCTTTCATTCCGCTATCTTTTCTTCTATTTTCCTATGAAAGTAGCCGGGGGAAATCCCCGGCCCCCACTTCTTAATGACTGCCCTGGATAAATACGTTCGTTTTTCTCCCTTACATGTAGTTCCCTGGAAAACCATACCAAATTCCAGACCAAAATGTGCAAATTTTATACCAGTTTTCAGACCAAAACAGCGCTAAAACCATACCCTTTGGGTGGCACCTACTTATGTGGCTTATATAAGGAGTACCCCCCGGGTCTTGCTAGAACCAACAATGTTCTTCAGGAGTTAATTGCGTGCATTTACACTCCTGATCAGGCTGTCATCAAAAGTAAGATCTTTTATTTTTTGCCGTTGCAGTATATTCGCCTTGCAGACAGCACTAGACCAGAGTTAACTTTAGAACTGATGGTAAGGCAGTGGAAGTTAAAGAAGCCAGATATTGTGATATCCATCCAAGGAGGGCTGAAGAACTTCCATCTTGATCCGCATCACAAAGAAATCTTCAATAGAGGCCTTATTAAAGCTGCCAAAACAACCAATTGCGGAGCTTGGATAATAACTGGTAAAACACACTTTAACGCGGTTGTAGCGTGCGGGCAAAAAACATACTGAAATTATGTTTACGTTTGTCCGGATTGTTGATGAGATGAAATTAAGCGGTATTTGAATCGCTTTACTCTGGCGATCGTTGTTTGAAATCGAGTTTGTGTATGGTCACCAAAATAACGGTATAGCAACGTAACAAGCGATCTACCACCTCACCGCAGAATTACTATTTCCTTTACGGTTTAAATCTAAAGGGGGCGCAAATATGTGTATAGTGCGAAGCGAGAGAAGGGTAAATGGTAAGCGACATTCCGTTCGGTTAAGGATACCAACCGGAATGAAGGGATTACCTCAAAACAGAGTCCTCAACTTTTTCCGAAATTTTCCGAATTTTTTGGCTTAATTAATGGTAAACACCCTAGATTTACACTTCTCACAAAGCTTCTGTAAATAAGGGAGTCATATTTTTTACGCTAATTGATGGGTAACTAAAAGTTAATAAAGTATATTTTTATCAGGTGGCGTAAATCTTGGTGTTATGAAGGCAGTCGGTCATGCGGTCCAGGAGGGTCAGTCCATGCGGTGGGGAGGACTAACCAGTCATCGCCGTATAAGGTGTATTGGAATTGCCACCTGGGGTTACGTGGAAAGAAACGAACTCTTGATCAATCCACTGGAAGGCAAGGTCAGACACAATAAAAAAGATTGCACATAAGAGCTGCAAATAACAGTCGGTTATCCGACAATGACCGACTATAATTTGCGCATGTCCGAAGAAATCCTACTTGCGCGGTCGCTTGACCGGACAAATCATCGACCACGACTACCATTTTGCAGCTGAAGATTTGGATAGAAAAAAGGAAATAAAAAGTCAACATAATGTATACCCGACAACTTTTCTGGTTTGTCCCACTAAAATAGTGACCACGTCGGACATATGTCATTTCTAAAAAGAAGAATTATTTGCATGTGTGAAATGTAATAAATAGAAAGTAGTCTTCGAACGTCAGTTTCCGGGCTCGGTGCGCTTAATTTCCGGGCTCGGGCTTAAGCGCACTAGTCTCCTTCGCAGCCGTTATTAGGGTCGTCACTCGTCACACAACGCTCCTGGGGAGGAGCGTTGCGTGACGAGTGACGACCCTAATAACGGCTGCAAAGGAGACTAAAGCGCACATTCACTTTGGCCCTTTTTTCTAATCTTGCCCGGCTATATTTTACTAAATTATTGCGTTCTCGGTATATTTAAAAGAGCCTTTAGTTTATTTTAATTCGTGGCCCTTTTGTATTTGCTTGGTTATAACGTGTAGCAACAGCAATCTAGGAGTATTTAATATAATTTTGGTCGTATTCACAACACCCAGTCATATTTTCTGCTTCTCACTTTTGACTTGTTATTAACACCCTCCCCCTATGGGTGCTTTCAAAGACTGCAGTTAGTTAGGCGTTGTTTGTGTTACTAAAGGCTAGCGCATCTCTTTTCATTGTTTATCATGCGCCAGGGCCGAGTTGTTCAAAGCTGGGTTAAGATAACCCGGGGTTGGTGCGAGATTTGAATTCAGATTTGAAAGCTTAAAAAGCATTTCAGTTTTAATTCTTTTTGTCTACTAGTTGATGATTGGAAGCTCTAAAAATAACAGAGAAAATTACCCGACAAAACGCTTTTGAACGACAGAAAAAGAAACCCGGGTTAAATTTAACTCCGGGTTAAGCGCTAATCGGCTTTCGAACAACTGGGCCCAGAATATAATAGACGAAAATCATGCCTTCGAAATTCTCGTCTAAGTAATCAGAAACATGTTGTTTATCATATGATGGTTTTTGGTAGATCTCAAGTCGTTTGTATATTTCTCGGTGTTTGGTTCGTCAACAAAAGTTACATCTCGTATTCCACAGGTGTAGAAAGGGGTTGTCATCCTGTTCTGTGTTTTCACTCACGTGGCCAGCATCTATGCAAATTTATTGGAACAAAAGAACGCGTTTACATAAGAAAAGAGTTCAACTGCCACAGGACTGGTTTGGGACACAAACATGGCCGCCATTTCATTGTTTTTGGACACAAATATGGCCGCCATGACGTCATGTGAAAACACACAATTCTGATTCACAGCCAAACTCTTTGTTGAAGAAACTCTGCTCAAATATTGCGTAGTTTAACAAAGTTGTAGGACTAAGAACCATATTTTTAATGTTTATTCCATTCAGGGTTGTTACCCAGCTACATACAAGGTGGAACACTCATTTCAAAGAGGGAAGCCTGTCTCTCTTAACCCCGACCACACCCATTTCCTCCTGGTAGATGATGGGACACAGGGACAGTGTGGAGCCAAGGAAGTCCTTTTCCGCGCGCGATTGGAGAGAGTCATAGCCGACAAACCCAACATTCAGAAACAAAGTACGTAGATTCTTACCTTAGCTGCACATTCTAGACCAGTACCACCTAAAAAGGTTCAAAGAGGTTTTTCAGTGCTTAAGATATTGCGGTATGCTGTGGGTGAGTGAAATGCAAAAGGTTTAGTTTGATAAACCTGGTAATATATAATTAGCCATCAATGTGAATTGACAAGTCAATTAATTTGTCTGTCTGTGATGACATTGACTGTGAGCAGTCTTTAATACGGAGATAGCGGGTTATCACTCGTATCACGCGAGTGGCGAGCGGCAAAGCCCTAGAGACACGAAAAACCAGGCTGCGAGCCTTTTACGCGGTGCCAACACGTCAACATTGAAGAATAAGAGACTTTTTTTCTATTTTAGAAAAGCTCAGGGCTTATTCGAGAGATTGGCCAATGAGGGTCAAATAGGCCCCCTTCTGTAATTTTAGGGGGCCCTTTTACGAGAAAGGGGATCCAAGAAAGGGGGTACCCAAAAGGTATTTGAATTGGAACATTCTGGGCAACTGAAAAAGCCTGAGCACGAATTACTGCAGAGTACCGGATGTTTTGCTGGTGAAATAGTCAGGCAGACGAAGAAGAGAAAGGCAATTGAGACAGTAGGAGGCTATAAAAGTTCAATGTAAGTATAAAGAGCGGCAGTCAAATCAGTGTTGTTGTCAGTGATGTTTTCGAATACTTTATTTGAAGCAAATGGTACTTATCCCTGGGTCTATTTTTTGCGCGCCATTTGACGCGGCAACGTAAATGTTATGTGGAATTTTTTCGAAATTGCGGAAATCCCGCAAGGCCGCGCTCTAGAATAAACCCTGAAAGCTGACAGTCTTCAAGGATAATTTACTCAGCTGTGAGCCAGCGGGTGAATAAGCTCGATTTCCTTTTTCTCTCGGTCCTTCCCAAACAGCGGCTGGTAATCGAGCCTAGCGAGTGAGGCACTGTAACATCTGTCAGGAGTTATGGTTATACGCCACTTGCACATCTCCCATAATGCACCTTATTTGCCCACCAAAATTCTGCATAAGCATTATTTTTAATTTCTCTTAGGACGGCTGTAATCCGAGGAGCGATGAAAAACAAAGGTTATGCAAAATTTGGGGGGGGGGGGCAAGAAGGTGTATTATGGGAGATCTGCAAGTGCCGTATGGGCTATGGGCTCCTGCAGAGGCGTAAAACAAAGAAAGGGAATGATGGAGGGTTGCACAAGCTTTCACAAGGAAAGGAGAAGATTGAGTAACTGGACCATTGGGATCCTTCGTCGGAGAATAAGATAACCTTTCCAGTACAAATCTTAAACCATTTTAAGGTATGTCCCCTTCTTTTTTTAGAATTTGGTTTCGGTGTTCCTGTTGTGACAGTTGTTGTTGAAGGAGGCCTGGATGCACTGAAGGCCGTGAAAGAGTCTGTGAAGTATGGTATACCTTCAGTTGTAGTGGATGGAACTCGCAGAGCGGCTGATATCCTTGCGTTTGCTCACAACAACTGCGAATGCGAGAGGCAAGTCAAAATCCGTGTAGTTCAGAGTCAAATGCGTTCAGTTTACTGCTTTTAAATTCTAGTCCAGGAATTAAGCGCATAACCGTTAATTGGTCTGTTTTGCTTCTTTTTTGGTCTTGTTCTTCCCAACCTTATGCCCTTGGGTTTATCTCCTGTTATCTGTATTTAGGAGATGTCTTAGGTGAACGAGTCAGAGGGTGCTTTCCATTATACCGGACCAATCGGTCAGAGACCACTCGGACTAATTAAGGGGACTGGAACCAAAACTCCGACCGAATTGATTGTTGGGTATTGTCGTAAGGGCTAGGGTCACATACTACCAAGAGAAAAACGCGGGAAAACATCGTCAAAATACAGAGAAGCCAGTAATATACTTGTCTTTAAAAACTGATGAAAACCAGAAGAAAAACAAATTAAGATGCACTGCTGTACCTGAGCCTTGTGTGCAACTGTGCATAAGGAGAAAGTTTAGGTCTTGCGTCTGAAGCTTGCACACACTGCACTGTGGGGTAAACAGCTACATCTGAACCATCCGCCATTTTGACTACTGTGTGTAGTGACGAGCTGGAGCGGGACTGGAAACGAAAATTTCTGAAAATGGAACGGCAATTTTCGGTCGGACCGGAAAATTTCCATCTGGGCCGAACCGTTCCATTTACGTTTGGACCTAAATTTCCGGAAATTTTGGCATAATGGAAAGTACCCAGCGAGTTAAGTGGTCCTTGTTCTTCTAGACATAAACATTTGCTGTGGTAACCTTTAATGAGTAACAGTGGCCAAGCCGCTGAAACCATGGCTGTCCTGTAGTAGTTGTAGACAAATTAGGTCATGAAGACGTCATGTTAGTCGTTATCGTTTAGTTTTCTTTCGAAACAACTGCGTTGTTTCTCTAAACAGTGTTGTCTGTTTTCAGAGGTTTCCGACGACTTCAAGAAGGCCAGTTGCCCCGACTGATTGCTAAAATTAAAGAATTTTTTCCTAAGCATGCCGACGATGAAAACTACATTCAGAAAATCGTGGAAATTGTGAACAGTTGTATTTATGATGAAAGACTGGTGAGTCGTTACTAGAGCTTGGTCATCTTATAATAGCTTATAATTACGGTACACTGATCTACCGTTGTGACATGAATTATAGTCTACGACAATTTTTGCAACTGACAGGAGCTGAAGCCACGGTAAAATTGTACAATAAATCAGGAAAAAATAGAACTTTTTTTCAAAGAAGAAGAAACAACTGTCATTATCTCAAGTTTAGCGACAGATTATTGTACAAGGCGCAACGAAGCACCAGCATAATCACCTCAGCGTTGTAGGAGTGACAACGTTATTTGCATGTTTCATCTAACAAGCGGTAAATAACGAACAAGCGTTAAAGCGTTGGTGCGTGGAGAAGGAGAAGGCAAATCAAATTTGCAGAAAAAGCACCGGGTGCCAACGTTTTTTCCGACAATGTTATGTTTCTGCGCTGCTAAAGCGACTGTAAGCCAGGAATAACAAACAAACAAACAAAAAAGAAACGCGTGCACACAGACAAAATGACACATAACCCAAAACGTCGTCAGCGACTATATGTGTAAAGGGGAATTCAGCTTACCCTGTGAAAATATTTTTATCTCCAACCAAGCAGTTGTTTGGAAATTAGCCATTCATTTGCTGTACGCAAATTTGGGAAGAAACAAACGTAAACTTTGTTGCTTAGGCCATCCAGCTCTAAAATAGAGCAGTGTGAAAACCTTCCTGCTTACGGAGGATGAGAAAATTTCGAAAAAATCACTGACAAGACGTGGAGCACGTGTAGAGAGTGATAGTTGTGAAACTGAATAAATAATTTTTTAATTCTGGGTCGAGCTGTACATGTTTGAATGGCGAATAGCCCAAATCTAGTGTTAGTTACCTTGACAACTGATACGCGCTGCTTGTAGTCAACCCAGCTTTAGAGTCAATCTGGAATTGCCTTATGAAAGGCCGATTAACGCTAATCCAGGATTACAATTTTCATCTGCGATTGTATTTACCATCTTTAGAGTTAAGAGTATTACTATTATTTTTATTAAAGTATTAGACAAGAAATGGTGAAGTCAACAATCACATTGCTGAAAATCATTTTACAGACTAAACATCAAGTCGACTGGGACTCTGCAACATGTATTACGTATTCTACAGAATACTTTCAACGACTCACATTAGGAAGTTGGTTTACTAACTTAGAACAAACACCACTGAATCGTAATCAACAGTTAGCGGCACCGTACAAACGACTTATTGCTGGTTTGCACGTGACGTCACGGCGGTCATGTTGGTGGTCAAGAACAAAAGCATTTCTCTCCTCTGGGAACTAAACTCGATTTTCATGCAAATTATTCGAGAAAAAATCCTATTGTTTTGACCCCTAACATGGCCGCCTTGTCACGTGCTGGCAAACCAAGGAATTGACGGACTCAAAAAAAATAACTACGAGAGAATGACTGGATAACCGACAACTTGACTAACATTAAACGACTGTTTAACTTTGACAACAGACGGATCTAAACGCACCAATGACATCACGGCTTAACCGACAGACGACCGAAAAAATGGCGACTTAATTGACCAATCAGATCAATAACCAGAGTTTAATACCATCAAGCGACGTAATACAACTCACTTTAACTCTGAAGATGACTACCGCACAGGTTTTCGAAACGTCAGTCACTGTCAGCAACAGTCCTATTCAGGACTATGTTCACCTAGACAATCGTACTCAACCTACTTATGAAATGAGTCCTGGGGCCTGTTTCTCGAAAGTCCCGATTATTAACGGGCCCAGTAAGCTGTCCCCGTTTACATGTAAGATCGAGGTTTTAATAGTTTTGCATCTAACATGATAAAACTATCAGTTAGTGAAACAAAATGGAGTAGTTTACTAGCCAGGACCTGCGCTCATATTTTTTATATTTCGATTTGAATATTTGATTTTGGGCCCGAAAAGTTACCGGGACTTTCGAGAAACGGGCCCCTGGATTCAAACCTTTGCAGTATTATTTTGGGTCACAAAAAGTAAATATTGGGATAAAGGTTCAACGATTTGTTTTAAGATCCAGTTGCATATTCCTATACTAGAAAGTGTTTTTGGAAATTTGGCGTAATCTTGTGTTAAACACATCCATCTTTCAAGGAACAGGGCGCTGGCTTCGAACAACGCGGCCCTGGTAATTCGTTTGGAGCCTATCGGGGCCGCTTAAATTCTGTTAAACATTTTTCCAGGCTGTTCCGATTAAAGCTGTTTTAAACCTATTCTTTTTCTTCGTTCGTACTACTGTTCGGAGCAAACCAGGTGAAATTTCATTTATTTCGAAAACGGAAAAATCGTTGAAGAGCGCAACCACTCACTTATCTAAGTTCTCTTCCAAAATACTCCGCCCAAGGTTGCGTTGCCAAATGTATCCCCTTCTGCATGCTATTTTATATTTTTTTACCTGTTGATATAATGCCTGTCTTTCCAGATAACTGTGTATAACATCAACGAAAAGAATAACTTGGATCTCGACTTGGCCATTCTGAGTGCATTGCTAAAAGGTGAGATGCTATTTAATACTGTCATTCAAAAGAGGCAACGCACAAAGATCGAATAAGACAGTGACCGATCCAGACCTTGTGGAGTGGGGGAAGGGACTCTCATCCAGACCTTGTGAGAAGGGGGCTCGTTTTGAGGTGGGCGTGGTCCTCTGGATTCGTGACCTTCCTTTAGGACCACCAATGGTTGATGCTACATTTCCATCTGACCACGGAGAAAACAGTTCTTGCCTTGTTAAAAGTATAGAAGGCGCAATTGTGACAGCATCCAGCACAACAGGCGTTATTGGGGGCGGAGGGAAGGGGAAGCGCTCAGCAGGGTTGTGGGGCGCGAGCTCGCGCTTTTGGCTTGGGAGCTCCGATACCTCCTCTCCGAAGCTAAAACGTTGTGATTATCCAGGTATTTAGTCTTGTATACCCTGAAGAAGGCAGCATTGCCGAAACGTCGGTCAAGATTCTTATCATAACAGCGTCAGTTTTACAATTTTTAAATTAACATTAAGTACTACGCTGGGCAGGTTTTTCAATCTTGATTATCCAGGGATGGAACTTAACTTTATGTAAATGATTCATATGCCCTGGTTGTATCAGGAAAGGGTGCCCACCTCTAATAAAGAAAAAAAGAAAGACAAGAACAAATGAAAGGAAAAGGACCGAAAAACAAATTAACCAAATGTTACCTACTATACTACTTTGTTATTGCTCCGCTTAGGGGAAAAGTGTTCCAGCCAAATTTAGCATCAAATCGACAAAATGTCTTTGACATGTTTAATTAGCACACCTCGGTAGCATACTTTATTGCATGGTGAAAATCTGCCCAACTTAATCGATTGCGATTTGCATTTGTATAGCTCAAGGAGCTTGTAATGTGGATTCAACGAGCAGTGATTGTGGCTGCAGAACAGATTTTCTGGGAGGAGGAGTAAGTAAGATGGATCAGCTTAAATTGGCTTTAACTTGGAACAGAGTAGACGTAGCTGAAGAGAAAATATTTACTCCCGACACGGACTGGCCGGTAAGTGAAACCCTATTTTAAGCTTTGCAAGTGATATACAACCAATTGAAAAAGATTTCATATATCATGGGTACCTTTTCTCCTTATATTTGTTTCATAATTGAGTGTCGCCAAACAATGAGCAATGGAAGAATTCTAATATATTAACCAATCTGATCAGAAGCAAATACAAATAGCCGTTTCCAAACACGTGTATAAACTTGATGTATCTTGATTAGCTGAGATCCTAACTCCCCCCCTTTTTTTATTCATCTATCATCCATTAATTTGCCTCCATCAAGTTGAAGATTCTTGCAAATAGGCCAGCGGTCAAAAGATACATAAAAAATAAATGAAAGCAGTCAATTAATATCATAAATTAAAGGCAGCTTGTAAATGCCATCAAAGAAGAGGCATTAACTGTCTCATTTGGCAGAATGTTCCACTCTCTCGTTTTTCTTGGAAAACAGGAGTATTTGTAATAATCAGTGAGAGCAACGGTTATTAACATAACGGCTAACTCGACCCAACTGCTTCAGATATTTGCCAGTGTATATCCCAGTTTGGTCATTGTGAATTTTATAGAACATGGCTAGTCTATTCTTTCTTCTTCTTTCTTCATGGGTGTTCCATTGCAATTCACGAAGCTTTCATTAACACTTGATAAGTTATTGTATTGGTTTCTAGTTTCTTCAAAGTGCAGAATCAGTTGAAAGTAGCAGCTAGATCACTTTGTCACTCAATTCGCCACTGAAGAAACGAGAAGGAAACTAACCTGAGTTAGCAAGGAATTCTGGGGCTGTTTCTAATTGGCCAATAGCTGACAGGCACGTCTCCCAGAAACAATCCAAGAAACAATTGCGGGACGCATTTCGGCTCCAGTTCCCTTCTGGTTTCTAAAGTGGCGAATACAGGAGCCGGTGTCACAGTGATATGGGCATCCCCGCGTTTTGGACATCCCCATTCCCAAAACCCTAGTGATATGGGCATGCCCTGTAACCCTAACCCTAAGCCTAACCCAAATCGCCAGGGTAATATGAGAAGGGGATACCCATATCAGTAGGGATTTAAGAATGGGGACGCCTAAAACGCGGGGATGCCCATATCATTGCAACACCGCTTTATCATTAGCGCCTAGATATACTGATTTGTAATTTTTATGTACTTTTTTAAGTCTGGAAGCCTGGATGATATGATGCTTGACGCTCTGCAGTTAGGACGAGTTGATTTTGTGAGGTTATTTCTCGCCAATGGAGTCAGCATGAGAGATTTCCTGACTGTGCCACGATTAAGAAAACTTTACAATTCGGTGAGTCAATAGCACTGTCCTTGTGCGTGAATGTTAAATGTAGACAGACGTCACCTTTAAAAGAAAAATCTAAAACTAAAAAAGCAGGCTTCCCACACGAGACAATCAACTTTTGAATATTATCTTTGTTTAGGTGGATCCTGGAAGTCATCTGTACTCTCTTCTTACGAATGTCGGGGGAGTCTCGGTAAGTGCGACGCGACTTTTTCATAAGATGTCCCTCAGATCCTGATCATATTTTTAGCTACATCTTCTTGTTCAGTGTGATACTTTATCTCAGTTTACCGTCTTATAACACAAATGCGATAATTCCACTATCTAGAATCCCCCGTATTCCCTCAAAGACATCGGCGTTCTCATAGAGGAACTAATGGGCGCTTATTACGAACCGCTCTACCTGGTCGACACCCCTCATACCAATACTCTGGCGGCTGGCACGGCAGCGCTCTTCGGAGCAGCACCGAGTACAGAAGAAAATGTCCATAAGGAGGACCTGCTGGCAGTAAAGTTCAAACCGAACAAGAGAATGAAAGTGGCACATTCCGCGACAAGATTTGAGAAGCCTTTCAGAGAACTGTTTTTATGGGCGGTGTTGCTAAACCGTTTTGAAATGGCGCGATTTATGTGGGAGAAGGGTGAAGAGGCTGTATCTGATGCGTTAGCGGCCTGTCGACTGTTCCAAGTTATGCACGATGAGATTGAAGACGATTACTATGAAATGAGGACAGCTCTGAAAGAACATGCCGTGTAAGTATTAGTCTGCTTTGGTTGTGGTTTTTGTTGGATTGCGATGAAGAAATGATGATAAAACAAAAACATGGCGATGAAACTTCGAGGTTAACTTGTAAACGATGCAAACTTTGGAATAAGCATGCCACGTCTAAGTCTTTGGCTTCCCCTTTACTACCCCGAATTTTCCCTCAACACGCTTCCACCAAACCGCTAGCTATATGGTCCATGTAGCGCAGTACTGAACTGTACTGTTAGATAAGTACGTAGAAGCCCGGAAGCGTCAACATGTCTTTGTCAGCTGAGCAGAATAGTAGTCATGTGACCGAAATAGAATCAAAGATAGCTTATCCCGCTGTCTGGTGAGCTTCGTCCTGTCAATTCTCACAAGAATTATGGAAACTCACAGGCTGTCATACCTTGTTGATATACTCATATTGTTTTTCGTTGCCAGTGAGTTTGAAAACTTAGCCATTGGTGTTCTCGATGAGTGTTACAATGAAGATGAGGTTTTAGCAGAGATGTTAGTTGAGCGTGAGATTCCCAAGTGGGGAGGCATGTGTGCGTTGAACTTGGCCGCTGCAGGGAAGGCGGAAAAATTTCTAGCGCATCCCTGCTGTCAATCAAGCTTAAACAGCATTTGGAAGTCACGTGGCATGCCTGGAGTTGAATACTGGAAGGTATGATGTATAGTCAGACTTGTGAACTGTTTACTTGATGTTTTTGCCTTTGAAATTCCCGAGTCCGTAAGACAAACGTCTTAATGAGAGGACGAATTCCAAGATTGGGTAGTTGTTGAAATTATGACTGTTAAATCGTTCTCCATAAGCAAGGTAACTGCTCTATCCACCAACATTTATTAGATCATTTCACTGCAAAAAAGTCGTGATTAGTTTACATCTATGTTGTAGTCGAGTGTGACGCCACAAAAATCGCCATTTCCTTCCGACACTAAACTAACAATATTCAATGTTGCATATGTATCTTTTTCAGGTAATTCTTGCTCTTCTCTGCCCCTTGCTCATTCTAAAAATTGTATTCTACGACGAAGAAAACCACAGATGGTCCGTACCATTTTGGAAGAAGCTTGCCATCTTCTACAATGCGCCTATCTCAAAATTCTGGGCCCATCTGGTAAGAACGCCTTGCTTGGTACGTTTAATGAAAATCTTGAGGATTTGTAAGTCGAATGAAAACACTTTTCTCCTTTGGACATGCCGTAGCAAGCGAATGATCTGCCACTGAATAACGTAGGACTTCCTTTGTCATGGTTTTTGAATGATTTCTGGTTTGTCACAGATAATTTGGGCAAAATATTTCGTCAACAATCGCAATTTACAGAAAAACTTTGTCAAACTTGTAAATTTTATCAAAGGAAGTATAGGTTTTTGTGCGTGGGGTTTTAGCAACTTATTTTGCACTCCAACGAAATGTTTCCGCCGTAGAATTAAGTGGGGCTGCTTGTACCTTCAATGAAATTGTGATTCTAACTACAAGAGGCTCGGACAGAATTGAGCTCTATCTTCGTGACTATGGAACGAGGCAGCCCTGACATCAATGATGTTTCAAAAGTATTTTATTTGATAATCGCCTTTGTCTTTCTATTTTTAGGGAATGCACCTCGTCTTTTTAGGTCTCTATGCTTTCGTAGTTTTATTTTCGTTTCACAAGACTTGGCCTTCTAACTACGAAGTGGTATTATTGTGCTGGATTGGAGTTATAATCATGGATGAAATCAGACAAGTAAGTATACAACTGGCTCGATTATGTTTCCTGTGTTATCTCTACAGCAAAATTTGGAAAAAAAGGTGTTTGAATTTATGTCAATCCTGAGAAGTATGCATCATTACTAAGCCTGAATTTCGGAAAAAATATCCGTAACTACTGAGTGAGACGAATGTATAGCTCTAAGCTCTAAGCTAAAATTACAAACTATCCATCAATGCAGCAACTATACCGTCCCGGACGACAATGAATAAATCGCAGGTTTTGTTTTGTTAAAAATCAGAACTTAGACAGTAGTTTTGAATCAGCTTTGGGTGCCACACACTTCTCGATGGTTCTACTTGTTATGTATGTGGTAAGCAAAAGAGTGAAAACAAATATCCATCGTGACTTTGTAGCATCGTAACAGTTATGTGCAAGGAAAACTGATCAATTTGAAATCTTCCACACGAATCAAGTCATTCGATATTTTTTGTTGGGGAGCAATGGTAACGCAGTGGTGAGAGCACTCTTCCCTTAATGATGGGGCTTGGGTTGATTCCCCAAGGCGACATCGGATTTTTCTTCTCAAGAACTAGCATTTTTTCAAATTCCAATTCTATTAGGGATATGCTATCACTAACCAGCTGTTTTATAACTTTGGGCGCTTTCCATTTGTTAGAACTGACCGGCCAGACCAATCCCGTCGCAATGATAATTTCCTTTTTATTCAAAGCTCTCCAGCCAGATCAGTCAAATCCTAAAGAGTATGCACGAGGAAAATGTTTTTTTTTTTCAGCAAAAACTCTTGGAAAAAGCCTACTTCATTTTAAAACTGACTGGCCGGGCCATGGTCCGGCCGGCCAGTTCTGACTTTTGGAAAGCGCCCTTAGTCTTAGGCCATCATAGGTTATAGCCCACTAGTAGCGAAAAGCGCCTGCTTTTTGGCGGCACAAAAGGATTAAAGTCTAGCTTTAACTAGCTAAAATTGTTTTGTCTCGATATTTTTGACCAACTAGTTGGATTTTACTAAAACAATTATTCCTCTCGCTCTCATGGCTTCTGAGTCAATAGCCCTTTCAGCCTTCGGCCTCATGGGCTATTGACTCAGAGCCCATTCGGGCGAGAGGAATAATTGTTAAATAACGCTTGGTTTTTATTTTGTCAGGTCATACAACAAGAAACCAACACCATCAGGAGTAAGCTGGAACTGCATTTTAACACTTCCGTTAACATAGTGGACGCATGTGCTAATGCAATCGCCATCATAGGTTTTGTACTGCGGTTTTTCGAGGTCACTTGGGAGACAGCCCGCGTATTGTACTGCATCAATTTCGTCATCTTTTCATTGCGTCTGTTCCGAATGTACTTTGTCAGCGGCTATTTGGGGCCTAAGATTATCATGATAAAGAGAATGGTGAGTTATTTCTATAGAGGATATTACACGGTGGCGCGAAGATATGAATTTTATTTTCGAGTGGCAAAACAATATTTTATGGACGAGCACAGCAAGTGAGTAAAATATTGTTTTTGCCACGAGAAAATAAAAGTCATATCTTCAAGCCGCCGTGTAATGTTCTTTTTATTATATAGACAAAAAGACATCGATAAAATAATAGAGGGAAATTACGTCATAGATAAACTCACGTGTGAGATTATGGAAAATAAACCACTCGGCTCCCGGATGTAGTTTTTATGAATTTTACGAGTGGTATATTTTTCAGTAAAACACTCGTGTCTGTATAATAAAGCCTGTTATTTTTAGTTTTGTTAATGAAATAATCATTTAAGTGATTCTACTAAAGGGAATCTAAATCGTCTCTGAAAACAGCACAGTTACCTCTTGTTTTCTCTTTGATACTCGAAGTTTCCTATTGCCGTCAATTGACCCTTGCTATGATCCACTTTTCCTGTCCGGTCAATTCAGGATAAAAGGTACCCTTAACTGCTGGTAAGCTTATAAAGTTGGGTTCCTGATATCCGGCCGGAGTGGTACTGGTTAGCCTTGCTTGAGTAGAGGTTTCTGGTGACCAAAAACTGAACAAAAGTCTAGCAGTACCATCCATTCGACGTTTTAATTGATGAAGTTACTTTTGTTTTCTGCAGCTTGAAGATGTTGTAATGTGGCTATGTCTTCTACTGGTATTTGTATGCAGTTATGGTGTGTTTAGGCAGGCCCTTTTCTTCGCTAATAAAGAACCGTACTGGGGTGTTATCAATGATCTATTCTACAAGCCTTACTGGCATGTGTATGGAGAACTTTTTGTCGAGCAAGAAGGTGGGTCACCTTTTTTCCAGCCTGTCTCCTATTTCACTTTTCCGGGAAGGTTTTTTTCTTACAAGATAGCGAGCTAATGGCCTGGGACTAGGCTCCTAATTGAGGGAAAAAGGAAAAAAGGGGTGCAACAGCTAAAAAAAGCGGGAGCCTGTCCCCAGGCTAGTGAACTAAGGGCTCAGCAGAACTATCATAACTTGCTGCTAGCTCAACCCCCTTTTGGCAGCGCTTCTAGGGTGTCCAGTTATAGCTTGTCCCACTCGTTCAGATAGTGGGGACGGTGCAAAGAGAGATGAACGAGGAAAAATAAGAAGGAAAGGGATTGAAGAAAAGGAGAAGAAACAGCGGGGACGAGGGCAGGGTGGGTGGTTACGTGACGTGCATGCGTAATAGATACCTGGAGATTAGGATTGCTGTCTCCTCTGGTCACCCGCAATAAATGATAGCACGGTGCAGTTTGACGTAATGCGGACCCAGTCCCACGTGCGACCAATGGCAATGATCTATCCTGTGGAATGTGGACAAGAACATTAAGATTTATCATTATTTTGTTTCTGGTAGCGGAACAAGGAAAGCTAGCCACGGGGGAGATTCCTTTACATGATGGCGAACATTTGAAATGGATTCACAGAATACTCATGGGAGCTTACCTGCTCATCACAAACGTGCTTCTTATAAACCTTCTTATTGCCATATTCAGGTATCATGTTCTTTATTAGTTACTTTGTAACATTAGAGAAGATAATTTGAAAAACTCACACTTTTTCGACTGAAGCTGCACACAGATATTCTGTTGGAGATTATTTATTCTCCGATTCATGTGTTTTTTTTTTCGACGTCTTCAGGGTTTATTCAGGCGATGCAAATTTCATTATTGTAAACAGTCGTTGCCGTTTTTAGTTATCTTAAAAAATTTGGAACTGTTTTTGACTGTGTTATAACTAAACGCCCATTTAGCTTGGGTTGTACTTCGTTCTTTCTCCGACTATTGTTTATTTATTTATTTATACCACAAGGAATATATTACTTCTACCATAAATAAAGGCTTGGTTACCAACGGTTATAGATTACTGATGCATTAGAGCCTGGCTTCAGCTACTGATTGTTAAATATTTGAGCCTGCTTGCTAACTTAATGCGTCCTTTCTTTATTGCACTGCAGCAACGTTTTTAACGAAGTGGAAGTGAATTCATATCAGATCTGGAAGTACCAGTACTATTATCTAGTGATGGAATACAGCAAACAACCTCCGCTTGCACCACCTTTCGCAATCATTTATCACTTGATTGAGCTTATACAGTGGCTTGGGAAGAAGTGTCGAAAACCCAACAAAGTTTCTCGTGAGTAGTTACTATGTACGCTTGTAACAGATAGGTTCATGTTTTCAAGAACACGGTGGCGTAAAATTCAAAGCAAATTACCAAATAACTCTTCCTGAAATTATAGACTAACATGGGACTTTCTCTAAAAAGCTAACTCGTTACGTTCCCTTCACGACAACTACCTCTACTACATTTTAGACAAAGTCCTTAGATAATATGTTTTTGTTCAAGGTGCTTCATAGTTTCAGCTTATTTTAACAATATTTAAATAAGCTACTTATTTTCCACATTAGCAGAGGTTTTTTTTTGTTTTTGTGCCATTGAAGTTTTGTTTCGTTTTACAGACTGGCTCCTTGCGCCAAATATTTTAATCGATTAATTATAATAAATAATTATTCCATTTATAGTTATTCATTTCTTACATCAGGCAAATATACACAATATTTACCATGTAACATGACCCCATTCACAAGGATTTCGATTAGAATCTTATGGTGTGTCTAAAAATGGACTATTTTTCGTTTAGCCAAGTTCACTGCAGAGGACCTTGAACTTTTGAGACTTTTTGAAATCGAGAGCGCCGCCAAATATCGGCAGAGAGTTGAAGAACAGAAGAGGACTGGTACGGAGGAAAGGATACGAAAAACTAATGAAAGGTGAGAAAGATGGAAGCGATGCATCACATTCTACTCCTCATCTCCTGATAATAGTTTACATGTAGTCTAAATATCTTTGTTATCAAAAAGTCAAGCTACAAAAGCATAGTAATACGCAAATTATGTTTTTGAATCGAGAGACATTACTCTTCTTTACACAAATAACAATGACAAACTGGGAAACACTAGACTACTATGTCGCGCTTTTTGCTGTCGTTTAAAAAGTAAATCGTGTCTTCGCATCAATTGAATTCCAGTAATAATGGCCCAGCATGAAGGATGGACATGGATTGAAACTTTGAAAATTGGGGCCAATTTTTTTAAGAAGCCATACCTGCAAAAATCACCAAAAGATTATTATGGTTAGTACTCCCTGATGAAGTTTGTTTGATATCTACTTAATAACTCGATTGGAGCACTTTGTGTATGGGTAAAGGCACTAAGTTAATGATTGATCGGGCGCTAGAAATGACTGGTGAAAAATCGTATAGAATGAAAACTAGTGGTGTCTGTCCCTTTATACTTTTTTTCAACCTACCATCCTTTGCGTGTTGAAAAGTGACGTAATAATGCCCCTTCCATCTTTTATACTGCGGCTAAATACGGTCACTGTTGAACTGTTCACCTGTGTGGGGAACGTGTGGCCGTTGTGATAGAAAAAAAAAGAGGCATTCATCTCCATTCTTATCACATCTTCCTGGCAAATTATGATCAATTTGTACGCTTACCAATGAGAGAACGAAGCATGACGGCTTTTATGGTCTGTTCCATTTGTTCATGCACGTTTGGATAAATAGTGTGGTTTATTTTAGTGTTTAATTCTCAATTTGTTCTTTACATTTTGTTTTTTTATGCTCACAATAGGGTGAAACACTTGGTGAAAAAAGTGACAGAGTTGCAGGAAACCCTTCAACAATATCTTACAAATATCAATGAAGACTGACTTGAAGTGACAGTCACTTTGCTTGAAAAAAGTACTTCAAAACGAGAAGCCTTTCTCTCCCTTTTTCTTTTGTGACTTGAACGAGAGAATGTTTATTTAAATTACTCTTGAACATGTTAGAGTGTATTGACCATTTTTACAGTGCCCGTAATAGAAATAACAAAATATTCATGTTTGTAATACCCCCCCCCAGCGGAAATGCTAAAATACAAAAACTAATAGCAAAACATATATTCGAATGCTTTGAAAAAAGGAAAGGGGAAGACGGTAAAAAGTAAATACTGTGGAACTTAATAAATTAATAACTTATTAGCCATATATAATTAGGAATTTTTTGTTGTTTGTAATTTTAGTTATTTGGAAATAGCTGATATACTATTTATTGTACAAGACTCCAAATAAATAAAACATGTATGTATGTTTGTACGTATGTATGTATGTATGATGAGTGTGGTCCTACAATTTCGGACCATACGAAACAGCACTGTCGCAATAAACGATCAATGATTACTCCCGAAGCCTGAACTCCTGTGATTATTAATATGTATGTATGTAATAGACCTTGTTTACCATCGAGAAAAAATGTGTATATTAAAATTCTATCATCGCTCTGACGCTTTAGGGGCAAAATTGACCACTCCAGAAAATGTCAATACATACCATAATGCTCTTTGTTTGTCACCCCAAAATTTTGCATAAGCACTGTTTTCAGTTTCTCTTGGGGCCATTTTAACTCCCAAAAGAAACTGAAGACAGTGTTTATGCAAAATTTTGGGGTGACAAACAAAGAGCATTGTGGTATGTTATGGTATTTTCTGTAGTGAGAATAACATCGACATAAGTATAATCACAAGATGGGTAGAAGGTCTTCATATTCGGATTTCAGCTTTTTTATTGTTTTGCGCTATTAGCAAGATGAAAATATTATAAACAAACATTAGAATGCATTACAAAAACAAAACTAAGAAAAGAAAATTACACAAATGGTGAAAAGTCAAATGTGCGCAGTGACTAAAATATCTTATCAGCTTTTGAGTTCGTCACTGCCACGTGCAATTAACCTAGACATGTACATAAAATCACAAGACATGGAAAAAAGTAGTGCAAAATGTGTTATTATAAATCTGGCAGTGTTTATATATACAAACACAACACAAAGTGAAAGGAAAAACTAAATAATTAATTATCAACATTGGCAGAATACTCTAAAGACAAATAACAGTTTAGAAAAAGATGCACATACATCTTTTTATAACGCAACCAGTCATCTTTATGTTTGAACTTATATGCTTTAAATTTACTATGCTTGTGTGGGGGAGACGGGCCTTCATTCGCAGCTCTGGCTTAGTTTGTCCTGTTACCGGTCGCCTGTGTTGATTCAAAATCGTTTCGATAGAAGTTCAATAAGTGAAGGTGTAAATAATTTCACGTACTTGGCTGAAAGAACGAAGAATGTTCACCCCAAATGTTTCCCTTGTTCATCTGCAAGCTATACTTGAAGTGATCAACATTTTTTTTGTGTAATTGTAGTGCTTGAGGCTCGGGCTTGAGGTCGTATTCAAAACGACCGCGGTCAGAGTTTCGATTCAGGTTCAGAGGCAAGGGGCGTTGCTATGCACTTCCCCGCCCTATCACCCTGCGGAATATCTTGACGTAAGCTTCTCGGAAGTCTCGGATCCTCCAGCTATAAATCAGAAAGTTCATAGCGGAGTTTGACACTGCTAAAGTCCTTATCCACATAAATGCAGGGCCATGTACCTTTACAAGATGTTTGCCCGAAGCAAAAAATGTTGTAATCAGCGGAAACCAACAGGCACTGAAGACAAGGATAACAATCGCCAAAGTGAAAGCGACCCGCCTCTCTACATTGGAAGTGATCGCATCCGGTCTGGATTCTGTTCCTCTTAAGTATTTCCTTTTCCCTCTTTCTTTCATCAGAAATATGAAAATCGAAGCGTACGACACAGTGATGATGAGATAACTTAAAACGAATAAAACAAAGGCAAGAATTGATGTTTCGTCCACTACCCGAATGGCCGTAAACGAAATAGCAATGCCCCAGACAGCCACCAGCATGATTTTCAAACCATATGTCTTCATTATCTTGTTGTGCCGCAAAGGAAAGACAACTGCAAGGAAACGATCAACGCTGATAGCTGCAAGGTGTAGAATTGACGAGGTAAAAGACAGATTGCCGGTATTGTAGTAGGCAAGTTCCAGATTCGTTGGACACTCGTGAGCGAATGCTAACTTGCCAATCATCGCCACAAGCAAGGGCGCGCAAGCCACGGTGACAATCAAATCAGCAACTGCTAAACTGAAAAGGAGGAAGTTGGAAATTTTACGAAGTCTGGGGATAGTAATAACTGCGATGCAGACAAGTACATTGCCAAAGGTACCCAACACGGCAGTCAGGGAATTTGTCGACATCAAAGCAATAGCGTGGACTGGTGAAAGATGACACTTGTTGGTAAGATTCATTTGAACTCCTTAGAACTGTTTTTAGTCACTAGTATTGTAACTGAACGAAAGGCGATGCGAGGCCTGTGAGTCGATGCTGCCTAAAACCGTTCAACCAACCTTTATTCGACCCAAAAAAGGAGCTATAAGTTACAATGCTGCACGTGATTGATTGGGTTGAACCGGGGAATGCCCCTATAACGCCACGTTAGGAAACTACTTAAAATTCCGGGATTACTTCCGCGAAGCAGCTCTGACTGAAACTTTAAAGTGAAGGATCATTTGATAGCTTAGCTATCAAGCACAGCTTCCCTCTACGCTTGCCTGTGTAGCACGAGGCGCCAGTTTTGTTAAAACCCAAGCCTGCCACACACAGTAAGAGTCCGGGCTGACAGCTTCAGCGCAAATGCAAGATAATGCCGAACTATAAAAAGAAGCAGAAAAAGCTCTAAAAGTAAACATGTGACAGGAAAGTCATGTTCTAATAATAAAGGAAGTTGAACGCTTATCAAAGAATTGTTCCGACACAGTCGACCGCTTCACTTTAAGAATTACAAGCTGTCAGGACTTTCACTGCCGTGTTAGTTAGTTGTACGGCAGCCTACGCGTAGCCGCACCCTCCCCCCGACGAAGGAAAACGGGGGGAGGGTGCGGCTACACGTAGGAACGTAGGCTATAGTCGTATCGTAGATTAAGGGACCAGTTCCTTGAAAACCGGTTAAAATTAAAAGGGACAAACTTAAAGCAAGGGGCACACATACACCAACCCACGGCCTGGCCAGTACCTCACGCATGCGCACAGCCACCCTCACGCATTCCTTCCGTTTTGTTTTCGTGCATTCAGCCATATCTCGCACCCGGGCTAGGGCAGTGGCAGCCATGGACAGCTGTTTTGCCCTTATTGGAGTTCACCAGCGTGGCATAGCCGTCGGACCTTTAAGAATGACAATGAAATGTAAACTCAACGACAACAAAATAAAAACAATTCTATTAGACTTTTATTTACACATTTACATTAACATCAATTTTCACGGAAAGCCCCTCAAATTCATAACCCTTACGTTTATCGTCATAGATCTGTTTGTTCCAAAATATGGACTCTAAATAAAAACATACAGAAACAGGAGCCCAAGACAATGGGCTCCTGACAGAAAACATTGGTTGAAATGCATCGTTGGTTTCATTACTGACGCCACAAAAAACAGAGCCAGTTTCATCGCGTATAACAATAACACATTATTACAACAAAAGAATTTCATGAGTACAAAAAGGACTATCTCTGAACATATAAACCAAAAAAAAAAACAAATATAACAAATGTTTATATTATACTTTACAGTGAATCCCTTTTTCCACATCTCTAAGGAGCACAGTATGCACCCCTATTGTTCCCGTCCATTTTCAAATATGTTTTGCGGAAGGGTATGCACCACAACCCGGCACGCCAAAACACCCCGTACCTCTCGAAAACACACTCCGAAAATCCGGAAAATTTTCCCTTTGTTTTATTCATTTTTGATCATTTGACGTGTTCCGGGTTTCAGTGCATGCATTGCAGAATGTCCTGTGCCTCGAAAGACGGTTAAGTTAACCTACGACAAACCCAAATTCTAAGAAATGTTTTTCTGTCTGGAAATATGCTTGTAACTCGATCTAATGAAATATCGTTCACCCTTTAATCCGAGATCAGTTATAAGAATAATACTCTAAAAATATATGGAAGGGTAAATACAACCACGGATCAAAATTTCACTTTCGCATTCGCGGTAATCGGCCTTTTAGGAACCAGGCCCTGTGGCTGGTGGCATTTGTGATCATTTCACTCAACTCCATAAATCGGCGCAATGTGCCGTTAGTGTTGGTAATATAAATAAAAAATAGTTTGAAGTACTTATAATCTTCCTATGTAGCAATCATATTTATTTCATTTAAAATTTTTCAACATCTACACTGAATTACCAAAATAGAATCTTCTGTTTATTGGGAACGATTATGATTGGAACGATTGGGAATGAACGACTATGATTTGATTCTAGAAAACTAGGATATTGCAGGTCGTTTGAGTCTTGGTTCTGTATGGGTCAGGGATTGCCGACTGTCAGAGAATTAACCAAAATATTAACACGAACACTCAAAACTGGAGAAGGAAAAAACGATGTTCAGGAAAGTCAAAAGGGAAATAATGATGCATGTGCAAAACTGGGAATGTTTTCAAAGAACTTGATTCCAGGCGAGTCATCTTTGTTTCTTCTGAGCTCACGATGACGTGAACAAGCCTTCTCAGTTTAAGTCTTAAGCCTTTAGACTCACAACGACGATTTGACCAAAAATTTGGACAAAACTACTGCCCAAGAATAAAAACAGTCTTCTTCCCGATGACGTGCGTGGCTCTTTGCTTGAATAAGCTGCGATCTGGCGGACTTTCTTTCTTTTTTTTTTGGAAGACGAGGGGAGAAGGTGAAAAAAAAAGCCTGATCGCTGGTTATTGTTTGAGCTCACTAAGAACAAACTAAAGGAAAGCCATCGAAAACGTCCTGTGTTCAAAACAAACCCTTCGTGAAACAACAAGGGCACCTGGACTAACTTGGAGTTTCGAAAGGAAATTTTTCTGGTTAATTACCACTGCTTTTGGCCCGACCGTACGTCAAAAACATGAGTCCAGCTCCCAGGAAGTTTTTAATTATTATTATACATGTATTATGGCGTACTATGGTGAAGCTTCTTGCATAATCTCCTTTATTTCGTGGTAGAAGTAACGTTTTTGATCTGGGCTGCCACTTCCTTCTGTGTTGCCAGTGTCTGAGTGAATTTTTGTTCCGTGAGACTAACTGACGCGATTGTTTGGAAAAGAGATGCAACTGGGATGTCATCTGGTAGCTTAGAAAGAAACTGGCCAAGATGAATGAAATCCATACCCAGCAAGTCCTCTAGGTAGAATTTTAATATCCCTAAAGAAAAAAAATTGAATCAGTTGAAAGAAGTATAAAAAGTAGTAAAAAATACGTGTAAAGACCTTAACAAACACTGGAGAGTAGCAGTGCTCAAATCAATCAATCAATCAATGAATAAAATAAAATAAAAAAAATAAAAATTATAATTACATGTTATATTAATTATTATTAATATTGCAAATTACTTTTTACTCTAACTTTCTAATCAGTGGAGAAAATTCTGTACTGCCACCAATCAAATGAAACCTGTTTGGCAGAACTTCTGCATAGTGCAATAGTCCAGTTTCGAATTAAAAATTACCGCTGAATACAAACATTAACGACACATTCATACAGGGCTAGCCCCGACGTAAAGTAAAATATTCAGAAATTCCGGGAAGTAAGTGTTTAAAATTTGAATACACACAATAGACAGGGTAATAAACAGGTCTTTTTCTTGCTAGAATTTGTTGATATATTACTTCAGATGGAGGCTAAGCCTGTAAAAAAAAGCGTCTTCACTTCTTTAATGCAGCAGTCACAGCGAACTCGAAACTGGACAACTCATTTTTTATGATTCCACAACAAGAAATTAAAATTTTAAATTTGTTTTTGGCCACTACTAGCAGTGCTTAAGAGTGCAGGGTACTCACCAAGTGCAGCCCGGAATAGAAATGCTTCACCATCTCTACAAAACACATCCCATACTCGAGAGGCAGCATCCAGCGGTAATGACTTGCTAAACAATGTGAATGTCCTGCAAATTAACACACATGAAGATATAACGATTGATTTATACAAATATATGTAAAAAAATAAAATTCAGACTAACTGCTTCGAACATAATTAAAATTTTAGTCTAAAGTGAACGTACATGTAATAAGAAGGACCAGCTGGCTATATACAAACGAAATAAAGTGGTTGAACAGGGGAAAACTGGAGAGTAAGGGCATAACTTGAACTAAAACTGACTTTTGAGTATACAGATGGCAATGTAACAATCTGACCCTTTAGACACAAAGGTTAATGTATCTCCAATTCTAAAAAGGGGTCATAATTAAGTAATCTATTATTATAGTGATAATAAAGAACAAATGAAGCCCCTGAAAGCAAGTAGTGACTAATATTATATTATTTGCTAAAAGAAAGTAGACGTGATCTACAGAATTTTAAGATCAGCCTAAATAGCTGAAAACTACCTGAAAAATTCAGGTATGAGAGGGTTTACACCCTGACCTTGGTGGTAATAGCATGCAGTGTCTTATTTATTTGAGCTCATCCAGCCTTACCAATCAATGAGATACATATCAGGTGTGAAGTTCTCTTCTATAAAATGCGTGTGAAGTCTGGGGACAAACTCCTCGAGGAAGATTTCGAAGGCAGCGAAGTATGCAATCATCTACAGAACAACAAGGCAAAAAAATTAATTTACTGATGGGAAAACAAATGGGTTAGAGTCAGTCGCCACCCAAGGAGGCTGCGAGCACATTTTCTTGGCAATCAAGGGATGAAAGAGCAGGCAGAGTGAGAGACAGAGGGCGAGAGAGTTTGTTGAAGGACGCCTTAAAAGTCCCGCCAGACACAATGTAGTTAAAATAACAACGAACTCAATTTAAAAATGACATTACCATGGGATGATCAACTCTGAAGAAAGCTAACTGGCAAGGTTTGTTGAGAAGATTTGCAAAACAAATAAATGCATCAGATGGATCCATATTCAACAACAACACTGCTGCAAGGAATGACATGCCTTGAACCTAAACAAGAGAATAAGGAAAGAATAGTTCGGACTAAATAATTATTTCGAGCAGTCAATTGCCTCTTTACAAGCATAACAATGAATTACAATGGGTATTAAACTGCACAAAAAGTTATCTATAAAGTAGTTTGCCTCGGCCAGAATTCAGCAAGGTAAAAAGACACTGGAAAAGCAAAATAACTTCTAACATCATCAGAGAGCAGGAAAAAATAAGGAGGGAGATCAGAAGGGGAGAAGGACGCCCTCACCCTCTACCCCACCCCATCTCTATTTTTCCTGCTTACATCTTCTTGTGTCATCCCCACAATCGATATCTGAATACCTGGAACAGGCTAAATAACTTCGAGTGGGGAGATTGAGTTAAGGATTCTAAAATTAATCTATAACACAGAACAACTTACATAGCCAACATCAGGTCGATAGCAGGTGTAAGCTCCCAAAATGCTGTGAAGAACATCGTGGAATGGACCACCCTAATGCATTTAATAAAAGTCTTATGCCACCTTGTCACTATTCATACATGTTCATAGTAAACAACAGTGATAACCTGAGTCTAGCAGATCAAATGGAAAATATTAAATCATACATGTAAAAGTTAGACGTTATCTTTTGCGTGGCCACATTTAAGAATTATTTTCATCGCAAACTGTGCAGGCTTAACACTATAACTACGCTGGCATTCATTTTTGATCCTTTTATTTTAATTATTACTAAGGTAGTAAAGCTGAGACAAAAGTTCTCAGTAAATTGGGTGTGGTACATAACTGCAATTACTTTTTTTTAGAAACTGCCATTGTTTTTTAAAGGTACACTACTCCATAGTTGGCATTGCCTCGTCATGCATAATTATGCAAACTTTGCCACGGTTTAATGCAACAGAGATATACTGTAAAGGTCTTAAAGAGAAACAGCTAACGTTCTCAAGAGGTGTGTGAAATGGCTGATTACTATAGTGTTACAACTATAGATAAAGTCATAAATAGTGTGGTATTATCACCAATAGTTTCTATTGTTTTAAGGTGAGGAGACTTAAGATGAGAAGAAAATGAGGAAAATTTACCTCCTGGAAAATACAAAGTGAAGGAAACGTTCGTGACACATCCATCATGATAAGTTCAACTGTGTGAGCTTTGCTGACAACAGGGTGATCACTGGCTGGCAGTTCTGCGACAGTCTGAGTCTGGTTTTTCTTCTTGTTTAGCCTTGTTGTGAATAGCTTCTCATATGCATGAGACTGAAAGATGTCGAATAATTCTGCAACAGGAGAAGTGAAAACCTGAATGAGCAGTCAAAAGTCCCAGTTTATTTCACTACAAGATTAGAAATAACTTCAACACTTAAGTCTTTAAACTACAATACATACATGTACAATATACAACTATCACCTTTCAAGTGAATTGCAGAATACCGTAAAATTTCGAAAATAAGCCCCTCCAAATATAATCCCCCCAAACCGGTAACGCAAAAAGCCCTCCGTCAAATCGCCCCCCCAAATATAAGCCCCCCGGGGGCTTGTGCTTGGAAAATTGCCCTCAAATACAAAGTAAAACAAAGCAAAAACGGTAAATTTACTTCCCACTATAAGGTTAGCCCAATCGATTTAAAAATGCAAATTTCGCTCCTTAGATAAGCCCCTCAAAAAGAGTCTTTGAAAAATATAAGCCCCGGGGCTTATTTTCGGAATTTTACGGTATATTATTAAAGAATTAATGCTTTAGAACTACATGAAATTGATTTACTCTAATTTTTAATACAATGGTAACATACCCTGAGTAATATGCAGGTCATTTCCGATAGCAAGTTTCCAGACCTTTCCACGTACACTTGGAGGAAGACCTTGCCACCAAAGCTCTCTTGCCTTCTTAGAGTGCCGCCTATAAATGAAATAGGGTAGGGGAAAAAAATCACAACTACGCATTGCTCTGCAATGCAATTCTGCCAAACAAAAATGATTTTAAAATGATTAAACTCGGAGGACTACAAATTCATGATCACCTCTCTGACAATAGTCTACACTCATTTAAAACTAGTGTATCTAAGATTTCTGAGAAATACCTTAGTAACTTCTTTGGATTGAAAAACACGATAGTAAAAAAGAAAAAAAACAGTAAATAGCTTATAAACAAAAGAATGAAAGAGAACTTACATAGTGTCAAAGTTGGGCAAAATCTCATTTGCCCATAAAGAGACTGCAGACACAATTCCATCCTCCTGTTTACACTTTTCTCTAAGTTTCTGTTCCTGACGCTTCATGTCTTTTAATTCTATGACAGCAAAGAAATAACAAAAAAGAGAAGCTATTGAGTACCTGAAACCAAGAAAAAAGACTAATTTTTACAATAAGATTTCACTTCAAAATGCCTACACAATAATTTCTGGAACATTGAGCTTTGCCAAAAGAACAATATCCTCAAGTTCAATTATTCTTTATTCCTAAACAATGTTGATCACATAATCTAAACCTGTAATGATTTGTTTGCATTTTTTTCATACAACTACATACGGAACGGACACTTCTATATGACAGACACCTTGCTAAGACAGACACCTAAAGTCAGTCTCTGCCTTTCTTTACATAAAAATTGTAAAAATAATTATTTTTTAGTCTCTTTATTTGTCTCTCTACAAGACAGACACCTCTCTAAGATGGACACTTGGTACACTATACTGGCTCCAAAGGTGTCTGCCTTAGAGAGAGCTGACTGTAGTTTTATTTTCACCTTTTTTCTTTGCCTCGGCCACCATTGCTTCATATTGTTTTCTGTGCTTTTTCTCCTCAGCTGCTGATTTAGCTGGGAGGTTGCTGCAATTGGGTATAACAGAAATAATCAGCAAAATTAACTATTTTAACCCAAGAGGACATTTTACTTAAAATTTTTAACAAGGCAGCAATAGTCATACGTTTCTAAAGTGGCCCGGAGGCTCTGTCATTAAGGACTGTAACCCATAACAGTTGTTACAGCTGTACGACTGAGCTCACTCGATGTATAGTTGTAATACAATATATGTCTTGTGTATGTATAACAATATTACTCCACGAGTGCGAGGTTCATATGAGATGGCAGATAGCCAACGAGGCGCTGTTGGCTGTAATCATCTCATATCCAACAAGTGCATGTGGAATAATTGTTTTATTAAAAATCTCACAAAATATCGAAAATTCTTCCTGACTTTTTTTGTAAAAACAACCGACTTTCAGCTTGTTTTTTATTTTGAGTAGACACATGCAGTTACCATATTTGGAGAGCAAGCATGGTATAATGGCTCATATACCATGATGGAAAAGCCAATCAGAGCTCTAGAATTGCATTATCCAATGATTCAGTTTTTAATAATAATTATAGTATAAACGTAAACTGAGTGATGATAGAAAGAGATTTCTACATTACATTGTAGAATTGTCAATGTCATTCTTTTAAACTGAAGTCTCATGTGTAGCTAAGAAGTTAGAACACTGGACTTGAAAACCAGAGGTCCTGAGTTCAAGTCTCTAACCAGCTGGTTTCCCCTTCTCTTAGCTGGGATTCATAGCCCTGTAAGGGAGAGGATAATTTTTTAAATAAAAAAATTAGTTACTTTTATGCTGGTCTGACAAAAACTTTCCCAAACTAATGAGGATCACCACAGTGATCCAATCTACTGTTAGTCAGAATTACAAGTTCATGTAAGCAGCCTGAAATTTAAGGAAAGATATTCACTTTTTCTAATGTTTGCTTCATACCTTGGCCTATTTTCGAAGATAAGGGCTGTAGTGGAGCTTCCAGTAGTAGGTTTCTTTCTCAAAGAAGGGAACTTGGGTTTGAAGTTTGGAGCAGTTACAGATGGTTTGTCACCAAAAGACTTGCGCTTCACGTCTCCTACAAAAAAACAATAAAAGCAATCTTTATAATAAATATCATCATCAAACACAACCACAAACCCAGTTATTAAAAGGCTAAACTAGGGGCTGATTTTCATTTACTTCAATCTCTACAAAGTACAAAGCATTTTTTGTATTAACCTAGTATCATAGTTCTGGAAAGGGCCTTAAGTTATGTCTAAGACACTAACAATGGAATCAGAATCAGAGACCCGTAATTGGAGTCATAACAACACTTATGACCTGGAGAAAAAGTTGAAATTGGATTTGCAAGTAGGGGTAAGATTTTCATAATCAGAGGCAGAATACAGGTAACCTGTGATCAGGCATTCTATTTTTTTTGGGAGGGGGGGGGGAAGAGGGGTAAAATGAATGCTTGATACACTTTTATCTTGAGCCGTCACAATTTATATGTGATCTGACAAATAAAATAATGCATCATGCCCTCTTCCTGCCATGAGATAAAAACATAGAGGGAGCTAGGGAAGCACAATATCAGGCTAAGGGAGGAGAAGAAGAATAAAACATATCATAGTGTTCATTTCCAAATGTTGTGAGTGCTTTTGCTTGTGACTCCAGTCCAGTGATCACAACCAACAAACCAGAATACCATTCTCACTAGAGAATAACATTATACAACTCCAACTCGATAACCAGCGAAAACTAAATGCTAAAACTAAGTGCACCATAAAACTCTAAAGATACATGTAATTGATGGACAGTTTTAACCATCTAGGGTTACCTCTATCAAAAGAGGATGCCTGATAGTGAGGTTCACTGCTGTTATCCCTGACATCTTTCGCTGGAACCTTGCCAAATAACTTCCAGCCCTGAACAGGCTCCTTTTGAGATGATCTTGAAAACAGGCCTCTACAGACACAACCATGGAAGCACAAAATTATTATTAAAGTAACATACACTGTAAGTGAAATGAGGATAAGGTGCACTGCTCAATGCCTTTTCACAGTCTCCTAACATCAGATATAAAGACTTGTACATGCAATGTAGTTCTACCTACATGTACATGTAATTAGGAAAAAATTCTATGCTGTGACCATTCAAATGAAAGTTCTTTTTTCAGCAGTTCTTTGATAAGGGGGATCAAGGGGGGTGGGGTCTAATCATGAGTTCAAGAACAACAGTTTTGTGTTTCACGAGTCACGAAACAAATAATAGTTACGTTTTCACGTTTCTCAAAAATAGAGGTCGTACAACATGTCAAAAACATTACGTTAGTCCCATTTTGTAACACAGAGTGCTTTGATTATATTTCTAGAGTTTTAAGAACCAATAAATTCCCAAGGGAAGCCAGCTGTATGTGAGTCTGAGTGCACTGAAGTGTGAAGTTACATCAAAAGACTCAAAGTGAAGTTTAATCAAGCCACCAGATGCATTTGTACTCGTCAAGGTCATTTGGCCAAATTAAAGATTGAATTTCTTCAATTCACCTTCAATGTATGTGTACACAATAGAGGATTTGGCTAGTTCAGGTTTCAAGGAGACCACTTTAGTCATGATTCACCCAACAGTTATTCAGTACATCACAATAACTGTGTTGCAATGAATTATTCATGGCGAGCAAAAATGGTTGATCACGGCATCACAAAAATAAGCTTGTCCGTCACCCCCCGACTTGATGTGTTACCCAAGAGGGGTTCTAGGTTCTACATGGTTAAAGTGACAGGCCGACAATTGAGGATTTTTTGTTTGAAATTTTCTATTATGGGTTTTTTTTGGATGCCTTAATTGAATAATTTTTGCAAAACTGAAATTCCCGATGCCATTTTTCTGGACTAGGTAGGTGGTGTCAGGGATGCCACCAAGGAATGGAGCCTGGGATTTCCTCTACATGTACTATAAACATGAATCCCTCCTTCTTTCATGAGAGATATATACAAAGGAAAATAGAACCAAAAGAACTTCCAAGCAGTTTAACAGATTCCCAATTCTGCTATGTTATAATTGCATATACATGCACCCAGCAACTTGAAATCTCAGTGACAGCCCTTGTTGTGATGGAGGGGAAAGAGTAACAAAATTTTTTCTATTTCAGTTTCATTGTACAAGTTTAAATTCCTTTCTGGAATAATTTTACGGTATGTGTGTACCCTAAAACAGAAAGAAAGAGGGAAAGAAATAATAAAGCGTATACTTACTTCAGTTTACTTTGCTTCTGTGAACTACTGCCATCTACGTCAGTTCCAGTTTTTGCATTAGGGCTGGGTGCGTAAGTGTTTGAAGATTTAGGAATCCATGCAGCAACTGATTCATCCAAAGAGAGTCTAGACATTTGTTCGTACAATTCAGGGCTAAATCGTGAGTTATTGAGTGGTATTTCTTCCAACTCGTCATCTCTGACAGTGGAGCTAATTCCACTGTCTTCAGTACAACTAGTAACAGAAGAGCAAGCACTAAATTCAACGTCACTAATAGGCGAGTCAGACGATTGTCCGCCTTCCTTGTCTCGTTTGCCTTTATGTGAATTTTCACCACCACTTGCCCATTTAACAAAGTTTTTATCAAGCAAATCGTCCGACGAGTTAGCTTTGCGAGCAACAAGTGGAAACACCTCATCGCTGTCAGACTCGAGAGAAGGATCCCTGCGATGATTTGAACCAAGAAGGTTTTCAGAAGAACCACCGGGTGACGAACTGTGTATCTTTTTTGCTGGGGGAAATTCATTAGAAACGCTGGATGGTTTCGAAAATTCCGGGGGTAACCCGGAAACACTGGTTAAGTTCTCATTAGTTTTCTCATTTGTCCCAATCATCGTATGATTTCCGTTAAATTCCTCTTCTCCAGAATTAATGTCCCGTGTTTTACCAAAGTCCTCTGGTATTGGCTCATCGGAGAAACTCGAAGCAGTTTTTGACACATCAGAGTTCACAACTTGGGCGTCTGGAGTTTCCACATCATCTGATAAATTTGAGTTTGTTAGTAACGATTCATGGCAGTGAAGATCATTTGGAGGATCTTTACTTTCCTCTGATTCACTGACGTTTTCCTCCATTATTTTCGAGACAACCTCATAATTCTTTGCGGAGCTCAACATCGTTGAAATATTCCTATCGTGAGTTGCGGAACACGCCGGAGTAAAATTCGACGGCTCGATCCTAAAATTTATCGGAAATTCTATTTGTTTTCCGTTTTGTTCTCCATAGCTTTTCTGGAAACAGTGACGGATGCTGTAAATCTATCCCTGTGTTAGAAATTTAGATCCCTTGCGTATAAAATGCAGAGAGACCTTATAGTAATTACCATGACGAGGTGTCACGATTCATCGCCCGCCATTTTGTTTACTCCACGCTCCAAAACCCTCATCGAGTCCCATCATGCAAAGCTCTTCGAGAGGTTTCCGTCCTTTTCGGAAATCTTCGTTGGGTTGTCGATTGTAAGTCGGGAAAAAATGGCGGGTTGATCGAATCGAAACTGCGAATCACTGGTTTTTCAACAGCTGATAATGCAAGAAGATAGCCCAGGTAGACAAGATAAGCGGGTGAGAAATGAGCGTTACAATACGCCAACAAAGCCGAAGCGGCTTTCGGTGTCAACTGCGCGGCACAAGGCCAAAGAATTCGCTGCCAAAGACGACAAGTCCACACGGGTCTTGGCAAAACAAGCTATATTAAAAGAACTAAATACTCAGTTGCTAGTCAAAGCTGAAGGAATTACACCACAAAATCGAAAGCACGAAGAAAAAGCTAAGAATGATGCAGGTATGATCCAAGACATCCCATATGATTTAAGGCTAAATATATAGAAGGCTGAAATTTGGCGGGAAGTTTAAATCGTAAAAAGGGCCGGACTGCACGACACAGACGATACAGCTATTTCGAGAAAGGTTGTCGAAAACAATGTGCCCGCAACAATCCCGAAAGGTAATATGGGATATGATCAGTGCACTGTTCCCAATGACTGTAGCTGTTGAACCTACTTTTGTTGCTGTCCTTTATAGCACTCGCAAACATGTGTCTGTGGCGTCCCGTGCCATTCTTCAGCATTCTTTCAAATTTCTTTAAAGAACAGTGCACTCAAAACCACCCACAATACCTTCGGATTGTCGCGTGCACTTTTTCCGAGCACCTTTCTCGAAATAGCTGTAAACAGAAGGGGGGCGTTGGGGTCTATAAAAAACCAAAAAACTGCTCTAAAAATGACCCAACACAAAAAACGCATAAAAAACCATCAAAACCGAAGATTTACACTGCTCAATTTTCACAAAACCCTAGTCTAGATCTCAAACGCTGGTGATATGTGGAACATGCAGACTAAACAATATCACATCATCATTCTAGATGTTAATATCATCACAGTATTGGCACTATCTATGGGTGCTATGGTCGTAAAACTGGCACATCTGGCCTAGGACCCTCTAGGAGAATTCACAAAGATCCTAGATTGAATAGCAATAGTCAAGAGGACATTGGGGGAAATTTTGCATTTGTAAAAAGCTCTCCAGGTTTATTAGCCTGCAAAAACATCCATTTCTCCTTGCTCTTCTCTGCTGGGGACTTTTCGTGAGGAGGAACGTCTGCGACTCAGCGACAGAAATTCCATACTGATGATGTAAAATGTGTTCGGAATCTGGTCAGAAGCGCTGATTGGTCAATGGAGTAATTACATTGTTTTAGTTATTGTTTACGAATGACAGACAAAAGGCCACAAAGGTCAAATGTAAACACGAAGAATCTAACATTATTTTATCAGTCAATATTTCTGGAATATAGGCTTCTCTAGAAGAAGCATTTGAGTTTTGCTGGAGCTCTTTGGCAGATGAACACAGCACTTCACCAAAATCGACCAGAAGACACTCTAAATTGGACAAATTTATATTTGGAACGCCATGACTACCGGATTCGTTATGTAAACATTGATTTGTGTCATCAGTATGGAATTTCTGTCGCTGAGTCGCAGACATTCCTCCTTGCGAAACGTCCCCAGCGACGAAGAGCTAGGAGAAACAGATGTTTTTGCAGGCTACAGGTGTATAAAACCTCCAGAATCCCACATTTACAGACCTACAATGTAGATTGACTGTAAAATATAGAAACATAATGGGGCCTAACATGTGACTATACAGAGACACAGAGGAATCTAACCTGCACAGTTTGTTACTTTTTTGGTCTTTAGCGGGACAGAGCACAGACTCCCAAGGTGGTTTTTGTGGACGTCAAAACCCACTACAAGCCGTGGACTGAAACCTTTCAATATACACACTTTAACTCACCCTCTGGGGGTAAAAAGAGGTTTCATTGGAGGCAAAGCAATAAGATTGCTTAGAACAAACTCTTAAAAAAAAAAAACAATTGAAGAGTGCCTTTCAAATGTTAAACAATGCCTCGAAGCCCGCAGATATCCTAAACAAGATATAGAAAGGTCATTGTCAGAGGTCCACTTTGACTCAAGACAATTGGCACTAAAACAAAAGCAAAAAAGTAAGGAGAGACTTTTGCCTTTTGTTACAACATATGACCCAGCGGTACAAGATCTTAAAGAGAAATTGATGCCAAATCAATAGAATAATAATAGAAAATCAGCCTCTGCTGACCTCCGATCATATTCTGCAAGAGGTAAATCTCTAAAAGACATGCTTGTAAGAGCAAAAAATGTAACTTGCGAGGGCAGTTGATAATGCAACACAACCACAAAAACTACTTTGGGAGCCCATGCAGGTCTGTCTTTGACTTTCCTCGAAAGAGGAAAAACCAAAAACCACATCAGTCACCAAAATCCGAAAAACCAGATGCTAAAAAACAGAAAAACCGGAAACCGCAACAGACAACGAAACCGAAAAACTAAAGTTTTTCTGTGCAAAAACCGAAAAACCAACCTAAAAATGGCCAAAACCGAAAATCCCAACGTCCCACTCCAAACACTGTAGCACTGTACCAAGTGAACATAACATATTTAATAAACTTCAAACAATAGAGCAAGACGATAGGGCATATAATTCTGTATCGTATATAGAGCTTCACCTGTTTATAGGTTGATAGCGGAATAGCTGCCATCAGTAGACGTGATAAAGCCTCTCTATGTGTACCTGCAGATGCCGCTTTTGTCGTGCGTTTTCCACCAAATCGTCGGTTTTTCAATGACCCAACAAAATCATAGCTTCTCAAGAATTGTTTTGTGTAATATGCTGCTAGTGAGCTCCTACAACCAGGATAACAACGACAGAAACAAATATATGAAAAAGAGACAATTACTCATTTAGACACTGCAATAAATTTACCGTTGTGTCTAACTGAATAGCTGTGAACAATATTGCTGTATTTAATAAAATTAAATTAATGCATAAAATATATATTTTTTTGTAGAATACACTAACCAAAGGAAGGTAAAAGAAGAGAAAAGAAAACCTGCCAAATTCACATCAAAGATTCCAAGGTATTTCAGAGCTATTGCTATTTTTGCAATTGTTACTATAGTTGGGCTTTTTACAGACTTTTGCTATTCGAACTCAATCAGGGAGACCTCATGCTTGTGAATGGAAGTTACAGTGGATCTTTCTAACATAGAGTTCAATGATGACCTGAAATTGCTGGTTTGCAAAATTTCTGATGCTCAACTAAGGATTCAGGAATCAGTCATGAGGAAATGCTTAGGAATGGCGAGATGTTCCTCAAGAGTAACTTGAATGACTTGAGGTTTAGGTCTTTGTATAAAGGCCTTTGTGAACTAGGGATAGCCAGAAAATGAAATATACAAATAACAAGTTAATGGCCACATGTCCACAAGGTGGTTCTTCAAATGCCATCCTGTATCAAATAAATTGGTGTTTCAGGTGCGGATCCACACCAGTTTCTGCCAATTTAAGGAAACTGGTCCTATTTTTTAGTTAAAATTTCTGGGCATTAGACTCACTATGAACATCACTTGTCGCTGTCTAGTCCTTGTTTCACAGTCAGTGACTCAGAAACCTAGGAAAGAGGACTTAAGGGAGTTAAAATCCTAGAGATTTCCTGCGGGCATGCCCCCAGACCTCCCTGAAAGCTTGCTCCTTCGTTGCTTATTTAGGAAATTGGTCAGTATTTATCCTAGATCCACGCCTGAGTTTGCTTTTTGAGGAGAGGGTAAACCAGAGAGTCTGGAAAAACCTTTTGAAATAAAGGTATGAACCAAGAGCAAACTCAGCTCACATACAGTCAACTCCCTTTATTGTGACCTTTATTGCGACCTTTATAGCGACATGGAGTTGGTGTCCTAATTAGTGAGAGTGTTATAGAAAGAGTTTGTTTTTGCTGGGGATTTAACTCATTATTATCAGGGTATCCCTTATAGTGGGTTGTCCAGTGTTCTTACCAGACCGTGATATTGCAGCTTTGCTGCACTTTTTTGGGAAATGCCACCCTTTATTAGGTCCCAAGGGTGCGAAGAAGGAAAAAAAACTTGTTACAAAACGTATGTTATCATAGGTACAGGTTTGTGTACACATGCGTACATCTCCTTATAATATAAGCCAAAATTTAACTGGTTATGGTGTCTTTAGAAAACATCCATTATTATGTAAGAAAGTACGAGGTATTTACTTTAACTGAGATCTGCGAAAATGTTGAGTTAACTGTATCTAAAAATTGGGACCCGCTTTTCTCCCTCATGACCCCCTTTTAGCTTCTGTATGGGTCCTGTGGACCGTAGTGTAGGAAATCCTGGTAAGAACACTGGTTGTCTGCAAGGCCAGAGTTGACTGTATTATGACTTTGATGCCTGGACCTGAACCCAGGGCACATTTTGTGGGAGACAAATGCTGTCATCACAGAGACACTCTAGCTACAGAACTGTACCTCGTGACAAGTACTGGTACAGATGGGTGTGGGTGAGCAGACTGAGGAATTAGGACAATAACCATCCTATGTCTCAAGTGGACATGGAAATCTTGCTAAAAGTAACACAACTAAATTTATTTTTGCAATAACAAACTCAAAATGTCATTTTGCCCAAAACTGCTTCATGTACATTTTACAGGTCAAAATTAAATTCAGGTAATTTTTTTCAACTTAGGTTGATTCTCAGTCTCCTTTGTCTCCTAGCCCTAACTCATGAATAAACAGGGTTAGGAGACAAAGGAAATTGAGAATCAACCTACCTGTAACATACACATTGCTGAATTTGAAATCAGCTGGCTTTTCCTGCCAAATTCATCTCAAAAATATTTCAAATTTCAAAAATATTTATCAATAGCATGTTGTTTTATTATTTTTAGGAGGATAGATAGGGCCCATGCTACTGCAGCAGAGAAAAAGAAGGTCAAATCTCTTCCACAACAGCAGGAAAAACATCCTCATCTTGAAAGGGATGAAACTACTGAAAACAGGAAAAGGTATATAAAACCTGACCTCAGTAGATCTTGCACTTTAATAGCCCACAGGCAGCCCAAGCTCAGTATGAGAGCTGAATCATTAATACTTGTGGTCTTATATTGCATAATCCTCAAATGGCCATGACCATAAAGGATTTCTATGGGAATTCAGGTCATACATTCAACCAACCATTGAAATAGTTTGGGTAGCCTTTTGACGTTGCCAAACAAAGACTCATGGGGTACTGGAATGCAATTTGTCAACAGAAAGAGCTTGAGTTCTGGTTGCTTCATACACGCATCTCCACCCTTTTTATACTGTTTAATTGAGGAAACAAACTACCAGTTGGCTTCACTCGCGGGGACGCGATTAGGTGGCTAGGGGAAAGTTGAACCTTTGCAGTTGGGTTCTTTGGTGGAATTGTGTTTGCTTATTACTTGTGTTTAGAAAATACAAACATAGAATCCGATTTTAAAATGCACTTTTTTATCTTGATAAATGATTTTGATGGTTCTAGATTTTTAGCTGAAAAGTACAGCTCAGCATGGAGGAAGAAGACTTATGGGAGAGTGAGTCCTTCCATAGCCAGGTAAAAGAACATTATATATACTGTTGTTTTCTTTTTGCAAATCCTGAGCACCCTGGATTTTAGAGGTTCATAAGGTTTGTTTTCTAATGGGAACAGCATTTCCCCTACCCCAGATACATGTTCTTATGGTTGAAAATGATTTTGACAACTGTCTTCAGAAGTACAATATGTAGTAATTTTTACTTTTTTATAGAATACATTATGAGAAAAAGCTAAAACAAAAAACATTAGAGGTGTGGCAGGATATTTGGTGGTCGGGAAGGAAAGGATGGAAGCTGAATGTCAGAGCTGATTATCATAACAGGTGGGATTAAAAAAATAACGAATTATGTATTTTAGGTTATAATAGTAATAATAATAATAATAATATTTATAGAGGGAGCCCAACTCACCAAGGCAGTTTTCAGTGGGGCCCTCAGGTTCTAGGGTATAGAGTAACAATATTTAATTAGTGCTATTAGACTATTGTCTATTATTAGACTATTGTATACTTGTTGTAGGTAAATCAGGGTGCAGGTGAAACCAGAATTTTCTTTTTCTGTTACTGTTCTATGACTACTTTATTGGGGCTTGGAGACACAGGAAAATCTGAATCAAACTATGTTGCAGGTTTGAGTACTGGATTCCCCTCCCCTACCTAGGTTTGTTTGTTCCTTGTCAGACTAGCACCAGCATCTCCTTTTTTTATCTGCAAGCCTCTGTCAATCCTTGAAGCCCTTATACTGATCCACATACAAATTCTCTAGACTGATTGCCACACATTTCCTTAAAGACTAAGTTGAGAGAATTTGATAAAAGGTCAGAGTAGGATCCCTTGTTTCATTTGCCCTACACTATTGTGTAAATGTTTAGGTATAGATTGTGGCAAAAGGCGTGGAAGGCTTGGAGAGAGTACATCAGTTCCTGCAGAGCAAAGAAGGCAAGACATGAGATAGCTCATCGTCAGGGTAAAATGAAAAACCACTGTGTTTCTTATAAAATCTTCCTGATATACACGTATGAGCATAACAAACAGGCAATTTTGATTTATACGTTTACAGTAAATTGCAGTAAGGTATTTTGAGAGATCTGTTCAGTTTGTATTGAGAGGCTTTTTCTTTGTTAATTATTTTATTATCCTAAAGTTTTACCAGTCTTGCGTCGGTGATGTTAGAGTTAATGCACTTTAGGAGTATTTTTTGTCAGTGAAGTCATTTTAACAATTTTATTTATAATAATATAATAATAATAATAATAATAATAATAATAAACATCATCATCGTCATCATGGTAATATTAATTATAGTTTAAAAATTATAGCATGCAAAATATCTATGTAACTATAATCAAATGTGCGAATTTACATTTTGATTATTAAACTTCTAATAGTGGGCATTGTTATAATCTGCGAGTAAAACTCACTTTCAGTACAAGGTCTAAAATCTTAATTAATAAGATCGCACACTTATTTTCTTTCAAGAAATGTTTTTTTAACCGAAAGATCTAACGAATAAGCCCGGCTTTGTGAGAGCATAGATACTTAAAAAATCTATATGTTTCTCTAAAGCTCATCATGCGTTACTGGCAAAGTGTTTGACAAGCTGGCGAGAGTACATTGGAATAAGGAGAAGAAAACAACGACAGGTTGATAAGGCGTTGAACTTTGCTGAGAAACAGCTTAAAAGGTATAGCGTTTTCCCCTTTCTTTTCTCTCTATTTCAATCAGCTTCGATTGCTCTTCTTTTCGAGCGATTTCTTATTTTTTTTTTTGTCCGTAGATCTTTTTTTTTCACTTCTTTCTAGTAATTTTAAACGAGTAGTAACTTCAACAAAATATACATAGGCTACATAGCATTCGGCCTCTGAGAGCATCTAGAGATTCCTTCCAACATTTGACGCTAAAATGAGAGGGTGCTTAGCGTCTAGCCTGCGTGGCAGGCGCCGGTTAGTTTTTGTTGTTGTTGTCTAGGCCTCCTCTTCTTTATTTTGTCCTCTGTTATCCTCGTGCGTCCTCGAAATTTCTCCCATCTGACTAGAAAAAACCAGAGCCTCCTACGCAGGCTACTTAGTGTTGGGGAGCTATGAGACGCGGCTGTATTCACAATTAGCAATTAAAGAGAAAAAATCTCGATGCTAATAGTGTATGCTGCACTGTGCTGTTTCACCGACGACTGTATAATTTGTTAAACTTCTTAGACGGGCCTGGGAACATTGGCTGGCACAGTTAACATTTCAGCGGTACTTAAAATCCATGGATCTAGAAGCCCTTGAATTCTGGGCAGACAATTTGATGAACAAGGTATGTTTAACCTTAATATCATGAAAAGAGAAATTCTCAGATTTGTCTACAAATAACAGTATGGCACTTGTAAGATTCTTTGTCGATTTTCAACATCCTGTTTAGCCTGTTCCAGGAATTGAGGTAGTAATGTAGCGGAACATTTGAAAAGGGAGGAAAATGGCAAGGGAACTGCGAACACACTTCCTTTTTTTGCTTGCTAATCATTTTCCGCCATTAACCATCTTTTCAGTACTGTAAAACAGCCGATGCTTCCTACTTGAGCGAAGTCTAAAAGAAGCGAAAAGGTTTAACTTATTTGGATTCGACAGAATGATCGCGGGTTTCTTGTCTTGGAAGCTGAGAAAGGCCAAAAACTATGCCAAAACAACAACGAAAAAAAGATATCATTGTGCGTACTAACATCAACTACAGAATCATTTTCGGACTCGCGCATCCCATGATTGTCTCATGGGCCGTGACCAGAGGAGGCGACGCATTTGGGCGTGGCTCGCTCTATCCTTCACAGATACTTTTTTTTAACACGCAGCCAAGCTAGAGATGTAGTGCTTTGAATTGCAATAAAGAGGCGTTTATCAGTGAAATGTGTGATTGGGCTAAATATCGACATAATGCGACGAAATCACCCTAAGCGATACACGACTGGGTGTTGTACCATGAATCTCCAGTTTACAGCCCAAAACTACAAGACAACAGGCATCCCTTTCCCTTTCACCTGAGAGTTCCTCTCGGAGGACTTGTCTGCAAGGCAAAACCCGGTGGAAAAACGTGAGCTTGGCGATAGAAAATGTGTCTCTATGAACAACAGAATAGCCCCACTAAACTACGAGCTACGCGCACGAAAGTGTCCAATAAAATGCGATTGATTGTCGACTATCTCCGAATTAGAGCTCAACAGGGAGCCGGGTGTAATTCATGCAAGTCAAAAAAAGGTTATCATTAGATCCGATCGACCGTGGCCCCTTCGGACAAGTTACACAACCAAAAGCTTGTCACTCAAAACCTGTCCTTCCCCGATCCCCGTTACTGAAAAATGGGCCTGGAAACGACTGTTGCCATTCTGGTACCCAGTCTTTGCCGACGCATCACAGATGATTGGAAAAATCGTTCGACGTGGTTGTTTTCTGTCTACGAAAGTTCAGGCAGGTTTCTTTGCAGTAAGAAGAAGCTTCTTTCATTCCGTTAAAGCATCTACAAAACAGAAGGTAAGGGTTTTTTAATTTTCTCAATTGAATGACGAGAATTTTGACTGCATGAATTGTTGTGCGATGCGATCGAGGTCATTGCATTTCATTTCACCTAAGTACAGCAGTTCATTGTTACACGAATCCTAAATTTGCCTCACTGTCAGTTCCAGAAAGCTGATTTATTACACTGTCTAGTCATGTTATATCCTTTTTGACTTTCTTATGAGCAAAACCTCCTTAGATATAAACCTAACAAATCTGTTCATCAATGGACAGCTGTTACATAACTTTCAGTTTGCATTTAATGTATTTCCACAATTTCTTTGATGATGAAACCTTGGTTCAGCTATTTTGTTGTTGCAATTCTTCTCTGAGATTTCTTATTCAAAGAATATTCAAATATTAGTAAACATCATGCACGTATGCATTGTAGCTACATAGTTTTTTGTGTACATGGGTGTATTCGGATTCAGAGGCTTGGATTCCCAACCTGTAAACAGGCAGAAATAAATGCAAAATCAGTTTAGTAGTAACGCTTTTTGCTGCCCTTGCCTTTGTTGTTGCTATAGCACCCTTTAACCATCAATGTGACTCTTCCATTTTGGTTTTATGGCAATTTTTATGATCAAATGTAGAAAAGTATTCACTTAGGTTTTTGATTCAGAGTGTGTGGAGACTAATAATTAAACTAGGATATTTTTTCAAATTTACACATCTGCTTGTAATTGAGATAATGAATCTGGTTCCAAAACTTTCTATGTTCATGACATGTTGGAAAAAACCACCTCTAGTGAAAATATAGCCTTTATATTAAGGTTCAATACGTACATGTACCTCTGTCTACGAACGTTTGCTGACTTCAAAATCAAAATTTATACATTACTTTTTTATATCCTGAGAGTGCCAGTTATAGAGAACCTGATCATAAAATGCACAAGACATTTTTCAAAGGCACTTCAAAGAGTTTTGAGTATGCCCTATACACACTTCTAAAATCAGATAATTCAGGAAAGTGTAGTTATACACATCGACTTTTCCCTTCTCCCATTCATTTTTGTTTATTTTGTTTATGTATATTTCTTGGACATGTGCCAGTTAAGGCAAAAATAGCTCAATAGACCTTTTTACCGACACGGCAGCCATATTGTATTAATTCTGTTTAAGGAGTATTATAGGATGCCCAGGGGGCGTAAGCACATTTCATTTGTATTTTCGAGCGCTTTTCGGGACATTTTTTCTTAAAGTTTTCTCAGAATAAGATTGTAATGGGAAAAAAGATCCTTGTGCAGTGTTTTGATGTAATAGTGATCGCTTTCTCCCGAGAAATATACGGTGGAAGACCATATTTCTAATACTAATCTAGAAAAAGACAATCATTATAACATCCAAACATGGCACAAGGATTTTTTTCCCATTTCAATCTTACTCTAAGAAAACTGAAAGAAAAAATGTCCCGAAAAGCGCAAAATACAAACGAAATGTGTTCATGCCCCCTGGGCATCCTATAATACTCCTTAAATCAAGTTAATTCAATATGGCTGCCGTATCAGTAAAAAGGTCTATTGGTCTGCAGGCATGAGCTGAGTTGAGTTAGCAGCTTTAGAGCGGCTGAGGCACGAGACTCAAACCTTAGGTGTGAGAGTTGTAGTACTTCCAAATGGTCACGTACACTGAATGTGTATATCTTTCAGTACATTGACAGTAACCATTTTTGCATTCATTTATTTATGTGTGCTCTGTATTATCTTTTCCCCTCAACAGGGCTAGCACCTCAGAAAGTTACATTAATGTTCTGTTGAAAAATTACTTGAGTTTCATCAGATATATTAAAACTAATAAAAGAGATTATTAACCTTTTAAAGAGGTGTTATACTTATTCCAGTGAATCTTATCATTGTAGACAAGAGTCACCATGGAGACCAGAACAGGCAAACCTGTCGTAATTTACCTGATGCGCAATGACCTGCGTGTTCATGACAATGAGTGTTTGTATTGGGCTCAACAAAATGGAGATTATGTGATTCCTTTATTTTGCTTTGACAAGAATGTCCTTGGTCACACTGCCCTGACTTGGCACTACAAATTTGCAAAGACAGCAACACACAGAGCCAAGTTCATTCTGGAGAGTGTAGCTGACTTAAGAGAGACATTAAGGAAACTTGGAAGTCACCTGATAGTTCGCAGTGGGCAGACAACAAAGGAGGCTGTTTCAGAAATAATCAGCTTATGTCACCAGGGAAATGAAGGAAATGTTTCACTTGTGTACCAGAGAGAGATCACTAAGGAAGAAACAGATGTGGAAGCTGAATTGTTGGAGGTCTGTAAAAGAGAAAATGTCACTGTGAAGGCCTTTTGGGGATTGACATTGTACCATTTGGAAGATCTGCCATTTGCGTCAGTGCGTTCTTTGCCTGACACGTACACGGAGTTTCGAAAAAATGTTGAAGCAAAATGCAGAGTGCGGCCCCTTATTCCTGTGCTAGATAGTCTAAAATCACTGCCAGAATTTTTAACAAATGATCATATTGGCAGTATTCCATCTTTGACAGAACTTGTAAAAGATAATTCAGCAGAAACAACAGATGCACGAACAGCTTTTCCATTTTCTGGAGGAGAAACAGCAGCTCTTGATAGGCTGAATCATTACCTCTGGGACTCAAACCTTGTTGACAGGTACAAAGAAACTCGCAATGGACTTATTGGTTCAGAATACTCAACAAAACTTAGCCCATGGCTGGCTGTGGGGGCTCTCTCTCCCCGCAAAGTGTTTGATTGTATTAAAAGGTATGAAACCGAGTGCACCGCGAATCAGTCAACTTACTGGGTCATCTTCGAGCTCATATGGCGTGATTACTTCAAGTTTGTCAGTTTCAAGTATGGTGATTCCATCTTTTACTTGTCTGGTATAATGAAAAAAACAGGGTTGCCATGGAAAAAGGACATGCCTGTCTTTGACCAATGGCGATATGGCCAGACTGGGGTGCCATTTGTTGATGCGAACATGAGAGAGCTGTTGCACACTGGCTGGATGTCTAATCGCGGTCGCCAGAATGTGGCCAGCTTTTTAGTGAAAGATCTTGGGCTTGATTGGCGTATGGGAGCTGAGTGGTTTGAGTCTCTTCTTGTAGATCATGATGTGTCAAGTAACTATGGCAACTGGAATTATTCAGCGGGCATTGGCAATGACCCACGTGAAAACCGTAAGTTCAACATGGTAAAGCAAGCACTTGATTACGATCCAGAAGGAGATTTTGTGAGGCTGTGGGTTCCAGAGCTGGCTGGTGTGAAGGGAGCCAAGGTTCACACACCGTGGATGTTATCAGCATCAGAACTGAGACTTGCTGAGGTAACGTTGGGGGAAAACTACCCCCGTCCAATAGTTTGCCCTCCTGAATGGAGCCGGCACACCTCAAAGGTGAAGGGCACAGGAAAGGCTCCTAGAACACAACGTAGAGGAATTGATTTTTATTTCAAGTCCCCAAAACAAGCAGGTCCATCGAAAAAGAGGCATTAGAATGGAGTGGCCAGAGAAGTGGATCTTTGAGAGGGATAATCTGGGATACTTGGCATAATTTATTTTTATTTTATTGTATTTTGTCAAATACAAGTTTGGAATGGTCTGTAAAGAAAATTTATAATGATTCTTCTTATTGTGTTTTTTAGTCCGAGTTAGCTTAAACAATTTTAGTAAAGAAAACAGAGGTTGAGTTAAATCTAGCCTTAATACTCTTTACCGTATAATTTTTTATTGTTGGTATTTTGTTTCTGGCAGCTACCCCTTCCCCCTCATCCCCAATGTAGCAACGTTGTTAACATAAATACCTGTTGATATTCCAAGACACCCTTAGCTTTTTTATTTGCTGTACCCTGCTAATGACATCGTGAGTCTAGCTAATAAACACCCCACACTAACCTGTGGGTCTACAATAGAGTCAAATTAGAGTCCAAATAAATATGATAAATGAAAAAGTGGCCCATAGTACAGAAACCGGTCTTTCAACTGCAGTATGAAAGGGGTGTGGGGAAATTAAAGCCCTAAGCAACATGATGTAAAGTCAAATAAATTTCTCTATTAAACAATTAGATTTTAGAAAAATTTTTGGCACCACACAGTTGCATAAGTAGACCCGACCTTTATGAGGCTTTAACCATTTAAGCCCTAGCATCCATATGCAAATTCTCTTGACTGATTTTCATCACTTTCTTAAAGGACTAGTTAAGAGAATCTGACAAAAAATCAGAACATTTTCTCCTTGGTGATCATTTTATTAATTCTCATAACCTTTTTCCTTGATGAAATCTTGATATTTTTTGGGGAACATTGTTTTTGGTCACTCTTGGGACTTGTGGGTTAATAGCGAGACTGGTTTTAAGACCCCTAAAACCATTCCCTGTTCAGCAGTCCATTCCCAATCAGGCTGAATGAGAGGAAGCCCCTCCACCCTCCCCCACTCGTTCAATACATTGTTCACTTTTTACCTGGTATGGTTTGGGGGGTTCTTGAGTCTTAAAACAGGCTGGGTTAGAAAAAAAATTTTGAACTTCACTTGTCCGAGGTTCTTGTTTTACTTGTCCAAAGCTTAGGTCTAGTTCTCCTTGCATGTCAAGTTAAATCCAAGGTTTAATGATGCATGGTGATGGATAAGAAGCATAACCCCATTTATTGCTGGAACTCAGATAAAACATACCGCATTTTAAGTGTCAATAAAGTGCTTATGCAAGTAATAAGTATGCTTATATACTGTGTTGTTGTTCGCATCGTGTACTACCCGGCAGGGGAAGGTTTCTTTCCAAGATTCCTGAAACTTTCGAACTCGTACCATTGGGCTGTCACCATGTTTCTTCTCAATCACCCCAGTGATTTCTGTGGAAGGGTTTCGTTTCCTCTTTGGCTACTTTACTGGTACACCAAAATAGCCTGTTATGCTTCACTGAGCCACCATTGTGTACGAGCTAACAGTTACCAGGAGGGTCTCTTATAAATGCAAAAGTCGATCCCCCCAAGAGTCCCAGGCCCATTTCAGTGCGCAGTGAAATAAAATGGTGGATAGATCATAAGTCACCTGCATCAGTGCTGGTCTGTTTTCATTTCTAACCTGTCAGTTGCTTTCACGAAAAGCGATCTGTTTTACGCTTGCAAAAACCTGGCTCTATACTTTTTGTTTTGCTGAAACATGTTAAAAGCACCTTTATTTAAATTTATTTCCTGAGAATTTACTTGTCCAAAGGACAAGTAAGGTTGATGACCTACTTATCCATATCCACTGATTAAAACCACTTACTGGGGCAAGTGGACACCGTTTTTGTCGCACCATGACAAGCTATAAAAATTTGGTTTATCGACTGAGGTATTTAGTGGATTTGGCAAAAGTAAGAGCCTTTCATCAAAGCAAAAGCCAATTATTTTAATCTGACAAATGATCAGCACTCAAAATGACCCGTCTCATACCAATTCCATTATGCTGACCAATTTAACCTATCAAATCATTAATAAAACCACATTTTTGTGTTTTACTTCTCCACTTGTGCAGTACCACTGTACCAAAGAAAGTAATCCCACCCTTTGTATTTTGTCTGTCGGTGGCCCACCCCTTGTTACCCCTTGTTACCCCATGTTAATGTGCAGTTAGTACACTGAAAATGAAAAAGATCAGTTTCATCCCCAGGGTGCCAATTCAAGCCTGCAGGTGTAAGTCTAAATCAGCCTCTCCTGGGGCCCTTTGAGAACAATTTATGCCGAAATAGTCCCATCAAAGGCTGTTCAAGCTCACGCTGGGACTTAGTTCAGCCTGTGGTTCCACATCAGCCCTAGGTTATTGCAGGGGCGGATCCAGGATTTTTTTTAGGAGGGGTGCACTCGTCTCTTGCTCTACTTCAACACCAATAAACCACATAGTTTTTTTGGGGCAGAATACCAGTTGTATTAGAAAACCGCAGGTCATCTCAGGGGTGGGGGGGGGGTGCGCACCCCCTGCACCCTCCCCCTAGATCCGCCCCTATATTGAACTGCATTGGTCCTGATGAGGGGAGCCAAATTAGACCCATAAAATAAAACTGCATTTTACTCACCAAAACAGCCCCATTTTAGGGCAAAAACAGATTTCTCTGATTTACAGTGTAGACAGGGAATAATAATAAACAACTAGGAAGTTCGTTGTTGTTTTTTTCCTTTTGCTTCCAATGAAAGTAGCTAGGGGACATGTTCATGTGAGCTGGGGGAAATCCCCTTACCCTTTGGCCCTTAGTGACAGCTCTGGTGACCCTTCATTGATATGTTCATGTCTTCCAGTTGTGTGAATTTAACCCCTGGCCACCAAAATCATTGCTGTTATCAATTGTAGAGTGGCAGGTACAAAATACAGGTCACAGGTCAGAAGTGCGAGTCCTTGCTCTGTTGAGAAAAAACTGACATAAGCAGTTTACCCTTAACCCTTTAAGTCCCAATAGTGCTCAAAATCGATTTTCTCCTAACGAAATCCATAGACTATCATCAGCAAAGTCTATGAGAATTAACAAAATGATCACAAAGAGAAAAATATTTGATCTTTTACCAAATTCTCTCAACTAATTCTTCAAGGAAATGTATGGAGATCAGTTTGGAGAATTTGTATGTGGATATTGGGACTTAAAGGGATAAAGCTAAAACTCTATTTTGGATTACGATTACGGCTAGGAGACACTTGTACTGTTGTTTATTTACTAAAGCACTGTGACCTTTGTGATAACCTGCACTTGTGACCTGTGAAATGCATGTTGTACCGTGTGGTTGAAGAGTAGGAGTGGGAATTAAGATCAATTTGCAGTTGTATGTAACTTTTTTTGCAGACATTTAGAATCTGGACAGCTGCATATTTTGTTAAGACTGAGGAAAGAGAGAAGACAGATTTAGCATCAAAGTTTTATAACAGGACATTGTTGATAAGGGTGTGGAGAGGACTGAAAAACTTTCGAACAATCAGAAAACTGAAACAGCTGAGATGTGGTACACAATTTGTTTTGTTTCCTTTCTTTCCTTATAGTATGGAGTAATTTCTTTATATTGAAATAGTTTACGTAAAGTAGAGCCTCATTAACTTAGAGATGCCACAACACCCTGCTAAGTCAAACTTATCTTTGCTTTCCCTTTTGTTCAATTTTCAGTAAATTTCGCCTCAATAAATAAAACTGTTGAGTAACTGGGGTTATGTTGTATGTACTGTTAGCTTAGTAACTTCAAAGTGGTGTGCAATGTTTTTCTGCAGTTTTTGGCACTTCAGCGTAAATGGTTCATTGTTGTCACTTTTTTAGTTACTAAATTAATATTATGGCATTAATAAACAAATTTAATACTCGATTAAATAGCTAAACAAGTTATGGTCATTTGCATGACATAACAGGTTACCATAGCAACAGCATAACCTTAAAAACAACCCTTCTTTTAGCTTCAAGTGCCAAAAAATCACACTCAAGTTCGGTTTAGCTTTAAGTGCCAAAAAATCACACATAAGTTCGGTGACCCCCATTTTTATTGTCAAATTTTTATTAGCATGATATTAGCTTGCTTTCATTCATCATAAGAGCACTTTAAATTATTGGAATGTTTGCCTAACATTTAATCTTATTCTCTATCTCTTCAAGGTGCTGCAAACAGACATTTTTCATTCACTTTGCTGAAAAAGTCTTTTCATATTTGGGTGACAAGATGGCAAAGAAAAATAGAGCTTGCTCAGTTTGATGATCTGATCAGCTTCAAGGGAAATGCGGCCATCGCAAGAAGAGCGTTTATTCACTGGAGACACTGTATCCTTCCTCAGAATAACACTTGCCTATAATATGTCAGTCTTCATCAGGGTTCGTACAGACTCTTGAATTCTTGAAAAAGTCTTGAAATTTGCCCAGCAATTTTCTAGAGTAAAGTCTTGAAAAAATGGTAAAAAGTCTGAAGTTTTTTTCAACGCTACAACAAGTGCTTTACAATTGACTTTTTTTCGTTTTGGTCAAATCTTATCCAGTTTCGCTCATACGTTTGCAGTGCATCGTGAAAAAAGCTTTATTCCCGCCTTTTGATGAACTATTTGATAACCTTAAGCTTGGTAAAGAAATTATCGTTTTGGAAAAAAGTCTGGAAAAAGTCTCGAATTTTGGATCCAAATATCTGTACGAAGCCTGTCTCATTCTAAATGTTGCTTACAGAAATATTTTCCAGCATTTGTGAGCATTCAGGCAGTTTGAACGTCGATTAGTGCAACTGGCCTTTAGTCAAAACCTTACTGAGAAATCAATTTCTGATAAAAGTGGGTGTGAACTCCACAGTTATATGATCAATCTAAGTTTTTAAAAAAGAACGAAAAAGATTACCAGAGTTAAACGTTCTATCCGTATGAGCTAATAGCCAACTGGACAGCGATGAAATTGTGAGTTCATTCGTCACCGTCCGCAAAAGTTTCTTTAGTGTTAATCTGGTCTGTGTGTTTTTCTTTAGATTCACGACTGAATGTCATGATTGTGTCGTTCATAATACTAGCGGTAATTCCGTTTAGCTTCCATTAACGTCACTTAAAGATGTTGATCTTAGAAATCAAGAATATGAGAAGAAGGAGAAGGCTGATCATTATTACACACAACACTTACTGGTTAGTTTGGTTAAAGAAATGAATTACAGTGGAACTCCGTTAATGCGACCACCGTTGGGCCATAAAATCCTGGTCGTAATAACGAGGTGGTCGCACTAACGGGGTCTACAAAATAATAAAATGACTCAATGGTTTTTACGTTTGGTTTGAAAGAATATGGCCGTAATAACGAGGTGGTCTTATAAACGGGGTGGTCGTAAGGCGGGGTTCCACTGTACGTTTACTTGAACGACACAAACCACTGCTCTTACGGCAGGGGCTTAGAATGGACCATACAGCTGTATAAAAGGGATGGGCGTGTAAGTATAACAGGGTGTGGATCCGGAATTTGTTTATTGATTGATTGTTTATTGATTTTTTTGGCCTTTTTTACTTATAAATGAAGGGAACAAAACATTAAATTACACGTATAATATACACAATTCGAAAGAAGGAATCTTAAAAGGCGAAGAAGTCTTAAGAATTGTTGAGACTTCCTCTTCACATTAGCTTTAGGTTAGACCGAAATACGGGAAACGGATTTTACAGCTGCCAGGCAAGGGATTCGCCAAAATTTGAGCACCAGATGCGGGTTTTTTTTTGCCTAAATGTTGGGAAGTCGGGAAATATACGTTTGAGCGGCAAATGCGAATCAACCAGGCGGACGTTAAGTGTTGTCTCCTTTCAAATCAGACTATAGTGTGCTTTGTTAGTTTTTTTATCTTTGCTTTTGGAAACGAAAGAAGAATTCGGGAAAGCGATAGAAAAAAAAAACGCGGGATGCGGGATTTTCTACAAAAATTTATCCTCAAATCGGCGATCTAAATCCCGCATGGAATCAGATAATTTGGAGGAGCCCTTGGTCTTCAATTACACAATTGCTTCAAGTTACCACCTTGGTGACCTTTTTCTTTATTTCTTTTTTTTTTTTTTACAGAAAACGTGCTTTAATGCTCTCCACCTTCAAGCTGTGCAGAGGAGACTTAAGGAGATGCGCGTCAGGATGGCTGAAGATCTCTGCCAGAGAATTGTAAGTGCTGAAGCAAAATGAAGTTTTCCTCTATTGGCTCTCAAGAAGGGGAAAATAATTCTTCCAAAATTTTTATTTTTATTTTTCGGACAAATGCAAGCCATCTACCAAAGTAGGAGAGTGCTAAATAATTTGTTAATTGTTGGGACCTTTTCAGAGGCATTAATGAAACTAGGAACACCTTCCTTCCCACCCCAAACAAAGCTGAATTCTGAGCAAAATAGGTGGAAATAAGTTATCTTTTGGCCACAAAATTCTGGGGGAGTGTGAGGGAACGACGGGATGGACCCAAAGCCGATGAAAATATTGTCATTAGGAGGGCCATTAGGAACAGTAACCTATGTAACAATTACTTAGGATGGTGTTTTCACACAGTCCCCAAGTTCTTTTGGCCTCCATCGTAGGTACCTCTATGTGCATTGATGGAAGACAAACCCTGGCCAGCATTTCCATTCAGCCACATTTTGATCTTGTCTTGATTCCGATGAATGATTTGTTTTGCGTAATTATGAACCTGAAAGCAGCTTGGGAAATTGGGAGGAGCTTTTCCTTAAAATAATATGTATTAACAACGAGCATTTTTCTTTATGAAAGTGAACATGATCTTCCCAGTAGAATGAACAATCTAAGCGGTTGACTGAAAAGGAACCTGAAAAAATTCAGGCTTGACCGGGAATCGAACCTTGACCTTTGCGATGACAGAACGCAAGGCTCAAGCGAACTGGAGAGCAGGCCATTGTGGTTTCAACCGCTTAGGTTGTTCATTCTACTGCGAAGATCATGTTCAGTTTCATATCTTTATCCGCAGTTCAGAACGCAAGGCTCAAGCTAACTGGAGAGCAGGCCATTGTGGTTCAGTTCAACCGCTTAGGTTGTTCATTCTACTGCGAAGATCATGTTCAGTTTCATATCTTTATCCGCAGTTCAGAACGCAAGGCTCAAGCTAACTGGAGAGCAGGCCATTGTGGTTTCAACCGCTTAGGTTGTTCATTCTACTGCGAAGATCATGTTCAGTTTCATATCTTTATCCGCAGTTCAAATCATTTCATATATTTCAATACAAGGATTTTTCTTTACCAACTCCTTTTTTCCCTTGTAATTTCCTCTTTTGTTTTTAAAAATCTTTTGTTGTTTGTCTTGTCAGCAACTTCAGAGAGTGTGGACGGTATGGTTAAAGCGTTGTGAACATTCCGAAGAACTCAAGCTTCACTCAGTATCAAAGAAGGCAAGAGTGCATTACAGGTGAAATGTAGTTTGAACGGACATGTTACATTTTCCCTTGCGTCACACCCAAACCGTGACCCTCCTCTCTAGTGCCGGGGCTTGTTCTGTAACTGAAATACAGTGAAACCTCTATAAAGCGGGCCTCCAATTAAGCGGACACCCTAAGCTGGGTTCAGAAACGAACGTCTGATATTTCGCTTTATAACGAACCCCTATTCAGCGGACACCTCTATTAAGCGGACGCGGACACTAGAATAAGTTGTATTTGGCTAATTTCTATGGTTAAAAACCTCTATTAAGCGGACACCGGACTGAATTGACAATAGTAGCATTGGATTACGTCCTTGAAATACGTACTGAAGTCAGTTAGTGTGTTTGCATTTACAAACAAATTAAAGTTGGTGATGAAAGGCAATGAACTTGAACTCTGGATAACTTCTTTAACAACATGCAACTTTATCATAGTACATAGTAACCGTTGAATGTTGATCGGTAACAAACATTGCGCAAATTTTACAAACTCTATTATTATTGGTTTCAATTTGTGTACGTCGACTTTACTGTTTTTAATCTGTCTTGTTCATTTTCAAATCGATTTTTTTTGCGCGAGCAATTGATTAACTTTTATTTGACTATTTGTTTCCACAGGTTTCAGGTAAAAAGGAAGCTTTTTCTTGTTTGGGTGCGCTACTGTCAGTGGAGAAGATTCAGAAAATCTCAGTACGCCAAAGCCGATTTTCATTTCCGACAAAGCGCTTTACCCAGGTATAATTTACAAGTCCAGATAGATAATACAGTCAAACCTGTACTGGTAAGGCCGTCAACCTCTATTTTAACCCTTTAAGTCCCAATAGTGACTAACATCAATTTTCTCCTAACAATATCCATACCTTGTCAAGAGATAAGGTTATGAGAATTAACAAAGATTACCAAAGAGAAAATGAAATGCCTTGATCTTACATTAAATTCTCTCAACTAATTCTTAAAGGAAATGTATGGAGATCAGTTTGGAGAATTTGTATGTTGATATTGGGACTGAAAGGGTTAAAAGTGGTCAATTACCAAAATCCCGGAAATCACTTCCCTTATTAGTGTAAAACGGCTGAGCTGTGTTAAACGGTCACCTCTATTAAGCGGTCGCGGTCACCTTTTCCGATGTCCTAAAGAGTTATTTTTCTATTGTCTTTTCCTGTATTGAACGGTCAATTTGTCAAGATATACCATGCTCATACAGATGTAGATATGTGTATGGCGTTTAGTAGTCTTTGCCTCCTCTCTTTTGGCAGAAGAAGTGGTAGAAACATTTTGAGGTCAATATGCCGTGTGATGGGTATTTTACTTTTCCACCTCCTTCATCTTTATGGTTAACTATCAAACCGGTATTAAAAGCTCAACCTGTATTAAGCGGTCAGTTGCCCATTCCCAAAGTTTAATGCAGGTTTGACTGTAGACTGCAAAAAAGTTTTATTTTGCGTTGGTCATACGGTTGCGCGCGTTATTCGACACAACTTTCTTCGAATTAAACGCGCGCAACCATATGAAGGTCTTGTGAAAAGGGAGAAGGAGCACAGTCTGCAGTCTGTGAGTAGTTTTGTGGTGTTGCAAATAGGTGCGATCACCAAATGACGTAATACAAGAAAGACCCATACCACAATACAATAGCTAGCCTGCGTGGCTGGCGTAAGACGGTGGGAGGGGAAGGAGAGGGGGGAAAGGCGAAGGGGAGAGTTACACGCAGCGTTGTGATTCTAAATACAGCGCACATGTTCTTTTCTTACTGGCTACCGTGTTCTTTGTTTTTTAGATATTTTAGCCGAATGTTAAGCTTCGTGGACCTGATGCATTCCAACCAAGAAAGAAATTCTACTGCTGAAAACTTCAGACGGTGAGTGAAACAAAGGCTATCAGAAGTCTTCAAATGGTATCTATCGTTTTTAGGGCTTTTCCTGGTTTAGTACGTAACTGTTAATAGGAATTTTTGTGTCATCCGGACACCGTTTTTGCCCGAAAACTACTTTGTCGTCCTCTCTTGACCAAGCCGGGCCATGGTAGATTAACCGCGCTGTAGAACTGGGTCTGATGACGTCACTTACAGGGAAGCAGCGTTTTCCACGGTGCTTGAAACGTTCGATGGCGTAATTTACTTTGAAATTGCGGACCTTTTCTTTGAAGAAGAGCAAACGGCCAGACAACACGGGCATTTTCATTCATTTAACATTTACATGATAAAAAAGAACTACGCATTCTCTCCATTTTTAAAGACATTAACCTTTTGGTTGGTGCGAAACCTGAGACATGCTTAACTCTTTGTTTACAATTTATCTGCGTAAAATTTGATAGGAGCTAGTGGCTCAACCAAGAGTATTCTTCATTGAGCCAACTAACTGGGATGCAGCATCTCACACCTTCATAAAAACCAGCTGATTCTTCGCATTTTCCAAGGGAATGACTTTGCTAGTTATTAATAATTAGCTGCCATTTTTAAACATCCTGTCAGATTCTTTCACTTCTTTGTAGGTCAAGGGTTTTGCTTTTCATTCCCAGAAAATTCGGAAGTCATTCTTAAAAGTTAGACGTTGTCAAAACATGTCAAATGAGGCTTCATGATTGGTTAAACTCCTGTAGCCTCTGGTAATTAATATGATCAATCTAATCACGAGATTTTGAGTCGCATTCAGTCAACCCTTCGTCTCTTTGCGAACGCAATTATGGATTTACAAACCTTACTACACAACCTAAACGAGGAAGTATCCTGTTCTGTGTGTATGAACCCGTTCACTGAACCAAAAATATTGCCGTGCTTTCATACATTTTGTCTTCATTGTTTGACCGAGCTTCAACGAACGAGTGGCAAACATGGCGAGATCACTTGTCCGGAATGTCGCAGAAAGTTCCAAGTTCCCGGGAGCGGTTATCCTAAAGATTTGCCGGCCAACTTTCGAATGAACAGTTTGTTGGATGTCATGGCCATTCAAAAATGCAACGTCAGTGGAGTGAAGTGTGGAAACTGCGAAAAAACAAGCGCCGAAAGTTTCTATTGCTTTCAGTGTTGCGCCTTCTGGTGCGAAGATTGCAGTGCCGCTCATAACTTGATTAAAGCGAATAAGACACACCGAGTGCTGGCGATTAGAGATTTTAAAGATGAAGACATTGAAAATGTGTTGAAACGTGCAGTGTATTGCCAGAAGAAGCACCATGAAAAAGAAGAGCTGAAGTTCTTTTGCAAGCAATGTGAAGTTTCCATTTGTAACACTTGTGTTGTGACATTTCACGAAGGTCACGATAAAGTGCTTCTGCAAGATGCTGCCAATGAAAAAAAGTTAAGTTTGGAGTCTGCAATAGAGTCTCAAAAAGAGAAATTGCTTCAGATGAGAAACTTGATCTCTGGACTTCAAAATGAGTATATTAAAATTCAAGGACAAGTCACGCACATCAGGAAAAGCTCCCAGAGTTTTGTTGACAGTTTAATAAAAGTTGTCGAAGAAAAGAAAATGGAAATACTTAAAAAAGTAGAAGACAAAGCTAATAAGTCATTCGAGCGTCTGGCAGTGCAACAGTCTCAGGTTGAAAATGAGATTCAGTTGATCGAAACGTCAATTGACAAAACTGAGACGTTCTTAAAGCGAAGTAGCAATGCTGAGATTATGCAGTTCAACACAGTGCAGGAGGAGGCAGTCGGTGACGGGCTGAAACAAGTCGAAGACAAGCTTGAAGATCCTGGCAATTTCGTCTTTATTGCGAACAAAAAATTGATTGATCAAGTAAGCAGTGATGGAGTTGGATCGTTTTTTCTCAGCAAGACTAAATCGAATAATTCAGGTGCGGTTGGAAAAGGAATCACTGACGTCACTGTTGGACTTAAAGCACAGTTTGTTTTAACAACACGAAGTGCTGAGAATAAGCGATGCTACGAACAGTTCACTAGTGTAAGTATGGAAATGAGAAATGATCAAGGCCATGACTGTGCCACTGGAATACAAGTCCAAGATAACAAAGATGGCAGCTACAATATCAGCTACTTTGCCAAAGAAGCAGGAGCATGCCGGACATCAGTGATGGTAAATGGAGAACATGTTAGTGGCAGCCCATTCACTGTTCAAGTGAAACCCAGGCAGTACAAACCTGTGTTGTCGTTTGGACGAAAAGGTTCGAGTTGGTCTAGTGGAAAGTTTGATGGTCCTTGGGGTGTGGCAGTGAATGAACGAAACGAAATAGCTGTAACTGACAATGGCAATACCCGGGTCCAGATTTTTAGTTGTAGTGGTAAATTCATAAGATCTTTTGGCAAAAAGGGTGTAAGAAAGGGAGAATTTAAGGATCCTTCGGGTATAGCTTATTTAAATAATGGAAATATTGTAGTGGCTGACACTTTTAACGACCGACTGCAAATATTTACAGAGCGAGGTGAGTACCTTGCTCAAATTGGTAGTGAAGAAAATCCTGATCACCAGTTTAATTCTCCGATGGGTTTATCTGTAGACAATGATGGTAATATTATTGTTGCTGATTCAGATAACAAACTAATCAAGATCTTCACTCCAAGCGGCCAGTTTCTTAGAAAGTTTGGCGGAGAAGATTTGTTAGTTGATCCCTTTCATTGTATTCAGAAGGATCAATATTTCATAGTATCAGACAACTGTGATCACAGTATAAAAGTGTTTAATACAGACGGTGATTTTCTGTATAATTTCGGGAATGAAGGGGAAGGGGATGGGGAATTCGATAGGCCTCAGTGCTTATCAGTTGACAAAGCAGAACACCTTATGGTGTGTGATTATGGAAATAACATAGTTCAGGTATTGGACCTTAGTGGAAAGTTCATAACAAAGATTCGTGTTCCATATGGCGGTGAAATTGAACCGTTTCAACTTCCAACCTCTACCGCAGTTCTGACTGATGGCAGAATAGTTTTGACTGATTATTGTAACGATCGCATGCTGATAATTGAATAAATACATTGCAAAGTTAATCATATAAGATACGCAGGTTATTCGATCTCAAATTGCTGTGAAATCTAAATGGCTGTAATTGAACAAATTATTTTACAAGGCTCTCTTGGTTGTTTTAGCTTTTCATATTTTTATCGGTTTTTTTGTTGTTTTTTGCTGTGACATCTTACGATGCGTGTCGGTAATTGATGTCGTGTATTCAGTCCAGTACTGTTTCAGGTGTTCAGGTAGAAGATCGTAATAATTTAAGTCTTTTGAGGGCCAGTTTGTCAATATTGTACGTAATGTATATTAAACTAATTTTTTTTATTGTCAAGAGTGATGACTGACCAACACTATAGCATTTACGCACTTGTTTATAGTGTGATTATTTGAAGTCACGCAATAAAAATAATCAAGAGCCATAATAGTAGTCTACTGTGTTGGAAGATAAACCCCGTTGGTGGATTCCCTTTGGATTCTCTCGCAAAAAGTGGATTCCCTTTATTAATATGTATAAGTGTCTTCCTTTATACGAATTCGGTATAGGTTTACTAATGAGCGTCACTCTACTACAATAGGAACAATAGGCTTGCCTAGACTTGCCCGGTAAGTAACTTGAGCTCGGTTTACCGGAATGTCTATTAAAGGAAAATAGGAATAAGAGAAGCGATCACCTAGCAACGCGAGAAACGGCTTCCTATATCTTATTAGCGCTAAAACTCAGATATATAAACAAAACACATACAGAAAGTGGAGTTGAAAAGCATAGTTATTAGAGGAGACTGGTTATGAAAAGCGGCAAACATCAATGATAAAAACAACAGTGCTGCAGTTTATGTCGGAAGCACCCTGAAAGTGCACAATCCTTTGTTTTCTGTTGGCAAATTGTTACGGAATAAATTGATGCAACGTTTTTATTGGTCAATACAATCACAATGATAGGAATTCTTTTGAACGTTGTGCACTTTCAGGTCCACAAAAACATATAACAAAGGAGTCTGACGGGTTTCATAACCATTCCCCTCAATTAACTATGTGAAAAGTCTTTATTTCAATAAAGTTTAAGTCTTCTTATTTAGCGCTAAAACTCGGATATATAAAAACGCACGCACATATACACAGAGTGGAGCTGAAAACGCTTTATTTCAAGTTTGTCTGACTATTACAGAACCTTTTTCTCCGTTCTATCTCGAGGAAATGAAAAACTATTGAAGTCTTGTCATTTTCACGCATGGTTAATCAGGTAATTATGCGGGCTCGCAAGCCCAAAGTTGAATACAAATTAGCTCTACAGGAAAGACCCAAGAGAGAGAATCTTGACGTATTATTATAAAACAAATAACTTAACAAGTATCAATTAAAACACGCGACTCATAATTGCTAGCAATAAAAAGACAAGAGAGATACCGTTTTAAAAAACTTTACTACTAGTGCCCTGTTAGTCGCTGGCGACTTTAATTTTCATATTGACGAGCCTAATGATTGCGATGCTCGACGATTCTTACAAGTCCTGGAATCGTTTGATTTGATCCAGCACGTCTCTGAAGCGACTCATAAGAAAGGTCACATACTCGATTTGATTATAACGAGAGCTCATGAGAAATTAGTTGGCCGCTGTACTGTGGACAATCCTTTTGTCTCGGATCATCTTGCTGTACACAGTTTGTTGGACCTTGCTAAATTACCACTCGAGCGTAAACGAATCTCATATCGCAAAATTCGTGATATTGATTTTAGCGATTTTTGTGGTCAGTTGGAGAACACCAGGCTTGTAAGGGATGCTGCTTCTTTTAGTCTCGGTGAACTTGTTTATGAGTATAACACTACATTAAAGTCGTTGTTAGACAGACACGCGCCTCTGAAGACTAAGACCATTACTCTTCGCCCAACCGCCGTATGGTACACTGAGGAAATACGATCTGAAAAGAAAAAACGCAGAGCTCTCGAGCGGCGCTGGCGTTCTTCAAAACGAGAATCGGATTATTCTAGATTCAAGGAACAATGCCTTAGAGTGAACGCTTTGATCAAGAAAACGAAAGTTGACTATTACTCAGGCATTGTACGGGAGAGTAGTAATAATCCCCGAACTCTTTTCAATACGGTAAATAAACTCCTACATAAGCGCGTGCCCGCGGAGTATCCTTCAGGGTGTGCGTCTGATGGTGATCTTGCTAACAAGTTCATTGACTTCTTTAGTGAGAAGATTACAGTTCTGCGAAACTCACTTGACTCCACATCTGATATTGTTGTGGAGTCCGATGCCATTGTCCATCAGTGTGCCTTGTCATGTTTTAAGTCTGTAACATTGTCTGATGTCTCGGAATTACTTAGTAAGATGACCATCAAGTCCTGTCCTCTTGATCCCGTCCCTGCTTCTGTTTTGAAGCAGTGCACATCAGTTCTTTTGCCTGTTATGACTCAAATTGTAAATCAGTCTTTATGTCTAGCTGTTTTTCCAGACTGTTTTAAGCTTGCATTGTTGAATCCTCTTCTCAAAAAGCCCACACTTGATGTTGAAGTTTTTTCGAATTTTCGTCCTATTTCAAAATTTGATGTTCATGTCTAAACTCACTGAGAAGGTGGTGGCATCTCAGTTGATTAATCACATTTCTAGTAATGGACTTGATGAAATACTACAATCTGCATATAAACAATTTCATAGTACCGAAACAGCTTTAGTCAAAGTTTTTAATGATATTATCCTAGACGTTGATAGGAATAGGACTGTTATCTTACTTTTATTAGATCTATCGGCCGCTTTCGATACGGTTGATCACACTATACTGATTGAGAGATTAGCAAACAGCTTCGGTCTTTGCGATCTAGCTCTGGCCTGGTTTAAATCATACCTGAGCGACAGAACTCATTTTGTGAGCATTCGTGGTGCGCGGTCTGTCACGCGTTCGCTGTCGTGCGGAGTACCACAGGGCTCCGTGCTTTGACCTATTTTATATCTGCTCTATACCTCCCCATTGGGGGATATTGTCAGACAATACAACATGGGCTATCATTTCTATGCTGATGATACTCAGTTCTATCTGTCTTTCAATTCTCTCAGTGGGGATGATCAAGCTTATTCTGTCTCTCAGGTTGAATCTTGTGTTAGAGATATCGACCGTTGGATGTCTTATAACAAACTTAAGTTGAATAGGGACAAGACGGAACTGCTCGTTATCAGTTCAAAATATCGGCCACGCCCATCTTTAGATAGTATCCTGGTTGGTGATCATCGTGTAGAGCGGTCTGACAAAGCTAGGAACATAGTAGTTGTTTTTGATGAGACCTTGTCACTGGATAAGCATGTGAGTTCCGTTTGTAAATCTGCTTTATTTCATCTTCGGAATATCTCGAAGATTAGAATGTATCTGACTTCTGAGAGCACAAAGACCCTCGTCCATGCTTATGTTACTTGTCGACTGGACAATTGTAACTCGTTGCTCCTCGGGTCACCGGAGTATATTATTCAGAAGCTCCAGCGCGTTCAAAACTGCGCTGCACGCCTTGTAGCTGGGCAACCTAGGGCTGCGCACATTCGCCCCGTCCTTAAGGAGCTACACTGGTTACCTGTGGAGCAGCGAATTACCTTTAAAGTATTACTGTTAACTTTTAAAGCTCTCAATAATCTGGCGCCTCCGTATTTAAGTCAACTTATAGTCCCATATAACCCTACAAGAAATCTTAGGTCAGCTAGCAAACATTTATTAGAAGTACCGAATGTGCGCCTGAAGAGCTATGGTGACAGGGCCTTCTCGGTCGCTGCCCCAAAGCACTGGAATGATATTCCCTTAGACATTAAATTAAGTGGATCAGTTGATGTTTTTAAATCTAGATTGAAAACTTATCTTTTTAGACTCGCTTTCAATTGACGTCTTGTTTTAGTGCTATTGTTAGTTAGTTATTTTCTTTTTTTGATTGTAAAGCGATATAGAGCTTTTGTATATACCGCTATACAAATAAAGTTATTATTATTATTATTACAAAACAATGACAAAAAGAGTCAAATATACAGGAATGGAAATTAATTAATCTTCATCTTCGTTCTCCTCTGTAGAAGGGGAATAGAAATTGTTTTCCAACGTCTTCACGTTTTTGTGTGTAACTGCTCCGCAATCGTGACACCGAAGAAAGCCCTCTTTCATGTAATGTCTCCCCTTGGGAATCTGGTGATCGCATATAGGACAAATCTTGTAGTAATCGTGCCAAAGGCATTTAGGACATTTCATGATCAATGTCCCGTACACATTAGAGTTTTCGCAGTGTTCACAGGGACTTTTGGAGTGAAAGGTGGTGGACGTTTCAGGGTTACTACTTTCTATCTCCTGACTGTCGTTTTCAGTGTCGTTGTCGCTCTCTTGGGTGTCTTCCGCTTCAACGCCATTCTCAGAAGCCACTTCCTCCTCCTCCTGATTTTCAATATCCGATGAACTCTCCTCATTATTACTCTCGTTATCGGAAGTATTTTCTACATTTTGGTAGCCTTTTTCCTTTTCTATTAAATCACTTAACAACTTTTTGTTCTTGATTAAACCTTTATCGATTCCTAACTCTGCAAGTCCATCTAGAAAACTACACTGTCGTCCTCTCTTGACCAAGGCCATGGTAGATTAACCGCGCTTGAGGACTGGGTCTGATGACGTCACTTACAAGGAAGCAGCGTTTTCCGCTGCACTTGAAACGTTCGATGGCGTAATTTACTTTGAAACTGCGGACCTTTTCTTTGAAAAAGACTAAACGGCCAGATAACACGGACATTTTCATTCATTTAACATTTACATGACAAAAAAGAACTATGCATCCTCTCCATTTTTAAAGGCATTAACCTTTTGGTTGGTGCGAAACTTTCGGCACGCGGCTTAACTCTTTGTTTACAATTTACCTGCGTAAAGTGTGATAGGAGCTAGTGGCTCAACCAAGAGTATTCTTCATTGAGCCAACCAACTACAGTGTAGGTTGCAACATCTCACACCTTCATAAAAACCAGCTGATTCTTCGCATTTTCCAAGCGAATGATTTTGCTGGTTATTAATAATTAGCCGCTATTTTCAAAACATCCTGTCAGATTCTTTCACTTTGCAGGTCAAAGGTTTTGCTTTTCATTCCCAGAAAATTCCGAAGTCATTCTTAAAAGTTAGACGTTGTCAAAACATGTCAAATGAGGCTTCATGATTGGTTAACTTCCTCTGCAGCCTCTGGTAATTACAATAATATGATCAATCTAATCACAACATTTTGAGTCGCAGTCAGTCAATCCTTCGTCGATTTGCGAACACAATTATGGATTTACAAACCTTACTACACAACCTAAACGAGGAAGTGTCCTGTTCTGTGTGTATGAGCACGTTCACTGATCCAAAAATATTGCCGTGCTTTCATACATTTTGCCTCCATTGTTTGAACGAGCTTCAACGAACGAGTGGCAAACATGGCGAGATCACTTGTCCGGAATGTCGCAGAAAGTTCCAAGTTCCCGGGAGCGGTTATCCTAAAGATTTGCCGGCCAACTTTCGAATGAACAGTTTGTTGGATGTCATGGCCATTCAAAAATGCAACGTCAGTGGAGTGAAGTGTGGAAACTGCGAAAAAACAAGCGCCGAAAGTTTCTATTGCTTTCAATGTTGCGCCTTCTGGTGCGAAGATTGCAGTGCAGCTCATAACTTGATTAAAGCGAATAAGACACACCGAGTGCTGGCGATTAGAGATTTTAAAGATGAAGACATTGAAAATGTGTTGAAACGTGCAGTGTATTGCCAGAAGAAGCACCATGAAAAAGAAGAGCTGAAGTTCTTTTGCAAGCAATGTGAAGTTTCCATTTGTAACACTTGTGTTGTGACATTTCACGAAGGTCACGATAAAGTGCTTCTGCAAGATGCTGCCAATGAAAAAAAGTTAAGTTTGGAGTCTGCAATAGAGTCTCAAAAAGAGAAATTGCTTCAGATGAGAAACTTGATCTCTGGACTTCAAAATGAGTATATTAAAATTCAAGGACAAGTCACGCACATCAGGAAAAGCTCCCAGAGTTTTGTTGACAGTTTAATAAAAGTTGTCGAAGAAAAGAAAATGGAAATACTTAAAAAAGTAGAAGACAAAGCTAATAAGTCATTCGAGCGTCTGGCAGTGCAACAGTCTCAGGTTGAAAATGAGATTCAGTTGATCGAAACGTCAATTGACAAAACTGAGACGTTCTTAAAGCGAAGTAGCAATGCTGAGATTATGCAGTTCAACACAGTGCAGGAGGAGGCAGTCGGTGACGGGCTGAGACAAGTCGAAGACAAGCTTGAAGATCCTGGCAATTTCGTGTTTACTGCGAACAAAAAATTGATTGATCAAGTAAGCAGTGATGGAGTTGGATCGTTTTTTCTCAGCAAGACTAAATCGAATAATTCAGGTGCGGCTGGAAAAGGAATCACTGACGTCACTGTTGGACTTAAAGCACAGTTTGTTTTAACAACACGAAGTGCTGAGAATAAGCGATGCTACGAACAGTTCACTAGTGTAAATATGGAAATGAGAAATGATCAGGGCCATGACTGTGCCACTGGAGTACAAGTCCAAGATAACGAAGATGGCAGCTACAATATCAGCTACTTTGCCAAAGAAGCAGGAGCATGCTGGACGTCAGTGATGGTAAATGGGGAACATGTTAGTGGCAGCCCATTCACTGTTCAAGTGAAACCCAGGCAGTACGAACCTGTGTTGTCGTTTGGACGAAAAGGTTCGAGTTGGTCTAGTGGAAAGTTTGATTGTCCTTGGGGTGTGGCAGTGAATGAACGAAACGAAATAGCTGTAACTGACTGTAGCAATAACCGGGTCCAGATTTTTAGTTGTAATGGTAAATTCATAAGATCTTTTGGCAAAAAGGGTGTAAACAAGGGAGAATTTAAGGATCCTTCGGGCATAGCTTATTTAAATAATGGAAATATCGTAGTGGCTGACACTTATAACGGCCGACTGCAAATATTTACAGAGCGAGGTGAGTACCTTGCTCAAATTGGTAGTGAAGAAATTCCTGATCACCAGTTTAATTCTCCAATGGGTTTATCTGTAGACAATGATGGTAATATTATAGTTGCTGATTCAGATAACAAACTAATCAAGATCTTCACACCAAGGGCCAGTTTCTTAGAAAGTTTGTTGGAGAAGATTTATTAGTTGATCCCCTTCACTGTATTCAGAAGGATCAATATTTCATAGTATCAGATGAAGGTGATAACAGTATCAAAGTGTTTAATACAGACGGTGATTTTCTGGATAAATTCGGGAATGAAGGAAAAGGGGATGTGGAATTCAGTGGGCCTCATTGCTTATCAGTTGACAAAGCAGAACACCTTATGGTGTGTGACTGTGGAAATAACATAGTTCAGGTATTGGACCTTAGTGGAAAGTTCATAACAAAGATTCGTGTTCCATATGGCGGTGAAATTGAACCGTTTCAACTTCCAACCTCTACCGCAGTTCTGACTGATGGCAGAATAGTTTTGACTGATTATTTTAACAATCGCATGCTGATAATTGAATAAATACATTGCAAAGTTAATCATATAAGATACGCAGATTCTTCGATCTTAAATTGCTGTGAAATCTAAATGGCTGTAATTGAACAAAATATTTTATTAAATTATTAAATTAAATTATTTATTTTCTTGTTTTTAGGTTCTTATATTTTTATGGTTTTTTTGTTGTTGTTTTTTCTGTGACAACATCTTACGATGTATGTCAGTAGTTGATGTCGTGTATTCAGTCCAGTACTGCTTCAGGTGTTCAGGTAGAAGATCGTAATAATTGAAGTCTTTTGATTTTTTATTGTCAAGAGTGATGACTAACCAACACTATAGCATTTACGCACTTGTTTATAGTGTGATTATTTGTAATCACGCAATAAAAATAGTTCATTTGTTCTTAAAACGGTTTATTGTATTTTGTGAGGAACGGGCTCAGGATGTGAGTTGTTTATTACCCCAAAGAAGTGCTGGCTGAACAGTAAACTATAAAATCAACATTGACGTATCATAAAACGCCAGCGCTGCATTCTGCCTTCTTAGTGATTAACAATACGGGTTAGCAATCCTTCTGGTTTTCTGGTTTTGGTTGACGGTTTAAAATATTCATATTAATTTTTACTTGACACTTGCAATTGCAAATTATGTTGTGGCTTCTAGTGCGAGGATTGCATTGCAGCTCATAGCACATTATCAGAGCCAATAACGATCATTGGGTGCTGGCAATTAAGGATTTTCAAGACATCGCGGACGCGGCCATCAGATTGCCCGAAAAAATCACCATGAAAAACGAAGAGTAAGAAGGTTCTTTTTCAGGGACTCTATTTGGTACCTTTTTCAGGCTTCAGGTATATGACAGAGTACGGATTTTACTAGCTGAAGTATATAAAAGGGTAGGGAAATCTGTCATTCTGGTCTGTAAAAGGTCTGTAAAAGGGTTAACAGATGACTATTATCACTGAAGGGATACAAAAGTCTCAACAAGGTATGTAAAAGGGGTACCATTTGTCAATAGAATGTATACGAAAGGGGTACCTTTTTTGTGAAAAATGGTATATAAAAGGGTAAGGGGTTGGACCTCGGGGCGGAGCCTCCCCGTATAAACATTTGTTGAGTACCCCCCCGGGGGGGGTTCATATATTTAGTAAAGGTGGAACTTACTTTTAAAAGATCTTTTGCGAGAAAGGTCGAAAGCTCCCTACATTTATAACTTATTTTAAACAATGGAAACATTGTTGTGGCTGCCACATTTAACGAACGACTGCAACTATTCACTGGGGAGGGGGAGTTCATCTGAATTGCGGACATCTTTTTTCTAAGGAACTTTTTGTAGTGAACATCACTTGAAGGCTGGTTCATGCATGGAACCCATTACCTAGCTTGCGAGCACGTTCTCCTATTTGGGCAAGCAAAGCGAGCCGCGCGAGAACGCGCGAGCGAGCGGCTCGTCTCGCGCGTCCACTTTTCGCTGACGATATCCCCCAAATGGAGAGCTTGCTCGAAGGCTACCCATTACCATATACGGATTCCCGTTCGTACCCAGTCGCCTCCAGCTTTGATAAATTGCTGTTTTCCTCCGCAACTTTCGACCCAGCGTACAACTGCAAGAGACGACCGTGGGAAAGCCGTCACTGTCGAAGGCGTCACCAGCGGCTCAAGAAAATTTGCTTTAAATTGAACCAAATCAGTGTCTGGGTTTCATAAACTGACTCTGACATGTAAACATACTGCTAGCAACAAATTTTAAGAGACCGACAGATTCTCTCACTTCTTTAGAGGTCAGGGATTTTCCTCTCAATTCGTAGAAAACTCGGAAGTGTTTCTCAGCAGTTAGACACCGTAAAAACATGTCAAACACAACCTTTATGAAGAAGTATCCTGTTCTGTGTTTATGAGCCTGTTTACGGGTCCAAAAATATCGCCGTGCTTTCATACATTTTGCCTTCGTTGTTTGAACGAGCTTCAGCGAACAAATGACAAACATGGCGAGATTACATGCCCGGAATGTCGCAGAAAGTTCCAAGTTCCTGGAAGTGGTTATCCTAAAGATTTGACGGCCAATTTTAGAATGAACAGTTTGTTGGATGTTATGGGTGTTCAAAAATTCAGCCTCGCTGAACTGAAGTGTGCCCAAAAAAAAACTGCGAAAAAACAAGTGCCCAAAGTTGTTACTGTTTTAAACGCTGCGCCTTTTGGTGCAACGATTGCATTGCAGCTCATAACATTATCAGAGCCAATAAAGACCACAGAGTGCTGGCGATTAAGGATTTTCAAGATGAAGACATTTAAGACGTGTTGAAACGGCAAGTATTTTGCCAGAAGAAGCAACATAAAACGAAGAGTTGAATTTTTTTTTGCAAGGACCGTGAATTCGCCATACACTTGTGCTATAACATTTCACGAAAAGCACGGTAAGGTGCCTATACAAGATGCTGCCTATGAACGAAAGTTACGTTTGGATTCTACGATTAAATCTCAGAAAAAGACGGCGCTTTAGGTAAAAAATAAGATCACTAGTCTGCAAAGTGAGTGTAATGAAATTCAAGAACAGGTCGCTGGCGTGAAGAATAGCGCGAAGAGTTTTATTGTCAATTTAATAAAAGTCTTTGAAGCGAAGAAACAGGAACTATTTAAAGAAGTGGAAGACAAAGCTCAAGAGGTGATCGAGGGTCTGGAAGAGCAACAGTCCGAAGTAAAAAACGAATTACAGCTGATGATTGAGACATCAATTGAAAAAACTGAAACTCTCCTAAAGCGAAGCACCAATGCTGAGATTGTGAAGGTGAAGTCACTGACGAGGCAGAAAAAGTCGACTGCGACCGTAAGGATCTTGGTCACTTTGTGTCCTTTGCAAACAAATCGTTGATGGCTAAAGCAAACGGTGAAGGTGTTCGTTCTTTGAAACAAATCATCAGCCAGACTAAATCCAGCGACTCAAAAGCGGAAGGAAAAGGAATCACTGAGGTGACTGTTGGACTTAAAGCACAGTTTGTTTTAACAACACGAAATGCTGAGAATGAGCTATGCTACAAAAAATCTGACATCGTAACCGTGGAAACTAAAAATGATGGAAGATATAACTGCGCCACTGAAGCACAAGTCCACGATAACAAAGATTGCAGCTACTTTGCCAAAGAAGCAGGAACTCGCCAGACATCAGTGATGGTAAATGGAGAAGATGTTAGTTGCTGTCCATTCACTTTTCAAGTTAAACCCAGGCAGTACAAAGCGGTGTTGTCATTCGGAGGAGAAGGCTCATCTGCTGGAATGTTTGATGGACCTTGGAGTGTGGCAGTGAATGAACTAATGAAATTGCAGTAATTGAGTCCAAATATTTAGTAGTGATGGAACTTATCTAAGGTCTTTTGGGAGAAATGGTGATCAAGAGGGAAAGTTTAAATACCCTGGAGGTATAGCCAAGTTAAAAAATGGAAACATTGTAGTAGCTGATTGTGATAACAGCCGACTGCAAATATTCACTCGGCGGGGTGAGTACCTAACGCAAATTGGAAATCGAAATCTTGATCATCACTTTAGCTATCCATGGGGTGTACCTGTAGAAAGTGATGGTAATATTATTGTTGCCGATTCAAATAACAAACTGATCAAGATCTTCACCCCAAGCGGCCAGCTTCTAAGAAAGCTTGGTGGAGATGATTCATTAGGTGATCCCTGTCACTGCATTCAGACGGATCAATACCGGTATCTTATCGTATCAGACGCAGGTGATGACAGTATCATTGTTTAATGCAGACGGTAATTTTCTGTATAAATTCGGGAATGAACGAGACGAGGATGTGGAATTCAAAAAACCTCGTTGCTTATCAGTTGACAAGGCAGGGCACTTTATGGTCCGTGATTTTTTAAATCACACAGTTCAGGTATTGGAACTGAATGGAAAGTGTATAACAAAGTTTGGACGATACGGCAGTGAGATTGGAGAGTTGAATGCACCAAGGTCAACCGCAGTTCTCAGTGATGGTAGAATAGTTGTGACTGACTTTGATAACATTCCTATTCAGATAATTGAATAAGTATCCTACAAAATTAATCATATGTTCAATGTTATGTATTATCAATTTGCAGACAAGCCTGACTCGTTGCTTTTCAATTTATTTGTTGCTTTCTTTTTTACTAGCTTGTTTTTGGAAAGCGTTTTCGTCTTGGTCGATGATTGACTGGTGAATCGATAGTCTTACTGTTTTCTATCCTCAGTCTTTTCCGTGATGTCAACAATATCATTACCCGCGATGTCAGTAAAACTATGTTGCTATTTACTGTGTGATTTTGTGGGCCGGAAGCTCTAAGAACGGCCCACAGGATTGGTTTAGAAAACAATAGATAGCCCTAACCCAAACAAAACTAACAATGAACCCCAACTCTGAAACAATAGAGCTTCTGGCCGGCCAACAAGAACCTATCAAATTAGAGGTTCTAAAGAGGTTCTGGCCAACAGGTGATTTTTGTCAACAAGGACAAGTTTTCGTGGTGTCGTTTTGTATTTTGTGAAAAAAATAATAAAGAAACAAACAAAAAGGAAACCGCTTATGCAAGCTATATATTGTCTTCAGAACCTTAGGCGCTTTCCATTCAGTAAAGAACTTCGGAAATTTTGGTAAGAAATCAAATGGATCGGTTCGGTCCGACCGGAATATTTGGGACCACCCCTGAAGGTGGTCTATTTTGACCGATCCAGTCATTTCGGTTCGGTGGGACCAAAATGTCCCTTTCCATTGAACATGTGGAATTTCCGAAATTTCTAACAGGAATTTTTGTTGAATGGAAAGCTCCCATTGTCTCTTGCGACTAAAATAATCGTCCAAACCCGCTTATGTAGTACGACGTGAAATCAAAATGGCGGTCCAGTCAGTGTCAAACTATAACATGATGGTGATGATATAAATAATATTATAACATAGCTAGAAAATTCGCCTAATCAAATTCAATAGCGCGAGCGTGCTTCATATTCCTATTGAGCACGCTGATGACGTCAATAAACTTTTCGTAATTCCTCGAGTTGTTGTGAGCCTAGCAATCCTGAGTCTCCTGAGTGCATCCATAACTCAGCAATAGACAATGAAGCGTTTACCATGTGTTTTATAAGGAAATTTAAGAGGAAACGTTTGAATTTGTTAACCGATAGTAAGGAAGAGAGGTGAGTGTTGTTGTTCTTGTTGTTGTGATCTCCGCGAGCTGTGAGGGCTATGGCGTGAGATCATTCTTTGCAAAGTTGTTTTCTCTCAATAACAATTTTTCGGTAAATTAATAGTTTTCCGGTACCTAAATATGGATTTTATAATCATTTTAGAGCACACTTTCTCTCAGTTTCAGGATAAAAACACAAGATTAACTCTGAGGAAAAAAAATATATAGTCACGTAAACATTGACGCGTACTGCTTTGAGCGCGCCCTACAATAATAAAATTTTAAGTTAACTGCTACATTGATCGCTTTGATAATGTTATAAAACAATTAGTTCATGCTGCAGCTGTGCGTATGTCGAGATATTGAGCACTTGGAAAGTTTGGAGAGCACTCAAGAGGCTAGAGTTGCACTCGGCTGCGCCTCGTGCAACTCTTACGCCTCTTTCGTGCTCTCCAAACTTCCCGCGTGCTCAATATCTCGACATACGCACGCTGACGCATGAACTAATTGTTAAATGATAATAGTAATAATAGTAATAATAACAATAATGATGATGATGATGATGTATGACTCTCAGTTTGAATTTTAGAATGTTGCATGATGATGATGGTTTTAATAATCCTTATATACTCGGCAGTATTTATAGCGCCAAGGCTAATGGGGCCGAACAAATGTTTGAAACAAATAATTTAAATCAAACCTAATCCGAAATCGAAACCTAAACCGAATTCTAACGGCCGGAGGTAAACCAGTTGGCTATTTACAAGCGTGGTCGAGAATTTCGGGACTCAGTACTCTAACCACATAATATTCACATTCCAATCTCTTGAAGCCAAGATATCAGGCCTCGTTTGACAGATGATCGATGTGATAATTACAAGAGGGTAAAATGACGACATGAAAGCTTTGTTCACATGCTCCCCCCCCTCCCCCACCCCCCGCTTCGTTTTCCGGTCCCTGTTCTTTCCCTTTCCCGTTCACATATCTACCTTCTTCGCCTGATCCTCGAGTAGAGAGCCTGCTCTCACAGGTTAACCAAGTTTACACATGTTGTCGTCTGCTCATCTCCCTAGCGTATCGTCATGATTGTAATGAGTTGACAAAGCACAATTGGCCACATCAGTCGCTTTTCGTATCTGGTTTGAAGTGGTAACTTTTTTGGTTTTCAGCTTCATATTTTTGACTTCTGGATTACGCGTAGCGTAAGGAACAAGTTATTGTGGGCACTGCGATATGCAAATGTGTCACTCGGGTGTAGACACCGTTCGTAATTAGTGGGCTCCGCACGAAAGCGACCGATATCAAAACGACAACTGTCGTAGATCGATCGTTCCCGTTCCACGATCAAGAAGTGCTGAGCGTGCATTGTGCCCATAGCTTTTGATATTATGACTTTGTACCTTTCACAGGACGATAAGTTGTCTTCATGTGGACTTTGAATGTTTCAAATTGGCACTATGACCAACTCTGAGACAGAAGTTTATGAACTTTTGAAGCTTTTTGACTCGTCCAGGCGATAATGACGAAAAGATCAGCAGCTGTCATGGTTTTTAGGGAAATATCATTCTGAAATGAAATGTTTCTTTGTTCGATAAAAACGGAAATGTTTACTGTTGCTGATTCGTAATTGATTCTCCTCATGTAAACGCCGAGAATCGCAAGCTGCTAGAGAGTTCGCGACGGTTTTACGAGACACTAGTCCCTCCAAATGTTCTTCAAGTGCAACGAAATGAGTCAAAGTAGGGCTTTAACTGTCAAAACCCTGCTTGCTGTCCTCGAATATATCTTTCAATTCTTCATAAATAAAGCTCTACCAGCTTAAACAGCGTTGACCGGCAGAATTTCGTGGGCAAAAGTGTTGAACATGATTAATTTAACGGTGTTTTTCAATACAACGCGTTAACCTTCCACGTCGGAGCTCCGGGGTTCTACTCATCGCCGCTGAAGACGGTTTTTTTTGGTCCTTTTTTTTGTTGTTGTTTTTTCGTAAAACAAATTTCATTTTTTGACTTAAAATATACCGGTAGACTTATTGCAGGTTTCATTTCTAAAATACAGTAATTAAAGGGAACCTCCACTTCAACAAAAAGATAACTTTAAATCACAGGAAATAACTGTTACAGTCAAGTCAATCTAAAATATTTTTAAAGAAAGCGTTTGTATCCGAAAGAAATAACTTTTAGATTCGCCTATTTTAGTTTTCAAATTTTGCGGGCGTCGCCATCTTGAATAATTGTGACGAGTAATGGTTGCCCTATTGTTATTAAACAAAAGCTCTTTGTGTCAGAACAATAGAGCAACCGTAACACGTCACAATTATTCAAGATGGCGGCGCCCGCGAAATTTGAAAGTGAAAATAAGCGATTTTAAAATTCACTTTTCCTGATATAAACACTTTTTTTAAGACAAATTTCGAACAAATTTGTTTATCAACATAATTTTATTCGATATAAACTTATTCTGTAGTAAGAGTGGAGGTTCCCTTTAATAATCCACAAGTTAGCCTTAGGCAGCCTTTTCTGTATGTATCATTGAAAACAAAATTCTTCCGGCTCCCCTGAAAACCAGAATAGTATTTACGAATTACTAACCCCGCCTGCATGATAGTCAGCACCTTCCTTGTAGCAGAGGTATGATTACTCCCTCTGTCTGATTTTCTTATCACAAGTAAAAACTTTTCCGTGTTCATCATCCTTTAATCCATCAAAATTAAACAAAAATAAGTAAGTAAGGTGATGACTGTTGCATGCGTAGTTCCCGGTTTTGCTGGGCGATAGTCGTTACGGGGATTCGATAGTCGAACTTTGGTAACTAGGACGTGGTTGACTGTTTGGTGTCAACGTTACTGAGCCTCTAAAACAAATGGGTCCTGTAGCAGCTGCTCGGAAAAGAAGTCACCAATGGTGCCTAACCCTGACCCCAAACAATACTGAAACAATTGAAAGAATTACATGTCATTATTTCCTGCGACCAATTAGGAGAGATCTTACAAGCAGCTCCTACAAAACAAATTCAAAAAACGATCGTGTTTTTCTTTAGGGAAGCGCTCATGGCAAAGATATTTTACGGTTGGTGGAGAAAACATCAACTACTTATGGACGTGAGAATGATGGAAAGAATGGTACGAATTCTAACTTTTTTATTTGCTCTTGTGTTATTTATTTAATGTTATTTTATTGTTTAAATTTTGCTCCTATTCGTCGGTTTGTTTGTGTGCTAGACTACGAAAAGGGCAAGCCTGGGTTGGGGTGTGTCCCATAGTTAAAATGCAAGGATGCCCGTCTTCTCGATTTGGTGCGTCAGACAGGAGCAAATTTTGGTCTGACAGAGGGTCTTCGGGACGGAAATCCTAACATTTTTACCCATACAGATATCGCTTAGGGTTGTTCATAAACAAATAAACGGGTATATCGTCGTAAAACAAACCAGGGGTTGTAATACTGTTGCTGTAAAGAGTGCATTCGATGGTATTCTCCCCTCCCTTCACATGTCACCTTGCTGGCGAGTGGCGATTTCACGCGCGCTCTTGTGTTTCACTCTTTCTACTATCACTATAGAAAATTACGAGGGATTACGCGCATTCTCCGGTATAGCGTAGCATTTTAATACAATATACTTGCTATCGATTTCATCCATTTTTCAGGCCATCCTCCATAACGACGAGATTGTAAAGAGACATTATCTTCATTACTGGGTTGAAAGAACGCGCGAAAAGTTAGACGAGCGGCAGCTGGACGTAAGTATTTCAATTCGATGCTTGCATTAGGTTTAACAATTAGTTCATTCTTCAGCTGTGCGTATGTCAAGATATTGAGCACTTGGGAAGTTTGGAGAGCACTCAAGAGGCTAGAGATAATTCAGGGATAAATTACTCCCCGGAATTGTACTCCACTGAGTCCTATCACCATTACTTTACTCAGCAATCAGCTTAAGTGACCTTTAAATTGTCTATTTCAGGCTTTGGCAGATAATCATCGAAATCAAAGATTGCTTCTGATGGGAATTGCAAGGTGGAGAGAATTTAACAGAGAGACGAAGGAAAGGTAATCATGCGAATTTTACAGTTTAGCTGTGAATCTCTAGATTTGGTACTGAAACGTATTCGTGGGAATGCATTTCTATCAAGATCTTAAAGCGCGCAGTCCGGGAAAGTAACTGAGGCATAATACATTTTAATGTAACTATCTTTCACTTGAAAAGGGCCGCAATTTTGACTCACTTTTGTTCTATTTCAGTCGGTTTGTACAGAAGACAGCAGTGAGACATTACTACATCCATCTGCTGAAAAAAACCTGGTCAGCTTGGAAATATGTGAGTAACTGTTCGGTGTTGAGCAGAAAATGTCAATTGCCTACGCCTACGATCCAAACATGAACGCAAGCGATGTACTGAGAGGCACTAAAGCGGCTAACTAGGTCTGCGTATTTTGTTTGTGCTTTTGCTTGTTACGCGTAAAAAAAACCCGTACCTTTTCAACATTTATTGCATACCGACCAATTATGAGAATCTGGTGATTCAGATACATGAACAATTGCCTTGTCGTCGAGTGTGTTTTTAACATAACATTTTTGCTTCACAGAAGTAGTATTGATGAGAGATTAATAATATATATATATATGTGGCTGCCATTTAATGACCGTGGGGTAAAGAAACCAAAGCATCATAATCCTTTTTTTCTGCATGGTTTGTTTGAAAGGAATTGTTAGCCTTGTTTACCGCGATCAGAAGATCAAAAGTAATAAATCCTAAGACAATCACTAACCATTGTCTATTGTTCAGTGAATGTAAAAAAGTGTTGCACGTGATTTGCACGTGATTTGACGTTGCAGAATCAGAATTAATTCATAATGTTTACTCGTGATGTGTATTCCCTTTCAGTTTGTTCATCAAAAGCAACTGAAATGGCAGAAACAAGCTCGCGCCGATCTCCATTACCAACAGCGTCTTCTCTCTGTTGTTGTGAGCTCTTGGAAGGTACGTTGCTTTGGATCATGACAGCTCTCTCCTAAGTAGTAACCTGTGTACAGCAGTCCCCTCCCCTCTAACAAAATCGTCATGGCGAGCATATTCATGAAAACAAATCTAGGCGTCAGTAAAAGAGTAACTAATATTGTGCTATTTTCCTGTGTAATGTATTAGGATTACAAGAGTCACGTGCACACTGCTAAAAGCTGTAGCGACAACAAGCTTCAAATGCACAACAGCAAACGTTTAAGGTAAGCTAATATTTACTTAGCCTTTCTTTCATGAAGAGACTGCAATACCTTCCCTTAGTTTTTGACGGATTATTAAACCTACTTACTAAGAACCCCTTCAAAACATCGCTCTAAGACTGTTGTAAACGTGGTTTTCTGAGTAGACAGCATCCACTTTGTTGTGTTAATTTCGTGTATGAAGTCAGTCCACAACACTACCTCGTGTGACTGTGGACTGGTGTGTGCAGGCCTGCAAACAAAAGTTTTTTAGTTTGTATTTGTGTGAATAAAAAATGTAAGGTGACAAAGAACAGATGTTTACTGTCTCCTTCCTCCTGTTCCTTCTCTTTTTCATCCTTGGCCTTGACGGCGTGCTTTCTCTTCCACCCCCTCCTAACGGTTTTGTTCCCTTCCATCTCCTCCCGTCTTCCCCCCTCTTGTTTCTTACTATCCCTCCCCCCACCCTACTTCTCCCTCCTCAAGCATTCTTCTTGATATGGCGCCTCTTTCTCTTCCTCTTTCTTTAACTGCCATTCATTCTATCACCCAAGTTTTTTATGGCTTCTTTTGACCATTATTAGTTTTCTTGGTCAGTAGTTTTCTTTGCAGTGAAAGATTTATGTTGAATTATTTTTCAGATCAGCTTTTGAAACTTGGAAGCATGCTGTCAAAGAAAACAGAGAGGAAAGACAAAACGAAAACGTCGCGGAAGCCTTTCAGAATCAAATGCTTCTTTCAAGAGTAAGCGAAACAAAAAATTACATGACATGAAGCTTTGATTAACTAACTTGCCTTCCTGATCTCAGTAGTAAAGCACTTTAACATGAAAGCGGGTAATTCTAATAAACGTTTTGTTTTTAAAACATCGTTTAAGAGTTGATCTATCTATGAAGGTACTGGACTTGACACACGGTAACTCAATTGACTCGTTTTCTAGTGCTTTACGTGGTGGAGAGAATTCGCAGCTCACCATGCAGTCAAGAAATGGCAGGAGTGGCAGCGTGTGAAGGAGTTGAAACATACGATTGAGAAAGGTGAATGAAGCGCTTAAAAAACATGATGCAAAAGTATCCTAGACGTGCCCTCTAAGCTTAAAAGTTAACCTTGACATTTCTATTTTACAGCTCAGAATTCGGTAAAGTTGGAAGATTTTAATAATTTATAGTCAAGCCTCCTTAGTTTATACTTGCAAAAACTAAAAGTCAAATCCTCACATTGCCTGCTTTTGGTTTGTCTCTTCAAGGAAAATTGTCACGTTCATTTCGTGCCTGGAAATCCTTCACAAGAAAATCGGTTCAAGATAAAATCCTCAAACACAAGGCTGAAAACCATTATAACACGGCTTTGAAACGTAGCGCGATGTTAACATGGAAAAGCTTCATTCATCTTCGTTTTAGAATCAAGGTGATTGGTCTTTTTTTACTTCCTCGTCCATAAGGTTAACCAAAAGTATCTTTTTTACGATTTTGCTGAAAGGTAATTTGTTACTGATAGAGTTAAAAAAAAGACAAAAAAGGTTTTTTGGGATACTGGGTACGTGGGCTACGATAAAAAAGTAAGCATTGCTTTTTTCCATTGGAACTTAAATGTGTACTAGATGCCTTGAGCAACTAAGAAAATATCTTTTCAAGGGTTCCGCTTACAAACATATGGAAATGAATATATGTATCTCGTTTTTGGCAATTTTATCTAGAGTTCTGGTTTGTTTGAAATGCTTATCGATGGTTTTTCCCCATAGATTCTTCAAAGACAGAGCATGTGGCTTCATAATCGAAGGATCACAGTGGCTTTTTTTAATAAATGGAAGATACAGGTAAGTCGCCATCTTATCTTTGTTTCAATCAACGTTTGCTATTGTAGTCTGCCTTATGTGTTTCACATCTAGTTTAGGGTAACAAAACCTTAAATTTAAAACGCTAGCATAAACGATGAAAGAAAACTGAAATTCAGTGGAACGTGGCTGAGTGGTGAGTTCAATTCCTTCTTTGCCAAGTTTTCCAGCTCTTTACTGCTCGTGATTCTTTACTAGAGATTCGCAGCGACCAATAACTGACCCAGTGTTTTTGTAAAATCGGAAAGCAATCAGTCGTCTCCAGGTCCTCTCTCTTTGTACATACTAATGATGACGTAACATAAGTTCGAGGAATAAGAGAACAAGATTGTGTTACTGTATAGCAACTTAAACAAGGAACAATACACTAGAATGGACCAATAACAAGTAATTTGTGCTTTGTTGCTGGTCCTCTGACCCCAAACAATTGCCGTTAAGCCTTATGGGCCACCAGAGTGTTATAAACGCTTGAACTGTCCAAAAGAGAAAGTAGTGTCTCAGCGCTTCTCCAGTTAGTCGATAAGAAAACCTCAGATCTTTATTTCAGCACTGTGCTGAAATTCAAGAAAAGAGACGAACAGTTCTGGCGTTATGGCAGTGGAGCGTTAACTTGCAAAGAAAGGTGGGTTGTGTTAGTATTATTTTATCAAACAAAAGTCCATTTGTATCGGAAGAATTTATCCACGCCTAATCTTTTAATTACAACAAAAAATGCGTTTTAAATATTTTTTCTAGCGAAATGCCTTGAGGTTAGACGAGGTGATTGTCACTTAAACTTGGAAAAAAATTATGTTTCGTTTTGTTTTAAGAGGAGAAGGATTGGTGATGTTAGTTTGAACAAAGTTACTACTGAGTAGCTTAGATCACGCACCAACTGATCTTTTTACATTATGTTGCGAAGTATTTTGAAAGTTATTTTTAAGACAGATCTATCTTAACTTTTGAGTTTAGTTTTTGTTTCATTAAGTCGTGTTTTTGTCCACGTACTGTTTTCCTGTTTTGATCTTTTGTGTTTACTTGTACTCGTGAAGTTATGCTTAGCTCACGAATTTACTTATTGCCATATTAGGAATGTTACAGGTGGTCGTGTTTGTGGTGTTAGAGCTGACCTTCGTTCTTTGGTACTTATCAGTTGCGGATGTGCGTAGGCTAGTCTATTCCCTGACAATAGCAAACCTGTTGCAGTGTTAGCGATAAGAAGTACAATAGAAACTCTTCCGGTCAGCTAACCCAAACATGTCCAGCTTTGGCTATTAAAACCGCTACTACACTTGAACTAGTTAATAGAATAGATGTAAGAGAAGTAGAGTAGAAGTAGAGTAAGCAGAAGTTGTGAGAAGATTAAGAAGAATAAAGGCCAAGATGTAACTCAGATTCCTGGTACCTCGTCGTGTAGCGAGCGAGTTGCTCGAACACACCCCCACAATTAGATTTTTTTTGTTATTTTTATGTATTAATTATCCTCCTCTGTACTTTTACGACAACCTTCTTTAAACAGACACCTATTCACGACAGAACTAAATACTCAGCAGAACCCCTCCCCCCACCGCCCCCCATCCCCCTCCCTCCTCTACGGATTTGTGAAAGAGTCAAGATAAATTAGTCCCGCGCCCTCGCCATAATACAAGGCAGTTAACTAGAGACATGTACGGTGTTTACTTCTGGTGCTTTTAATCAATGGTTATTTGGATTTCGTTTTCAAGGCGTTTTATGCCCTCTTGGAATACGCAATTGGTCGTAAACGGAAAGCAGTTCGTATTAGCAAAGCTTTGGAAGAAAGACGAAACAGGCTTCTGCGTGCAGGAGTGACTCGCTGGATGAAGGTAGGTTTCACTACAGTTTGTCTCGTATTGGGTTTTAAATCTCTTTAATTTTTTATCAGAATAGCAACATGTTTCCTTTTCAATTTCAGGTTGGTTTTTATCTAGCAGCGGAAAGAGCGAAATTTGCTCAAGAACGGCAGATGGAGGTAGGTTTGGCTGCGGTAATGTATTACGCTCTTGAGCAATCCAACATTTAAAATCGTTCAGTTAGTGTCGGTCTTTTTGGGCGGATTTTTTTTATTTTAAATGTTTTATCTTTCTCTTGCGTTTTGAGAAGAATATCTCTTCTAAGGGTTATCTTTTGATTTTAATTCAACGATGGAGGGAATTAAGGACAACAAACCCTTTTTTACCCCCCAAAAATCTGTAAATGCTTGGTAAAGGTAATTGTTCTAATGTTATCGGAATTTTTGGCCGACCTCTTTGACTTTGCTTTATTGCCCATATTTCTTGATCACGTGTTTACAGGCGGCTCACTCCGTGCATCAGTGTGTGTATCGTTGCGCGATGCACTGGAGACGAATAACAGCAAAACGACTCAGGCAAAGAGGAGGGAGACCGAGACCGAGACCTGTGGTCGAAACTAAACCTGATTGGCCAATTATAAGTCTGCCTGGAGCATCTCGCTCATTCCCTTTGGTGCAGCCCTTACCTGTAGTAGACCTTCACAGGTATATAAGCGGCACAGTTTATACTGACTATTCTTTATTTTTATGACCTCATTTCCAAACTCGTTTGCAAATTTAATGTCATCTATCTCAACAAAATGTTCACAGGTTTCAATGGAATCTAAGTTTTGCGCACAAAAAGCCATTAGGAACCTTTAGATTCGAGGACAAGAACGACTACGAGTACGAGATTTCATTTAAAGTTATTTCGCGTATTATCAAAAAGTAGACACCCCAGAATTTTTCATTGTACTTTTTTTCACCAGATAAGTTAGCACTGTTATCTTTATTGAAGGAGGTTAAGGCCTCTCCCGATTGCAAAATTCTAAAACTGCTAACATTTGATAACTTGTTCTCGCCACTACGACATTCTCGCTAAAACTCGTGGTGGAATGACGACGGCTACCACGTTTTCCCGCCCAAATGACGCCAGCTCACGCGCGAGCACTACTTACCATTGAAAAAATCTCGTACTCGTAGTCGTAATCTTCTCAGAATCTAAAGGTTTCTATTCTCGGTCTCTGATTTCTTACGATAGTTCATAAACATCTTGAAAGACTGAGAACCATCATTTTTGTCGCCTTTGCATAATTGTTCTTAAGATAACCCATTCATTTGCAAGATTAGCGGAATTCAGATCCTGCATTGCATTGTATATGTATACGTGCCGTTTCCTTATTTTCTTTCAAGTATTGTTTATCTATGATCTGGGGTATTAGATAATGAGTTGGAAATATTTGAAAGAACAATAGAATTGGTAAAATTGAAATGCATTAAATAGTTTTCAACGCATTTGTACTCTCTTTTCAGAATCGTTTCAGATTCATCAAAGGAGCGCCCTCGTCCACGAAAACCTGATTATTTAAGAGAATCCTTTGATCTTGCCCAACTCACAAGAGCGGCAAATGTACCACCGACAGTTCCACCCAAACCATTTTCAACTATGAACGATTCCGAGACATTACCACGCCTTTCCCCACCCCGCCCGTGTGATCAAATGAGGAACAATATCCATCCCCACCAGAGGACCCATCGGGAAGAGTCGATCGCGTTTCCCTCGTCTTCTGGGGAGGAATCTGTTCTTGCTACAGAGGAGTCAAGACATACTGTTAGAGACGCGCATGGTCAGAATTTTTAAATGTTGCCTTTTTTCTCATTTTTGTTTTCTTTACTTCATTATTATGATAACTTAATGAGCTGCAGACAAAACACAAGTGAGCATATTTGGAAAAATTAGCCATTATCAGTATTTTATGTGTTATATTTGCATTAAGCTATATTTAAAAGAACCCATAGTCTCAGATCCTGTAAGGTCGTTTTGTATCAGCCTGAAACTGATCCCTAGTCAACCCGCTCAGAGGAAAGATTCCCGAAGGCCGTCTGAGTACAATGGCCTCATTACCAATATATACTTGCCGATATACCCCAGGCTTAAATGGCTGCTCTGAAGCACAGTTGATAGACAAAGACTGATTTAACCGACTGGAGTGAATTGTCTCATTCTTTCCCTAGTAACTCGTTTTTGTTTGTTTGTTTTGTTTGCTTCATTTTTTAGACTCAATGAAAGCTGCGTTTAATGAAAGGGAACATGATCTTCCAAAGGCAACTTTTAGACCAGTTAAAAAGACGTCTGTCAAACCATTTGTCATCACGGAAAGGCTAAAAGGCGCCCACAGAGGACCTATGTTAATGCCTCCCTCATCCTTCATTTTACCTGCTCGCAGTAGAGAAACTTCAAGGAAGTCTTCTTTGCCTGACGAGGCTGTGGTACGAGCTTCCAACTCCTCCCATCCTGCATCTACACCGCACACCTCCCCAGACAGTCAAAATCAAATGCAGTTTAGTCCTTCCTCAGAAGCCTCGTTATCAAGTAGAGGTTTGGACGAGGATGAAGATAGAGAAGATAACAGCAGTGTAGAGTGCTGGAAGGAAGAGGAGGAGAATGGAGAAATGGTGGACATGGAAGATGGGAAAATGGAAGAAGAGATGGATAAGGAAGGAGAAGAGGAAAATTCGGAGGATGAAGGAGAGGAAAGAGATGAGGACACATCTGATGGAAAACAGGTGGGCGAGGGTCGGAAACCGAAGAAGGTGCGAGAGAAGACAGTAGGGAATCAACTGTTTGATCAGCAAAGAGATCAAGGAAATCTTCAGGAACGAATTGCTGCCATGAAGAATACACTGCAAGAATTTCAAGAATTAAAGACGGCTTACAGGTGAGTGAACAAGTAGCGATGGTTGATGAAGTTTTGTTGTTTCATGTTCGATGATGATGATGATGATGATGATCATAGTCATATTATGGGTACGATGTACGATAGTGACAAACGACATTGTCTACTATCATGCACTCCCTATCACAAAAGAAAAAACTGCTTATCGTAGGTAACAATTCATGATGACTATTTTTATATCAAAATGCCTTGGATTTTGTGATTACGTTCGCGCTTTATCTTACTTCTAGTAGAACCAAAGTGAGATTCAAAATCTTTTTCGGGTAATTCACGCATTCTACAATTTTTTCTAGTCGTAAGAAGAAACAGCGGGACCAGTTGTCTATTTGGGTTCAGGAGCAGAGAGAAAACCTAGGATCAAACCACTTGGACGAAGAGTTCTTGCAAACTGAACAGTGTTTAAACGAGGTAACGAACGTTAAAATACTGATACTGTAAGTATTATGCCATTTTTAAGCGTGGCTAAGGAGTTGATCTCGGTACTGTCTAGAAACAAATCCAGTGAGTAGTGAGTGCGTTGGTGACCTAGAGAGATTTTGTTAGCTTGTACGCGAACCGACCCGCGACTGCGAAAAAAGAAATAAAATTCTTCGTCAACCAGGGCAGGCTTCAATTGAACTCGGGAATTTGGGATGATGTGCAAGTGCAGTGCTCGGGCCGCTCGGCGATGGTGCTTTCTTTTCCATGATTGTTTTTTTTTGTTCTAAAATGTCATGACTTTGTTGTTCTTTTGTTAGGATGAACGACATTTTCACTGCGTTTGCGTAAATTGAGATGGTTAAAATTGATTGTCATTACTGAGAATGTGTTTTGTTGTTTATTTAGTTGAACGAAGAAGTTACAGAGATGGCGCAAAGAATAAAACAAAATCGACCACTTGTTGAAGAAGTAGCAGCATGCATCCGCGAACTTATTCACAAATCTGCATTAGGATCTTTTACCTAGCTAGTCGCCGCTTATTTCAGGTCAGCAATGCACTGAAACGTACTGAGATAAACGCTCAAGGAGATTTATTGTGCGGGGTTTCCTTTCTGGTGGCCGGTCGACGGAGCGGGTCATCTGTCGCAGACGTTCGCTACCGAATTGGCGTGGACATTTTTTCTGGTAGTCTGTTCGGCGCGAACAATGGGCAGGCATAGATAGGAAAGAAATGGTGAAGGACGTTTTTTTTGCCAGTTCTGACTTGGAGGTGAACATTGTTTTTGGCTCTTAGCTTGAACATGCCCACAGCCCAAGTCTTCGCAGCTACAGAAGGTGAATTCTCCACTGTCAAGTGATAGATTGGAAATCCTTCTGTTACGAACGCCGCCTTTAATGCGTGACCCCCAGTTGTTTTGCAGGGGAGAAATGGCAACAAACCTACCCCATCCCACTCCACTTACTCCCTCCTCACTGGACAAGTACTGCTGAGAGGCTAGGGCACAGTGAAGTCCAACGTGTATTTTGAATATTTAAATTATGTTCTTGTAATTAGTCACTCTGAACTTACATCGTACGACCCTTATATGGATGCATTCTTTGTAAGTTTGAAAAGGTATATTAAATATGATATAATTGTCTTAAATGCCGGGTTTGACTTTATATAACTTTATTAAAAATAAGGCTTAAACCGTGCTGGATATCCAACCATTTTTTTTTCCAGGTTAAGTTTTGTTTCCTTAATAGCCTGTGAACAGACTCCCGGTTTGTTTAAGATAAGAAAATCGAGCAGAGGGAAAATCAGGAAAACGACGCATCTTAGCTAATGGTGACTACTAGTCAGTTATTGATAGCAAAAATTTTCAAGACATCCCAACACACTCTTTCACTTCCTGGGTGAGGATATGAGATTTTTCAGTCTCGGGACAAACGAAACTGTCCATTATTTACGGGTGTCCATATTAAGTGGGTGTCTGTAAAGCGGGGTTCCACTGTAATCCAAAATAAAATTGAAATTGAAATTATTTCACTCAACTATGCATAAGATACATTCTGGGTTCAAAGTTGGATGATTGTCCTTTAGTAACGTTTTGAAGAGTGAGAAAACGGCCAATAGGTCAAGTGAAGCCTATGTAAAGTATCGACTGTACTGGTTCACCATCATTCATCGTCACTGATTAATTTTTTCTTTTCTCAGATTCCAGTTATGGGCCATGGACCCCCCATTTTGGACCGAGTCCATGGACCACTTATATGGACCGGGCCAATGGACCCCCTGTAATGGACCGGGTTCATGCCCCCCTCCAAAAAAAAGAAAATTAGGAAGGAGAAATGAACAATAAACAAGATGCAAATAAACATTGTCCAACAATATTATAGTTTTGTGACAAACTCAGGGACAAGTTCTGTGTTGGCCAGTCATTTTGACCGGTTACGTGGACACAAAACATGGACCCGGGTCCATGGACACTTTTTGTTTAAGAAGGAGTTGAAAGTAGAAATGATCAATAAACATTATGGCCGGCTTCAACCCACAAAAATAGTGCAAAAATAAGGTTTGGAGGGGTTGATAATCGATATTTACACCTGCTTACATGACACATGTATACAAAATGATGATGATGTATGCTTACAGCCGGGCTGTTTGACTCTAATGGTAAGTGTTTGCTCAGCTTTGTGGATATTTTTTTGTTTTTGCTGTCGTCTTTTTTTCCTTATACAGGTAAATTGACTTTCATTCTCGATTATGCCCCACTCTTCTTTTCATTTTGCTACCCAAGAAATAACTTCTAAAGCACGAAGAAATTTCCCTATGTGTCACAGTGTTATAAATAAACAGACTGTAAACAAAATAAATAACAAACAAGATACAGGGCTCAAATAAACTTTTTGACAGATGCCGGTTAACAAATTTTTGCTCGGTCATCTCTGGACCGGTGAAATAAATAATTGTTTTCAAGTAATAGCTAATTAAGACAAAAATATTGCCCGTCTGCATAGAGGATTATGATTAAATTTTACAAATCAAAAAGCCGTCACATCTGCATGTTCCGAATTTGTGATTTCAAGCAGCTAAAATATTTCATGGTTAACAGTATTTGTAATTTCCAGAAGTCATGTGTATACACCTTGTACTTTTATTATTTTAGTTATTTATTTGAAAGCCGTCCACTTAACCGGTCAAAATGACTGGCAAACCTGGAAATTGTCACTGAGTTTGTCATTAAAACTATAATATTGTTGGACACTGGTACTGTTTATTTGCATCTTTTTTACTGTTCATTTCTGCTTCTTTATTTTATGTAATTTTTGGGGAAATGGAACCAGTCCATTAAAGGCGGTCCATGGACCCAGTCCAAAATGGGGGGTCCATGGACCCCAGGTCCCTGTTTTGTGCTCACTTCCTGGGGGTCAAGGGTTTAATCTCAATTCCTAGAAAAATCGGAAGTTCTTTCTCAGAAGCTAGGCATAGTCAAAACATGTCAAACAATGCCTCATGATTGGTTGATGTTGTGTGTTGCCTGAGGGGCAATAAAACAACCTCGCCAAAAATATGATTTCAATCCCTGACTATATACAACACTTCGGTGCGCATTCATTCGAACCTTGTTGATTCTCTTTGCCAGCTTTGCGAATTCGGTTATGGATTTACAAACCTTATTACACAACCTACATGAAGAAGTATCCTGTTCTGTGTGTATGAGCCCGTTCACTGATCCAAAAATATTGCCCTGCTTTCATACATTTTGCGTTCATTGTTTAAACGAGCTTCAAAGAACGAGTGGCAAACATGGCGAGATCACATGCCCGGAATGTCGCAGAAAGTTTCAGGTTCCCGGGAGCGGTTATCCCAAAGATTTGCCGGCCAATTTTCGAATGAACAGTTTGTTGGATGTAATGGTTATTCAAAAATGTAACGTCGCTGGAGTGAAGTGTGGAAACTGCGACAAAACAAGCGCCCAAAGTTTCTATTGCTTTAAGTGCTGCGCATTCTGGTGCGACGATTGCATTACAGCTCATAACATTATCCGAGCCAATAAAGACCACAAAGTGCTGGCGATTAAGGATTTTCAAGATCAAGACATTGAAAATGTGTTAAGGAGGCCAGTATTTTGCCAAAAGGAACATCATGAAAACAAAAAGCTAAAGTTCTTTTGCAAGGACTGTGAAGTCGCCATTTGTAACACTTGTGTTGTAACACTTCACGAAGGTCACGTCAAAGTACCTTTGCAAGATGCTGCCAATGAACGAAAATTACGTTTGGAGTCCGTGTTAGAGTCTCAGAAGGAGAAGGCGCTTCGGAAAAGAAATATGATAACTAGACTGCAAAGTGAGTGCGATGAAATTAAAGAACAGGTCGCTTGCGTGAAAAAAGGCGCACAGAATTTGGTTGACAATTTGATGAGAGTCATTGAAGCGAAGAAACGGGAAATTTTTAAAGAGGTGGAAGTCAAAGCTCAACAGTCCATCGAGCGTCTTGTAGAGCAACAGTCGGAAGTAGAAAACGAATTACAGCGGATCGAGACTTCAATTGAAAAAACTGAAACTTTCCTAAAGCAAAGCACCAATGCTGAGATTGTGCACTTTAACACATTATTTCAAGTGGAAGTCACTAGCGAGGCAGAACTAGTGGACTGTGACCGTAAGGATCTTCGCCACTTTGTGTTCTTTCCAAACAAATCATTGATGGCTAAAGCAAACAGTGAAGGTGTTGGTTCTTTGAAACAAATCATCAGCCAGACTAAATCCTGCAACTCAAAAGCGGAAGGAAAAGGAATCACTGAGGTGACTGTTGGACTTAAATCACAGTTTACTTTAACAACACGAAATGCTAAGAATAAACAATGCTACGAACAGTGTGATGTCGTTACAGTGGAAATCAGAAATGATAACGGCCGTGAATGCGCCACTGAAGCACAAGTTCAAGATAACAAAGATGGCAGTTACAATATCAGCTACTTTGCCAAAGAAGCAGGAACATGCCAGGCATCAGTGATGGTAAATGGAGAACATGTTAGTGGCAGCCCATTTACTGTTCAAGTTAAACCCAGGCAGTACAAACCTCTGTTGTCATTTGGAGGAGAAGGCTCATCTGCTGGAATGTTTGATGGACCTTGGGGTGTGGCGGTGAATGAACGTAATGAAATTGCTGTAACTGATCGTTATAATAAGCGAGTTCAGATATTTAGTAGTGATGGAACTTACTTAAGGTCTTTTGGCAGTATGGGTGATCAAGAGGGAGAGTTTAATGAGCCTACAGGTATAGCTTATTTAAATAATGGAAACATTGTAGTGGCTGACACTTTTAACAACCGACTGCAAATATTCACTGAGCAGGGGGAGTACCTTACTCAAATTGGCGGTGAAGGAAATGTTGATCATCAGTTTAATTATCCATTGGGCGTATCTGTAGACAGTGATGGTAATATTATTGTTGCTGATTCAAATAACAAACTAATAAAGATCTTCACTCCAAGCGGCCAGTTTCTTAGAAAGTTTGGTGGAGAAGATTTATTAGTTGATCCCATTCACTGTATTCAAAAGGATCAATATTTCATTGTATCAGACAACGGTGATCACAGCATCCAAGTGTTTAATACAGAGGGTGATTTTCTGTATAAATTCGAGAATGAAGGGGAAGGGGATGGGGAATTCAATAAGCCCAAGTTCTTGTCTGTTGACAAAGCAGGACACCTGATGGTCTGTGATTTTGAGAATTACAGAGTTCAGGTGTTGGAATTAAATGGAAAGTTCATAACAAAGTTTAAACTAATGCGTAGGGGATCACCAACCTCTACCACAGTTCTCTCTGATGGTACTATAGTAGTGTCTGATTATTGGGAAGATTGCATTCAGATAATTAAATAAATTCATTTGATGCAAATTAATAAAATAGCATAGGATAGGTTGGTTATTGAACTCCCTGCAATTGAAAAAAGATATTTGGTAAATTTTGTTATTGTCTCGTTTTTGTGCATGGCGTTTTCTTTGTAACAACCTTCTGCAATGCGTGCCGGTAATTGTGGTCGTGTCCTTTCCAGAGGTGCTCAAGGTTTTTAGGCTGTGAATCGAGCTGCTGTAGTTTTAATCTCTTTTGAGCAAGTTTGTAAATATCGATGTTACCTTTTAGTTTGGTACATACTTTATTTCACCCTATTTTTTATCGGTGATAAAACCCTCCATACGATAATTATTTACAAACTTGAGATGTTCTTCGTGAGATTATTTGCTGGTTTTTGAGAGATGGAATGCGAGAAGTCTCTTATTTTTCTTCAAAGATGGTCTAGTATCGTGCGTACCAGGCAAGCAATGATCGTCAAGGCCACTAGAGATGAAAAACGAGAGCTTCATAACAAGCTGACGTAACGGGAAAATGGGCATTTGATGGATGCCACCCTATGACTTCGAAAAAACTGAAACTGCTCGCGTATATCTGCTAAAGAGCATAATCCGTCTACAACAACAGTTCATTGTACTTCGTGAGAAACAGGTTCTGTGTCTGTGTAACAACCTTTCCTTGATTTCCGAATTTGTTTATTCAAAATATATGTTTTAGTTAATTTTTCATCTCAGGTAATTTATGTTTCTCTTTTGTTTTTGGGTATGCTAAAGCATGCTAATGAAGTTGAAACAAAAGAAAAATAAAAATTACCTGAGATACTACTACTACTGATGATAGCCTTGCTAACCCTCCGTTTAGGGATAAGGCGAGTAAACAAATGAGGGAGGGAAGCCAAGGGAAAACGGAAGACTTGGCCTTACGAACATCCTTTCAACTAAGGAGATTTTTAAAACACAACAGTCGAGCGTGGATGCACATCCATAGGACCTCGGGTTTATTGAGTCTATCTTATGGCTGATTAAACGATAAAAAACAAGTCAAGTATTTCAAGAAGGATGAAATGCATTTTTCAAGTCTATCAGCTGTAGCTCATCTTATCTTAGTTTGCGATTAGGCTCGTGTATTGGCAGTTTGTGCTGCAAATCTCTTGTTGCCTCTTATGCGAGGAATAGTATAGCTACATTGTTGGAGTTACGCCAGGTTCGGGGGGGGGGAGAGCGGTTAGATACTGCTCGCCCAAAACTTTGCTTCTACGCGGCAGACTCAAAAGGCTATTATCATACTGTTATTATTTTTTCATAAGGAAATATTTTCAACCCTCTCTGACAAATGGGCGCTAAACGTTCTACCACCGCTTCTTAGTTCCTGGGAAACGCTATTCCTGAGCTTGTCTCCAGTCCCTCCAAGAAAGTAGCTGTAGCAGCAACAGTGCTTGATTCATTACTGTTCACTAGAGAGAAATTCTAGCTCTGCCCCTGGGAACACTTTAGACGCCGTAAAAAGGCTGCCATCTTTTTGGCGTTAAAATGCAGAATTTGATTTGAGGTTGACGTTAGTCGTTAACCTTTTATGTCTAACGTTAGCTTTTATGCAGCTCAGGCCCTTTAAAGCCAAAAGAAAAGAAATGTTAAAAACCTTCTTATGAAGATATTCGCCACCTTTTTACGCATGTAGGGAATGATGGGTGAAAGCAACCTCACGTGGTCTCTTGGAAAGAAAACAGCTGATTTAACTCGCGTGTCCCGGTGTCGAACCTGTTTATTCTGTCCACATAGAAATACAACTTTTCCAAGTCAAACAGAATGTATAGACTGAATATCTTCAAGATTTCCGGCATTATTGCTTAGCGTTGTCTCCGTCGACATTGTTTTAGATACCACAAGACAATCTACACCTTAAAATCGAGCTTACGAAATAATCAAGCTCGACCTCAATTGCTTCCTCAGGGATGATTTCACAGCTATTTGAAAAGGATTATTTCAAATAATCATTGTCTTCACCCTCAACAAATTAACCAAAATAATCATCCACTTTTTCGGCATTCATCAAAATATTCACTTAACTTCTCACCGCACCTGTTTGATACTGTCAATTTTCAATCTTGCGCCCGTTATCCTTAAATAGTCAGCAATTCGGTCTTGCATTTCCCACGCGTGCGCTGTTGTCTTGTCGTCATCCGGGAGATCTAGGATTTTCTTGAGCTAAGTTTGCTTTTCTGTCAGTCAGTGTTGTACCGTGCGGTATGCCACCTACCGGAATGCACACAAACACTTTTAACATCATTAGTTGGAGTAAAACGCGTTGTTTCTAAAGAAACCCCACAGAGTAAACTTTAAATTGTAATTGTAAATATCTTATTATCCACTCCCTCCAGGGCTTTTCAGGGATAATTTACAACACTGGTTGGGGGACTTTGCCAGACCGCTTAAGGTGCAGTTCACAAGTAATAAAGGAATGAGTAATGATGCCCCCATACATGAGTGTGAAAGTGAGATAGACCACCACACCGGGCACTGAGTACCCCACTCGTTACGAAGGGTGTGCGGGTTCTTTAACGTCCCACAGATTTATTACATGTGCAAGGGTTTGTGAGACGGGGCCTATGGTTTATCGTCCTTATCCGAGACGACTAGAAAGTCTAACCTTTTGCAGATGTTATCACAAAGGCAGCACTTTCTCCTCAATTATTTAAAGACCCTGAGTGTTGGTCCGGCCGGGGTTTGAACCTACGGCCTCCTGCTCAGCAGCCCGACGCTAATCCCATTGAGCTAACCAGGCGGCGGTTTAATGGGATACATGCGCTTAACCATTGAGATTGAGGAATAGTTCTGTGCATGGGTAGGGACTCTGAGCAAATCGCTACGGCGACCTCTACTACGGTTGCCGGAAGTAAAAAAGGTCCCAAAAAAGACGTAGGCGAATGCATAGCACTGAGATTTCACCGTAGCGCCAAATCCTACATCGTGAACACCTGTATGGTGACGCAGTCGCTGCTACGTGATTATAAAAGTCGACTTTTCTCCTTTTTTTAAAATCACTGGTTTCAAAACCTATCATAGATTGTTTTTCACTTTATCAAGAAAGTAATTGACGCTTCTGGTTATCCAGGAATTATGTCTTCCTTATTAAGTTCGCAAATAAAATAGAGGCAATGTATGAAAGGTCGCTCGTAAGCGTAAAAGTTCAACCTCGCTTAACTTCTCGTTTATGCTCAGCACTCTTTATCTTGCCTCTATTTTATTTACGTAATTAAAATTAACGTGCGTTAACGTGCGTAGCCAAAAACGCGTCACTGGAAATCAACCTTAAAGGAGGTCATTACGACTTACCAACAGCGAAAGCAAGTGAGACAGAAACGCTGCAGTCACTGTTTCGACTCCGCTTGCTTAAAGTTGAATTTGGTGGGGTATAGCCTGCGTAGCAAGCGTTTCCGTGTGGTTTCGGAGCAAAGAAAGACCCAGGAATGGGATTTTCGGTTTTTGCAGCACGAAAAATAGAGAAAGCTCCCAAATCGCATGGAAAAGCTTGCTTCGCTTTTTTGCTGCGCAGGCTAGGTGGGCTACGGTGACGTACCCTCCCTAGGACTCCGCATCCACGACCGCCGCAGTAGAGGTCACGTGGTCACCGTAGCGGTTTTCCTTTAAGTCTCAAATGTCTCTTGGCTGACCGAGAAGCGTCCGTGACTCTTAGCTGCGGTACACTAATCATTTGCGCTACCAATCGCTCGTCCTCACAAAAATCCTACAAAAAGGTGCTTTTTCCCTGAAAAAATTTTCTCAAGCAAGCAGACTCTCCAGGGGTTCTCATTGGCAAAATTTAGTCATTTTAAGTAGATTATCACAACTTTTTTGAAAGAAACACAACTGCAAATGCTATTGAAGATTATTATACTTACCACCAAAACCGAGATTCCAACTCATTCCTCGTCTGGGTGTAGAGGTTGTCATAGCGTTACACCTTCACCGGCGAAAAATGTCTGCGCATGCTCTACTAAAAATGGCTCGTGATCTATTTCGGGCAATGTCATTGGCTCTGAAGCAAAAATGACCGGGAAATGTTGTTGAGATGAAAGGAGCGATGGTAGCTTTTTTTGGCAGTGACAGCGTTGCAATTTCTTGCCACTGTAAGAGATCAAAAATTATTTTGGTCAAAGTTTTGACGTAAGTGTGTTCTCTAGTGAATATAGCGTCCTGAAACTGGCGAAAAATCGCATTGGCATGGTCTGATTCAGTGTTATTGACGTTTAGATCGCTGGTTTGCATGTAGAAGACATGCCGAAAAGGTGGGTAATTTTTGCTCTTTTTGTTTACTGCATGTTCCGTGCAACTCGGTACAAAAAGAAATTATAAAGCAGTGGAACAAAAATTATTGGGCTTTGTTTTGGTATGTAAATTAGCTTGTACCGAGTTGCACGGAAGGGACAGTTTTGTGAAATGTGCATCCCGTTTTTGTGTCAAAATTCGACTTTGATAACATTCGACTGTTGATCGAAGAACGTATTACAATGCTATCCAAAATGTTTTTGTTCTTTAGATCAAGTTTCAATAGAGGGAGAGACATTTTTGGGCTTTGTTTTGTTAATATGACTTAGCGTGTACTTTGTTGCTGGAAAAACTATATTTAGATGCCTAATCTCCGCATGTTTACACTGTTTATGGCAGAAAAATACGCTTACGCTTGGTTCACCTTAATCTCGTGTCACACGGTACAAAAGGAAATTATAAAGAAGGTAAAGAAATCTTCTTAGCGATTGTCTTGCTGTGTAATTATAAATTGGCTTGTGGCTAGTGGATCGAAAGCAACCGGGTTGCGGCAGTTTTCTAAAGTGCGTAGTTCGAAACGTGATTTTGTCGATCGATGCAAATTTCATTGTTGTTGCACGTTATTACAGCTTTGTATGTTACCATATAGAAATTTGAGTTTTATGCGAACTGTCGAATGAGAAAATGTGAAAGTGTTTTCATTAAATACTTAGACCGTCTTGGAGCTACAGTTCGATAGGTCCAGCAACATTCTGATTTGTGAAAAAAATTCCGTTTACAATGTGCACAGCTGCTGTACATTTAGGCTTGCAATTTCATAATTGAAGGATCGATTGCTCCTAAATTTGGCTTGGGATTATCCACACAACGATGGATTTACTTCGTTAGGGACCGTACTTACGGACATGATTTCCTCCGTGTAAAATTTTTTAGTGCTAAATTTTTGCACACAAGGTTTTCTGTGGGGGGTGCTTCTTTGCTTGAAAATTGGATCCTGGAAGGAGATGAACAGGGTAATATTCCTGTGAATGCTTTTAGCTGCTTTTGTTTTTCTGTCCATCGTTTTTGGCTTAATTTTTTGTGGAGCAAAGTTATGAATGAATGATAGAGTTAACATGCTATTAAGTATTCAAAAGTTCTTTCCCACACACACAAAAAAAATAATCCTCACAAATTAAACTTACAGGAGTTTAAAGTTTGGAGTAAACTTTGAGTCTTAATGAAATTTTAGTTGGATCATGTTAATGAATGGAGTTGTTTAGGATATGCAGTTTCCAATTTTGATTTTCTGTCAGAATTATGAGAGAACACTCAAATACAGATCTCATTCATTATAGATATATATTAACATAGTTTCATTGCAATTATCGTTTGTTTCTTTTCCTATAAACTTCTCATCAGGTCTACATTTTGCATGAATTTAATGTGATATATATTTGAAGGGGTTGTTGTTTCACAGTGAAGTATAATTTTTTCACTTTGTTTTTTTGATATGAAGTTGAGTTTCTTCATAGTTGTTGGCTAAGACAGTGTTGAAGTAGTGACATGTTAACATACTTTATTGTTCATTTCTCTTTAGAAAAGGTTGATTGATCCTGAATCAAACAAAGTGAAGCTTCACAAACAAGATTTTTGACGAACAAATGTGTACTCAAGCAAAGTATATGTCCCTGACAGTGTCAATAAAATTTATTAACGGAAAGATCTGGGTTTTTACTCCTCTGTAGCACTTTTGACTACGCATCACTTTTCTAACCTATATGGTAAAAAGATCATATAGTATAATCTGCATTTTTTCCAACTAACATATTTGCGATCAAAGTTCTCTTCTTTTATATATAGTATTCCTCTAATTTGAAAACTTTCATTATCTTATTCAGATCAAGCACAGTAACCATTGAAAAGAAAAAAGAAAAAAAAACCTGCTCGGTCATAGACGGCTTTAAAGTTTTGATATTAAAATTGCAATTAAAAGAACATGAATGCAGACACTACAGTTCATTTAGCTCATGTTCAAGCTTTTTTTTATAAATTAGAATTAAAGTCTTGCTGGAGAAAACATAATTTTGCTTTATCTTTTCGGTAAAAAAAAATAATAAAATAACTTCCAGGTGTCTAAGCAATTTCAAAGGACCCATAGTGTCTTATTTCTCCGCTGCATAGAGCTGTGAACAAAGGCCGTTCTTTCTAGTGACCCGGCTTTCGTCAAAAATATTGGTGACCTTCGTGATCGTGAAGAGTCCAAAGTTGAATCCGGTAAACCGGCCAAAACGCGAGCATCGCAGGGAACGAATCCCAAAGGAATAGGTGAAAAAGGATAATAAAAAGTCTAGGCTATTCTAAAAATATCCCGTATATGCATTGGCAACTCATATGAAGCCGCAATTAATCTTCTTTCCACTGGAATAAACAAACTATGGAGGTATTGCTGCCATTTTGAATTTGGCAACGTCACGTGGTCTCGCGTCGTCCAATCAGACATTTTTCGCCGGTGAAGCGTTCTACCAGAGCCGACGGCCGACACTCAACTGCCGACAGATCCTCAATTTTCCCGCCTTTTTTCAACTGTCTCTGCGCCCGATCCTGTAGCCTTAAATAGAACAGAAGAAGATATTCTTACTTACTTTCCTCCATGACTGTAATATCCAATAAATTTACAGGCTTCTGTTTTTTACCTGTCAGTCAGATTTTGCTTTCCTTTTGTTAGGAGTTGAACCATTTCCTGTCTTGCTTCAAGTTCCTTTTGTTCATCATGCAGTTGTTTTTGAAGGTCGTCAATTTTATCTCCTTGCTGTTGGGTTCTTTCTGTCCCAGTAACGTTTGGGCTCAGCTGTTGACGTTGTGTTGGCTTCACTCCTTCCACCTGTTTAGTCTCACTAGAGCTTAGTGCGGAAAATTCTGAAAGGAAAATTAGATGATAGTTATGAAACATTTATATATTGATTTCTCAAAATACTGTTATCTTATTGTTATTTTAGTCATATATTGCGGCCAGTTGAGATGTCTTTTTTTTTCAGCGTTGGGTTTTCGTGCAGTAGAGTAGTTTAACCGTTAGACCAAAAGAACGAGGCTATATAAGTTCGGTAAGTACCCGGATGTAAAAATCGCTGATTCGGAAGTACGCTGAAATGGCTCTTTAGTTAGTAGAATGGAGAATGGTTCTTATGAATCGTAGAGGGCTATTAGTTCAGATCAATATACTGTAAAATGGCTGATACATCTTCTTCAGGTAAGGTTTACCATTATCATCATCGTCATCATCATCATCATCATCATCATCATCATCATCATGTGCGTTGCCTTTATTTGACTCAGTTCAGTCTGGAGGTACTTCTTGATTCCTATCTTTTTATCTGCTGGTTGTTACTGTACCTAAAGTGCTTACTTACTTCTTTAGTCTCACTATTGCTCTTGGTTGGTTCGTTACGGGTGATTTGTCGGATACCTTACTGGATCAGAACCTGACTATGCATGAAAGCCAAGTAAACGCCAGGGCAAACCAGGCAACCTTAGGTGAGCCCCTGAGATAAGACCTTACCTGTTTCATCGTCCAGTAACAGTATAGAACACATCTGATCCATCTTCGCTGACGTCATCAGGCTCAGAGTCACTAGCCATGGTGCGAGTGATGGTGGGTACCTTCAGTGTAGCCACACCGGCCCTTTAATGATTCCTCTAGCAGCTGTAATACCAGGCGGTACCCTTGATGAAAGCTCTCGAGTAGTGGTAATACTTTTTCGTCATGTGACACGTTAAACTCTTTTCTTAATTGACTCAAAATTAAGCTGAAGGACCTGACTCATATTAAAGATACTTTATTGAAATTAAAAAGTTAATATAGCTACTGCAGGCGGAAATCCTGTATTTTGCATGTTTATAGCCTGCGAACATGCTCTTCATATAGATCTTTATGTTTTAGTTTTAGGCGTTCGTAAAACAAATCATTAAAAGTACTGAATCACCTTTTAAGATGTTACTATTCAATGACTATTTGGCACCCATTAAAAGGTCACTTTCCAACCTGTTCTTCGGCTTTATTATACAGAATAGCACTCTTACCTCTTTATCGCGGTTAATGCATGTTCCTAACCTGTCTATCAAGCCGTTTGTCAATGGTTTGTCCCTTGAACTATCCTGCATCGCAGACAGTAGAGATTGATTAATCGATGATCTGCCCTTGATAGCTTTCCTCGACAGTTTTCTCATGTACCGAATCGTTTTTTCATCTATATCTACCCTGCTGTTTGCAGAAGAAGATAAAGGTAAATCAGCGTGTTTATCCGGTATGCTTAACAAGACTTCGACCAATCTTTGTAGGGAGGATTTGTAATGGTTTACAGCCCGGTCTATTTGAAATTAATGTTAAGAAATCTAATTTTATCATATTCAGACCGAGACAAAACAGGCAAACACTTGATTTAGCTTTTAATATTAGTAATTATTCGATTGACCGTGTTAAGGAAGCTACTTTTCTTGGTGTAATTTTGGATGAACATTTAACACGGAAATCACATATACATAATGTTGCTAGGAAAGTGTCTAAAGCCATAGGTATAATTTATAAATCAAGTTTTTGCCTTAATAATTCCTCCTTACGGATGCTTTATTTTAGCCTTATCTACCCATACTTATTCTACTGCGTGAGCGTTTGGGCATCGACCTACCCATCTAACCTCAGAAGATTAATCACACTTCAAAAACGGGTAGTAAGAATAATGTCGAGGAGTGCTTTCGATGCTCACACTGACCCCTTATTTAAAAATTTAAAAATTCTGAATCTTGAGAGTATCTACAAACTTCAAATAGGAAAATTTATGTATCAATACAGATCTGGCTTACTTCCTTATAGCTTCAATAACATGTTTCTGGTGACACGCCAGGTGCATTCTTATGGCACTAGAAGTTGGGAGCATTTTTATTTACCACAATGCAGGACTAATATAAGAAAGTTCTCATTCAGTTTCCAAGGTCCTAAATTTTTTAACTCTCTTAGTTTTGAAATTCGAAATGCAACAAGTACCGCTTCCTTTTGCTGTAAGCTGAAAGCATTCCTCTTATCATAAATAGTAATTTATATATATATATATATGTATTTTTTTTTTCTTCCTTTGCTCTTTTATTTTGTTTTGTTTTGTTTTGTTTTGTTTTTTTCTTCTTTTTGTCATTTGGCTTTTTTTAGCCTAGAACTATGATTAGTACGACTATCTAATATACTTATCTTAAGATTTACTGTAGCTCTGCCATTGATTTTCCCGTGTGTAATTATGATAATATTTTGTTCTAATTATCTAACTGAGGGAGCCCATTCCTTATAAGCCCGGTGGCTTCTCTTGGGCTTCCTCGCCATGAGAGTTAAGGTAACTAGATTTTATTTGATTTGTATAATTTTTGGCAAACAAAACAATAAACAATTTAACCACCGACCGTTCCACCCAAACCATTTTCAACTATGAATGATTCTGAGACATTACCACGTCTTTCCCCACCCCGCCCGTGTCGTCAAATGAAGAGCAATATTCATCCCCACCAGAGGACCCCTCGGGAAGAGTCGATCGTGTTTCCCTCATCTTCAGGGGAGGAATCTGTTCTTGTTACAGTTGAGTCAAGACATGCTGTTAGAGAAGCCTCTGGTCAGAATTTTTAAATATTGCCTTTATTCTCATCTTTGTTTTCTTTACTTCATTATTATAGTAACTTAAAGAGTTGAAGAAGAAACACAAGTGAGCACATTTGGAAAAACTAGCCCTTATCAGTATTTTTTAAAATTATTTGTTATATTTGCATTAAGCTATATTTAAAAGAACACAAAGTCTCAGATCCTGTGAGGTCGCTTTACATGAGCCTGAAATCCCTAGTCAACCCGCTCAGAGGAAAGATATCCGGAGGACCTTCTGGGAATAATGGCCTCATTGCGATACAATGCTTGCGAATACACCGTAGGCTTAAATGACTGCTTTTAAGCATAGTTATACACAAAGACTGAATGCAGATTTAACCGACTGGAGTGACTTGTTACTCTTTCCCTAGTAACTCTTTCTGTTTGTTTTTTTTTTATATATATATTTAGACTCAACGAAGCTGCCTTTAGTGAAAGGGAATATGATCTTCCAAAGGCATCTTTCAGACCAGCTAAAAAGACGTCTTTCAAACCATTTGTCTTCACGGAAAGGGTATGAGGCGTCCTCAGAGGACCTATGTTAATGCCTCCCTCATCCTTCATTTTACCTGCTCGCAGTAGAGAAACTTCAAGGAAGTCTTCTCTGCCTGACGAAGCTGTGGTACGAGCTTCCAACTCAGCCCATCCTCCGTATACACGGCACACCTCACCAAACAGTCAAAATCAATTGGAGTTTAGTCCTTCCTCAGAAGAATTGTTGTCAAGTAGAGGTTTGGAGGAAGATGAAGATAGAGAGGATAACAGCAGTGTAGAGTACTGAAAGGAAGAGGAGGAGAATGGAGAAATGGTGGACATGGAAGATGGGAAAATGGAAGAAGAGGTTGATAAGGAAAGAGAAGAGTAAAATTCGGAGGGTGAAGGAGAGGAAAGAAACGCCCACATATCTGATGAAGAACAGGTGGACAAGGGTCGTGAAGTGAAGAAGATGCGAAAGAAGACAGTAAAGAATCGATTGTTTCAACAGCAAAAAAGAGCAAGGAAATCTTCAGAAACGAATTGCTGTCATGAAAATTTAAAACACACGACAGGATTTTCAAGAATTAAAGACGGCTTACAGGTGAGTGAACAACTAGCGATGGTTGGTGAAGATTTGTTGCTTCTTGTTCGATGATGATGATGATGATGATGATGGTCATGTTATGGGTACAATAGTGACAAACGACATTGTCTACTATCATGCACTCCTTAATTTTCCATTTGGGTTCAAGAGCAGAGAGAAAACCTAGGATCAAACCACTTGGACGAAGAGTTCTTGAAAATTGAACAGTGTTTGGACGAGGTAACGAATATTAAAATAATGGCGATACTATAAGTAGTATACCATTTACAAGCGTGACCAGGAGTTGATCTCGGTACTGTCTAGAAACAAATCCAGTAAGCAATCAGTGCGTTTGTTACCTGGGAGGATTTTATTAGCTTGTACGCGAACCGACCCGCGGCGACTGCGAAAGATGAAATAAAATTCTTGGTCAACCAGGGCAGGCTTCAATTGAACTCGGGAATTTGGGATGGTGTGTAAGTTCAGCGCTCCGGCCACTCGACGCTGCTGCTTCATTTTCCATTGTATTATTCATGAATGTTCTTTTTTCTTTTAAAATTTCATGACTTTGTTGTTGTTTCAGTGTTCGAATGAACGACATTTTCACTGCGTTTGGATAAATTGAGATGGTTAAACATTAATTGTCATCATTTAGAATGTATTTTGTTTTTGATTTAGTTGAACAAAGAAGTTAAAAAAAATATCCTTTATTTTAAGAGGGTGACACCAATTACTATGAAGCTTAAGTATTTTCCCTAGTGGCCCTCTAAAAAAAAAAGTGATAATAATAAATTACAACAATCATGATAAAAAGCCTATTTACAAATAGTAATTATAATAAAAGATCTTAAGAATTCCAGTATTCTCCCTCCCTAGTGGCCCCCCAAAAACAAAATTGATAACAATAAAATTACAACAATAATCATGATAAAACGCCTATTTACAAATAGTGATTATAATAAAAGGTTCTTAAAAATTCTAAAGATTTGAAAAACTGAGAGATGTTAAAAACGGAAGTGAATACATTGGTAAGAAAGGGAAATATTAAATAAAAAAAGGCACGGATTTTTCAAAATCAGAATAACTTTTTAACTTTAAAATTGTCCACCGTATAGTTTGAGGCGACGTGATTAGTCAGTGTTGTCTTCATTAAGCTAAAGGAGGTGGTTGGTTCTAAGTTAAGAGCATTTAGTTCTTTAATAGTGGAATAAAAGAACGTTTTCCTCATTGCTTCAGTTCTGGGTTTCGGTAAGCGGTATGATGTTTTTGTTCTGGTGGAGTACTTGTGTTCAAACCGAAGTGAGTCCAAGGTTGTAATTAAGTATTCCGGTGCCCTACCATCAATAACATTCTTTAAAAGGCCGAGTTTATTGAGCTTGAATAGTTGATCAACCGGTAGCCACTTAAGCTTTTGAAAATTATCATACGATCGTGCATCCCGAGGACTATCCAAAATTAATCGAGCGCAGCGTTTTTGAAGTTTAAACAGTTCGTCTAAGTTGGTTTGGCTACAGTTGCTCCAAACAGTACAGCAATAAGTAAAGAGCGGTTTGATACTTGCATTGTAGAGAAGCAATCGATATTTGGCTGGTATATATTTCCGAGCTCTTGCTAAAATTGCAATTCTTTGAATTAGTTTTCGGCGCAGTGTGTCAATGTGTTCGTTCAAGGTGAGATGACTATCAATATACACTCCTAAGACATGTTCTGACTCAACCTTAGTGAAAGGTCAAGAGACTGTTTTGCTGAATTTGCAATTTTTGGTCTGGTCGAGATTATACTGTACTTTGTCTTTGCTGGATGCCTTTTCATTTTATTTTCCTTTGCCCACATCGATACTGCGTCAATGTCAGGTCTGATTTTCTCCTCGACTTCAGCTAAGGCAGGTGCAGATGCATAAAGGGTCGAGTCATCGGCATAAATGCCAAAATTATTCTTCAGTACTAGAGGCAAATCATTTATGAAGAGCAGAAAAAGAGCAGGACCAAGAATACTCCCCTGTGGTTACAGAGATGGCGCAAAGAATAAAACAAACTCGACCACGTGTTGAAGAAGTAGCAGCACACATCCGCGAACGTATTGACAAATCTGCATTAGGATCTTTTACCTAGCTAGTCGCCGCTTATATCAGGTCAGCAATGCACTGAAACGTACTGAGATAAAAGCTCAAGGAGATTAATTGTGCGGGGTTTCCTTTCTGGTGGTCGGTCGATGGAGTGGTTCATCTGTCGCAGACGTTCGCTATAGCATTGGTGTGGACATCTTTTCTTGTGGTCTGTACAGCGGGAACAATGGGCAGACATAGATAGGAAAGAACTGGTAAAGGACGGTTTTTTTTGGTTATTGTTGTTGTTGTTGTTCTTTTTTAGCCAGTTCTGGCTCCTTTTGGTGGTGAATATTGTTTTTGGCTCTTAGCTTGAACATGCCTAAGTCCTCGCAGCTATAGAAGGTGAATCCTCCACTGTTAAGTGACGAATGGGAAACCCTTGTGTTACGAACGCCGCCTTCAATGCGCGAACCCCAGTTTTTTTGCTGGGGAGAAATGGCAACAAACCTACCCCACCCCACTCCACCCACTCCCTCCTCCTTGGACGAGTAATGCTGAGAGGAAGTCCAACGTGTATTTTAAATATTTAAATTATGTTCTTTTTTAGTCACTCCGAACTTACATCGTTCAATCCTTGTATGGATGCATTCTTTGTAAGTTTGAAAAGATGTATTAAATATTAAATACAAAAAGAATCTAATGGAGGGTAAATTAGAAATGCAGCGCATCTTCGCTAATAGTCACTACTAGTCGGCTATTGATAACAAGAATTTTCACGACATCGCGACACACTCTTTCTCTTCTTTTGGGGGCAAAGGGCAGAAGCTAGGCATAGTCAAAACATGTCAAACAATGCCTCATGATTGGTTAGTGTTGTCTGTTTCCTGAGGGGCAAAGGGGCGGCAATTAACATAAAACAACCTCGCCGAAAATATGATTTCAATCTCTGACTACAACACTTTAGGGCGGATTCACTCAAACCTTGTTAATTATATTTGCCAGCTTTGCAAATTCGGTTATGGATTTACAAACTTTATTACACAACCTACATGAAGAAGTATCCTGTTCTGTGTGTATGAGCCCGTTCACTGAACCAAAAATATTGCCGTGCTTTCATACATTTTGTCTTCATTGTTTGAACGATCTTCAACGAACGAGTGGCAAACATGGCGAGATCACATGCCCGGAATGTCGCAGAAACTATCAACTTCCTGGAAGTGGATATCCTAAAGACTTGCCGGCCAACTTTCGAATGAACAGTTTGTTAGATGTCATGGCTATTCAAAAATGCAGCGTCGCTGGAGTGAAGTGTGGAAACTGCGAAAAAACAAGTGCCCAAAGTTTCTATTGTTTTAAATGTTGCGCCTTCTGGTGCGACGATTGCATTGCAGCTCATAACCTCATCCGAGCCAACAAAGACCACAAAGTGCTGGCGATTAAGGATTTTCAAGATCAAGACATTGAAAACGTGTTAAGGAGGCCAGTATTTTGCCAAAAGGAACATCATGAAAACAAAAAGCTAAAGTTCTTTTGCAAGGACTGTGAAGTCGCCATTTGTAACACTTGTGTTGTAACGCTTCACGAAGGTCACGTCAAAGTGCCTTTGCAAGATGCTGCCAATGAACGAAAATTACGTTTGGAGTCCCTGTTAGAGTCTCAGAAGGTCAAGGCGCTTCAGAAAAGAAATATGATAACTAGACTACAAAGTGAGTGCAATGAAATTCAAGAACAGGTTGCTTGCGTGAAAAAAAGCGCACAGAATTTGGTTGACAATTTAATGAGAATCATTGAAACGAAGAAACAGGAACTTTTTAAAGAGGTCGAAGACAAAGCTCAACAGTCCATTGAACGTCTTGTAGAGCAACAGTCGGACGTAGAAAACGAATTACAGCTGATTGAGACATCAATTGTAAAAACTGAAACTTTCCTAAAGCGTAGCAGCAATGCCGAGATTGTGCACTTTAACACATTATTTCAAGAGGAGGTCACTGACGAGGCAGACCAAGTCGACTGTGATCGTAAGGATCTTGGCCACTTTGTGTTCTTTGCAAACAAATCATTGATGGCTAAAGCAAACATTGAAGGTGTTGGTTTTTTGAAACAAATCATCAGCCAGACTAAATCCAGCAACTCAAAAGCGGAAGGAAATGGAATCAATGACGTGACTGTTGGACTGGAAGCACAGTTTGTTTTAACAACACGAAATGTTGAGAATGAACAATGCTACGAACAGTGTGATATCGTTACAGTGGAAATCAGAAATGATGACGGCCGTGAATGCGCCACTGAAGCACAAGTCCAAGATAACAAAGATGGCAGCTACAATATCAGCTACTTTGCCAAAGAAGCAGGAACATTCCAGACATCAGTGATGGTAAATGGAGAACATGTTAGTGGCAGTCCATTTACTATTCAAGTCAAACCCAGAAAATACAAACCTGTGCTGTCGTTTGGAGAAGAAGGTTCATCTGCTGGAATGTTTGATGGACCTTGGGGTGTGGCGGTGAATGAACTTGGTGAAATTGCAGTAACTGATTCTCAGAACAACCTTGTCCAGATATTTAGTAGTGATGGAACTTACTTAAGGTTTTTTGGCAGGTCGGGTATTCAAGAGGGAGAGTTGATTCACCCTTGTGGTATAGCTTATTTAAATAACGGAAACATTGTAGTAGCTGACAGTGATAACAACCGACTACAAATATTCAATGACCAGGGAGAATACCTTGCTCAAATTGGCAGTGAAGGAAATCTTGATCACCAGTTTGATTTTCCGTGGGGTTTATCTGTAAACAGTGATGGTAATATTATTGTTGCTGATGCAGATAACAAACTAATCAAGATCTTCACACCAAGCGGCCAGTTTCTTAGAAAGTTTGGTGGACAAGATTTATTAGTTGATCCCTGTCACTGTATTCAGAAGGATCGATATTATATAGTATCAGACCGAGGAGATCACAGTATCAAAGTGTTTAATACAGACGGTAATTTTCTGTATAAATTCGGGAATCAAGGAGACGGTGATGGGGAATTCGATAATCCATATTGCTTATCAGTCGACAAAGCAGGACACCTGATGGTCTGTGATTCTGGCAATTACAGGGTTCAAGTATTAGAACTGAGTGGAAAGTTCCTAACAAAGTTTAAACTAATGAGTGGGGGATTACCAGTCTCTACCGCACTTCTGTCTGATGGTAGCATAGTAGTGTCTTATTTTAATGACAATTGCATTCAGATAATTAAATAAATACCTTTGATAAAAAATTAATATAATAGCATAGGATAGGTTGGAAAGGTTGATTATTCAACTCCCTGCAATTGAAAAAGATATTTGGTAAATTTTATTATTGTACGTATTTTTTTCTGTTTGGCTCTTTCTTTGTAACAGTCCTTTTGCGATACGTGCCGGTAATTGCGGTCGTGTCCTTTCCAAGAGTGCTCAAGGTTTTTAGGCTGTGAATCGAGATACTGTAGTGTTACTCTTCTTTAAGCAGGTTTGTCAATATCGATGAAGCGTGGATGCACATCCATGGCATCTCGCGATTACTGAGTCTACCTTATGGCTGAATAAAAGATAAAAAAAAGAGTCAAATCAGATTTCATGAAGGATGAAACGATTCTTCAAGTCTTACAGCAGTATCTCATCGTATCTTAGTTTGGGATTAGGCTCGGGTGTTGGAAGTTTGTGATGCATATCTCTCGGTGCCTTTTATGCGAGGAATAGCTACATTGGGGGTGGGGGTGGGGATGGTTGAAGGGGAAGAGAGGTTAGATACTGCTCGCCCAAAACTTTGCTTCTACGCCGCTGACTCAAAAGTCTATTATCATACTGTTATTATTTCTTCATAAGGAAATATTTTCAACCCCCTCTGACAAATGCGCGCTAAACGTTCTACCGCTTTTTAGTTCCTGGGAAACGCTATTCCTGAGCATGTCTCCAATCCCTCGAAGAAAGTATCTGTAGCAACAACAGCGCTTGATTCATTACTATTAACTAGAGAGAAATTCTAGCTCCGCCCCTGGGACCACTTCAGACGCCGTAAAAAAGGCTGCCATCTTTTTGGCGTTAAAGTACAGAATTTGATTTGAGGTTGAAGTTAGTCGTCAACCTTTTACGTCCAACGCTAGGTTTTATGCAGCTCAGGCCTCTGACGTTCTTCAAGAAACCAAAAGAAGTGAACACAATTTCCCACTTAGAGGCACTTTGCCGGCCACGTGATAGACTGTCACAAAAGACGTCATTTTAATAGATTGTGTAGTAGGTGGCATCTAGCGTGTATGCAGGCTATCTAGAGTGAGGGAAAGCTTTTCGGTGAAACCCTCGAGGAAAAATCAGGCCGCGGCTATCTGAACTTGACCGTTTTTCCAATTCTTCTCGCGGCTCTGCCTTCAACACAAAAGCGCTTTTACGAAAAAAACGCACATGCGCAATAATGAAACAGGATTCGTAGCGGCGAATGGCGGCACACCTTGCCATCCATCACGATAAAGCAACAACTTAAACGTTTAATCATACACGATGCGTCCCTGAATGATTCACAAGTGCCCCACAAAATGACCATCACATGTATCGATTAGAATTACAGCGAAAGAATTCTATTAACGCGAGGAAAAACCTTAACAAAACGGGTTAACAAAAAACTTGAGATTATTTTAAGCTGGCATCGTGCACGCCAATCACGAGTCTTCCGTGCGCATGTCAACAAAGGGAAACCCGCTGGCATCAAAAGACCAGCAGTTTCAGGTAATGATCGTTCACGAACATTGCAATTAAATAATTTATTGTTGAACTAGTCTTTATTCTATTGAACCAGTCCCAGTGGAATAATTTAATTCATGTCACTACAGTTCCCCTATAAAGCACAACACCGGCTTTCGAGTCGATCAAAGCTGGCCACACGTGATACTTTATTCCAAGAGACGTCATGTCAGACGTCATGAACCGTCCATGAAGTTTCTCTGAGAACTCTGTGGCTTCGTATTCAATGCTCATTGGTGGAACTTGGACTGCCAGCATCCATGACAAGCGAACGCATTCATCCATGTATTCTGTTAACTTCACACAGTTTTGTAATTCTGGAAAATCGTACAGGGTGCTCCATAGCTGTTTGCTTACATCCTTTAAAGGCAAAAAGAAAAGAAATGTTAAAAACCTCCTTATGAAGTTATTCGCCACCTTTTTACGCATGTACGAAATGATGGGGTTAAAGGAATGTCACGCGGTCTCTCGGAAAGAAAACAGCTGATTCAACGCGGCGCGTGTTCCACTGGCGAAACTGTTTATTCCGTTCACATAAAATACAACTTTTCTAAGTCAAACAGAATGTATAGATTGAGTTTATATCTCCAAGATTTCCCTCATTATTACTTGGCGTTGTCTCCGTCGACATTGTTTTAAATACCACAAAACAATCTACACCTTAAAATCGAGTTTGAATAATCAATTGCTTCCTTAAGGATGCTTCCACAGCTATTTGGAAAGGATTAATTATTTGCGTTCATCCACAACAAATTAACCAAAATAATCATCCACTTTTTCGGCGTTCATTAAAATATTCACTTAAGTTCTCAACGCACCTGTTTGACACTGTCAATTTTAAATCGTGCGCCCGTTGTCCTTAAATAGTCGGCAATGCGGCCTTGCATTTCCTGCGCGTTCGCTGCTATCTTGTCGTCATCCGGGATATCTAGGATTTTCTTGAGCTTAGTTTGCTTTTCTGACAGTGAGTGTTGTACCTTGCGGTATGCCACCTACCGGAATGCACACAAACACTTTTAACATCACTGGTTCGAGTTAAAGGCGTTGTTTCTAAAGAGACCCCACGGAGTATGATGGGATACATGCTCTTACCCATGGAGATTGAGGAATAGTTCTGTGCATGAGGAAGGCCACGGCGACCTCTACTACGGCGGCCGAAAGTGAAAAAGCCCAAAAATGACGCAGTGCGCATGAATGGAAATAACCTTTCGCAGTAGCGCCAAACCCTATCATGTGAAGACCTGTCTTGTGGCGTAGTCGCTGCTACGTGATTCTAAACTGAGTCAACTTTTCTCCTATTTCTTTTAACAATCACTGGTTTTAAGACGTATCATAGATTGTTTTTCACTTTAGAAAAGAAATAATTTGACACTTTTAGTTTTCCAGGAATTGCGTCTTCCCTGCGTTTTCTCTTTTTAATTTTTTTTATCCTCAATCGAAGTCAAATGCTGTGTACACTCCTCGTCACTGTTAATCTTTGATCGTAAGAGAGAAAAATGTTATCTCTTGCTTCTCTAAAGGAGGTCAATTCGACTTACTAACAGCGAAAGCAAGTTAGCGGGAAACGCCGCACTCACTGTTTCGACTTCGCTTGCTTAAAGTTGAAATTTGGTCGGCTATAGCCTGCGTAGCAAGCGATTTCGTGAAGTTTCGGAGCAAAGAAAGACCGAGGAACGACTAGTAACGGGATTTTCGGTTTTGGCCAAGCAAAAAATGGAACGAACTTCGAAACCGCACGGAAACGCTTGCAACGCAGGCTAACGTACTCTCCCCTGGACTCTGCATCCACGACCACCGTAGTATAGGTCACGTGGTCACCGTAGCGATTTTTTTTAAATTCTCAAATGTCTCTTGGCCGACCGAGAAGCGTCTATGACTCTTAGCTGCGGTACGCTAATCATTTGCCATACCAATCGCTCGTCCTCACAAAAAGTTGCTTATTCCCTGGTAAAATTTTCCCAAGCAGACTCTCTAGGGGTTCTCATCGGCCTTTTTACTCATTTTAAGTAGATTATAACAACTTTTTTGAACGATTCACAACTGTAAATGCAAATGAAGATTATGGCACTTACCACCAAAACTGAGAACAATATTTTGTTTTTGATGTCTCCACTGTCGTCCACTTTATCTAGATTCCAACTCATCAAGCTCGTCCATAGCGTCTAGCCTCGTCTGGGTGTAGAGGTTGTCATAGCGTTCTACCAGAGCGGACGGCCGACACTCACCAGCCGACAGATCCTCAAATTTCCCGCCTTTTTTGACCTGTCTTTGCGCCTGGTCCTGTAACCTTAAATAGAATAGACAAAGATATTCTTACTGACTTTCTTCCATGACTGTAATATCCAGTGAGTTTACAGGCTTCCTTTTTTTACCTGTCCGTCATATTTTTCTCTCTTTTTCTTAGGAGTTGAACAGTTTCCTGTGTTACTTCAAGTTCCTTTTGTTTATTCTGCAGTTGTTTTTAAGGTCGGCATTGATATTTTTTTGCTGTTGGTTTGTTTCTGTCCCATTAACATTTGAACTCAGCTGTTTACTTTGTGTTGCCTTCACTCTTTCCACCTGCTCAGTCTCGCTTGACCTAAGTGCGGAGAATTCTGAAAGGCAAAGGAATAATACCGACAGTCGTGAACGTTCATTTATTTCTAAAATGAAATTGTTATTTCAGTCAAATGTTTTGACCAATCGAGTTGTCGTTTGTTACAATGTATTTAGCGTTGGGTTATGTAGAAGAGTGTTTTTACTTTAAGGACCAAAAGAACGACGCTGTAACAGTTCAGTAACAACCCGGATATAAAAACCCCTGATTCGGGACTGACTGAGTCCAGTGAACTCTCGCCTTGCGGACACCCCTGTATAACGGACACCATAATAATACGGACAGCAGCTAAATCCCAGGCAAAACTAAATAGCAGACGTTTGATTGATATAAACTCTTGCTATTACAGACTCTCGCTAATGAGGACACTAATTGAAGGTCCCTACAGTTTCTGCTATAAAGGGAGTTGAATGTACGTTGAAATGTTTGGCTATTAGTATGGAGAGTGGTATTTATGAATCGTAGAGGGCTATTAGTTCATCAATATACTGTAAACTGGCTGATGTATTTTCTTTAGAAAATGTTTATTACTTTATCATCATCATCATCATGTATGTTGCGCTTATTTGACCCCTGTTTATTTGGCGAAAGTTCAGTCTGGAGGTTTTTCGTTATTCTTAGTTTCATTTATATAGGGTTTGTTACTGGGAGTAAAGTATTTCGCTGTACTCCTTTAGTTTTACTATTGGGCACTGTTAATTCGTTACGGGTGACTTTTCGGAAACTTTACTTGAATACCTAACTATGGAAGCCTAGTAAACGTCTCAAACAAAACCAGGCAACCTTAACAGTTGAGCGCCTATGATAACTCCTCTAGCAGTTGTAATACCAGGAGGTACCCGTGATGAAACCTTTCGAGTAATTGTAGGTAACAATTGATGATGACTATCTTTTTTATATCAAAATGCCTTGGATTATGTGATTACGTTCGCTCTTATTTTACTTCTAGTAGAACCAAAGTGAGATTCAAAATCGTTTTCGTGTTATTCACGTATTCTACACTTTTTACTATTCGTAAGAAGAAACAGCGGGATCAATTGTCTATTTGGGTTCAGGAGCAGAGATAAAAACCTAGGATCAAACCACTTGGACGAAGAGTTCTGGCAAACTGAACAGTGTTTGGACGAGGTAACGAACATTAAAATAATGATACTGTAAGTAGTATGCCATTTACAAGCGTGACCAAGGAGTTGCTGGTGTCGGTACTGTCTAGAAACAAATCCAGTGAGCAATCAGTCATTTGTTTCCAAGAGGGATTTTATTAGCTTGTACGCGAACCTATCCTCGACTGCGAAAGAAGAACTATAAAATTCTTTGCAACCCAAGGCAGGTTTGAGTTGAACTCGGGAATTTGGAATGATGTGCCGAGTGCAGCGCTCTGGCCGCTCGTTCCTGCTGCCTCCTTTCCATTGTATTATTCATGAATGTCTTTCTTTTTGTTGTTGTTTTGCTCGGATGAACTTCATTTTCTCTACGTTTAGTTAAATTGGATGATTAAACATTGCTTGTCATCACTGCACTTAGAATATGTTTTTTGTTTTTGATTTAGTTGAACGAAGAAGTTACCGAGATGGTGAAAAGAATAAAACAAACTCGACCAAATATTGAAGAAGAAGCAGCGCTAGCATCCGCGAACTTATTTACAAATCTGCATTAGGACCTTTTACCTAATCGCGGCTTATTTCAGGTCAGACGTGCCCTGGAAGGTACTGAGACAACCGCTAAAGGAAGAGATTGATTGTGAGTTTCCTTCTTGTGGCCGGTCGATGGAGCGGTTCACCTGTTATAGATTTTCGCTATAGAATTGCTATGGACTGTATTTCTTGTGGTCTATACGCAGCGGAAACAATGGCACAGATAGGAAAGAACTGGTGCGGAACGTTTTTGGTGGTGAACATTGCTTTTGGCTCTTAGCTTGAACATAACCAGGTTCTCGCAGATATAGAAGGTGAATTCTTTACAGTTAAGCGCTGAATTGGAAGGCCTCGTGTCACGAACACTGCCTTTAATGCAAGCATTTTCTGTACGGTAGAGGGTTGGAAGTAGAAATGGCAACAAACCAACCCCACCTACTCCCTCCTTCCTGGGCACAAGCTGCTGACAGGCCAGGACATTGCACAGTGAAGACAAGCGTGTATTTTGAATATAACACTTATCATTGTCACCCTGAACTTACATTGATCAATCCTTGGTTAGAGGGATTCTTTGTAAGTTTGAAATGATTTATAAAACGGAATTATCTTAAACGCACGGTTTGACTTATATGACTTTATATAACTTTATAAAAGAAAGGCTCAACACGAGCTAGATATTCGGCGCGCAGTTTAATCATTTTTTTATCAGGTTTAGTCTTGTTTCCTTTATAGCCTGTGAACAGACCTTCCGGGTTGGTTAGGACAAGAAAATTGAGGGAAAATTAGGAAAGCGGCGAGAAAATCTTGTGCAGAAAAAAAAAATAGGAAAGGGGTCCTCCCCCCCCCCCCTTACTTTCTCTTCCCTCGGCTTCTCCCTTTTTTCGCCCTGTCCGCCGCTTATTACAGAACTTGTTCGAACCTAATTCTCAGGATAAATCGTAGGTACTGTTTAGGGGACGATTTTTGCCTAAAAAAATGCTACACAGCTCCCACCTGAGGAACACCCTAAATGAGAACTACCCGAGTGAACGAATGTCTGCGCGCTCTGGGCAGGAGAGGACTGAGTCTGATGACGTCACTTTTAAGGCTGGGGATAACCGATGATTTTAAAACAGTCAGCGTTGTCTGTACTTCTTATTTCTTATCACCCGTTAAAGGGGGTCAAATTTACTTTCAAACTTCTCATCATGATCTTCTTTCAGAAGTATAACACCAAGCAACATAGACATATTTACATATGAATTATTGACCAAGTGTGACATCAGGGTGGGTAGACAGACAGTTGCCACGTTTTTATGGATTCAGAAACCAAGCGGAAGACATAAAAAGGCAAAAAAGAACGAGGCCATTATTCAGCCATCTTGATCGAAAAAACTCGGTCGATAAAGGGTTTTTATATGGCCGAAAAGAGGAATTTTGAGTTGAGGTCTTAGGATCCAACGCGGTAAATCTGAGGGACCAAGAGTGGTCCATCTTGCTTGCTACGCTCAGGAAGCCAATAAAAACACAGGATTCGCTTCATCTTGCCTGCTTGCTTGAAAGAAACATAATAAATGCTTTTGTTATTTCTGTGATACAAACTACTACATTTTCGAGCCTCATTTTCATTTTTCATATCAGACCATCTGGGACAAAACCTAAGACATATTTAAGTCTTGTTGACCCTTAATCGGATCCGAGTGTGCGTTTCAATTGAATGAGCTCCAATTGTTTCATAGTCTTTTTCATCTAGCCGATTCTTCACACTGATTGCTAGTTATTGTTTGCAACAAATTTCAAAACATCCCAACACATTCTTTCACTTATTTGTAGGTCACGGGATTTAAGCTAATTCCCAACAAAATTGGGACGTCGTTCTCAGAAGTTGGACATCGTCAAAACATGTCAAGCAATGTTTCGTTCATGATTGGTTGATGTCTGTAGCCCGATAACTAATGGGCGCTCGAAACTCTTACTAAAAGACTCTGGGGGCGCCAGCGTTCACTCAAACCTTGGTCTCTTACCATTTCTGCAAACTCAGTTATGGATTTACAAACCTTATTACACAACCTACATGAAGAAGTATCCTGTTCTGTGTGTAGGAGCCCGTTCACTGATCCAAAAATATTGCCGTGCTTTCATACATTTTGCCTTCATTGTTTGAACGAGCTTCAGCGAACAAGTGGAAAACATGGCGAGATTACATGCCCGGAATGTCGTAGAAAGTTTCAAGTTCCTGGAAGTGGTTATCCTAAAGATTTACCGGCCAACTTTCGAATGAACAGTTTGTTGGATGTAATGGCTATTCAAAAATGTAACGTCGCTGGGGTGAAGTGTGGAAACTGCGAAAAAACAAGTGCCCAAAGTTTCTATTGCTTTAAATGTTGCGCCTTCTGGTGCGAAGATTGCATTGCAGCTCATAACATTATCCGAGCCAATAAAGACCACCGGGTGTTAGCGATTAAGGATTTTCAGGATCAAGACATTGAACACGTGTTAAAAAGGCCAGTATTTTGCCAAGTAGAACATCACGAAAGCGAAGAGCTGAAGTTCTTTTGTAAAAACTGTGAAAACGCCATTTGCAATACTTGTGCTATAACGCTCCACGAAGGTCACGCTAAGTTGCTTCTCCAGAATGTTGCCAATGAACGAAAGTCAAGTCTACAGTCTGCGATGGAAACTCAGAAAGAAAAGGCTCTTCAGATGAGAAATACGATTACCAGTCTACAAAGTGAGTGCAATGAAATTCAAGAACAGGTCGCTTGCGTGAAGAAAAGCGCGCAGAGTTTTATTGACAATTTAATGAAAGTCTTTGAAGCGAAGAAACAGGAACTGTTTACAGAGGTGGAAGACAAAGCTCAACAGGTGATCGAGCGTCGGGTAGAGAAACAGTCTGAGGTCGAATACAAATTACGGCGGATCGAGACATCAATTGAAGAAACGGAAAGATTCTTAAAGCGAAGCACAAATGCTGAAATTGTGCAGTTTAACACCGTATTCCAGGAGGAAGTCACTGACGAGGCAGAACTAGTCGACTGTGACCGTAAGGATCTTGGCCACTTTGCGTTCTTTCCAAACAAATCATTGATGGCTAAAGCAAACAGTGAAGGTGTTGGTTCTTTGAAACAAATCATCAGCCAGACTAATTCGAGAAACTCACAAGCGGAAGGAAAAGGAATCACTGAGGTGACTGTTGGACTTGAAGCACAGTTGGTTTTAACAACACGAAATGCTGAGAACGAACAATGCTACGAACAGTGTGATATCGTTACAGTAGAAATCAAAAATGGTGACGACCGTGAATGCGCCACTGAAGCACAAGTCCAAGATAACAAAGATGGCAGCTATAATATCAGCTACTTTGAAAAAGAAGCAGGAACATGCCAGACATCAGTGATGGTAAATGGAGAACATGTTAGTGGCAGTCCATTCACTGTTGAAGTCAAACCCAGAAAATACGAACCTGTGTTGTCATTTGGAGGAGAAGGCTCATCTACTGGAATGTTTGATGCACCTTGGGGTGTGGCAGTGAATGAACATAATGAAATTGCTGTAACTGAATTTAATAACAACCGAGTTCAGATATTTAGTAGTGATGGAACTTACTTAAGGTCTTTTGGCAGTAAGGGTGATCAAGAGGGAGAGTTTAATGAGCCTACAGGTATAGCTTATTTAAATAATGGAAACATTGTAGTAGCTGACAGTGAAAACAACCGACTGCAAATATTCACTGAGCAGGGGGAGTACCTTACTCAAATTGGCGGTGAAGGAAATCTTGATCATCAGTTTAATTATCCATCGGGTTTATCGGTAGACAGTGATGGTAATATTATTGTTGCTGATGCAGATAACAAACTAGTCAAGATCTTCACACCAAGCGGCCAGTTTCTAAGGAAGTTTGGTGAAGATTTGTTAGTTGATCCCTGTCACTGTATTCAGAAGGATCAATATTTCATAGTATCAGATGATGATGATCACGGTGTCAAAGTGTTTAATACAGACGGTGATTTTCTGTATAAATTCGGGAATGAAGGGGAAGGGGATGGGGAATTCAATGAGCCCTGTTGCATGTCTCTTGACAAGGCAGGGCACCTGATGGTCTGTGATTCTGAGAATGACAGGGTTCAGGTATTGGAAGTGAATGGAAAGTTGATAACACAGTTTGGACGATATGGCAGTGAGATTGGAGAGTTAAATGAACCGAAGTCAACCGCAGTTCTCACTGACGGTAGGATAGTTGTGACTGACTTTAATAACGACCGTATTCAGATAATGGAATAAGTATCGTACAAAATTAATCATATGTTTAATGTTATGTATTATCAATTTGCAGACAAACCTGACTCATTGTCTTTGAATTTATATGTTGGTTTCTTTTTTTGGAAAACGTTTTCGTCTTGGTCGGTGATTGATTGACTGGTGAATCGATAGTCTTACTGTTTTTTATCCTCAGTCTTTTCCGTGATGTCAAGAATATCATTACCCGCGATGTGCCAACAAGGACACGTTTTCGTTGTGTCGTTTTGTATTTTGAAAAAAAAAAAAAAGGAAAGAAAGAAAGAAACAACAAAAATGAAACCGCTTATGCAAAATGTATATAGTCTTCAGAACCTTGGGCGCTTTCCATTCAGTAGAAAACTTAAGCTTCGGAAATTTTGGCAAGAATTCAAATGGAACGGACCGTTTCGGCTCTGTCCGACCGGAATGTTTGGGACCACCTCTGAAGGTGATCTATTTTGACCGATCCAGTCATTTCGGTTCGCTGGGACCAAAATGTCCCTTTCCATTTGACAATACTCTGCTTTCAAGAAGTAAATAACTAAACACGCGGTAGCTTCGGTTGGGTTTGCGCATCCGGAATGTACCTTTCCATTGGACACGTGGAATTTCCGAAATTTCTAACCGGAAATTTTGTTGAATGGAAAGTGCCCATTGCAGTCTCTTGCGGCTAAAATAATCGTCCAAACCAGCTTATGTTTTACGACGTGAGATCAAAATGGGGGTCCAGTCGCTGTTAAACTATAACATGATGGTGATGATATAAATAATAATGATAATAGTAATAATAGTAATAATAATAATGATGATGATGATGATGATGATGTATGACTTTCAGTTTGAATTTTAGAATGTTGTATTTCACAATTTTAGTAGTATTTAGAACCTAGAACCGATACTTGTAAGTCGAAGAAGGGTTGAATAAAATATGTGTCTATGTATGATGATAATGATGGTGATGATGATTATAATAATAACTCCTTATATACTCGGTAGTATTTATAGCGCTAAGGCTAATAGGGCCTAAAAAATGTTTGAAACAAATAATTTAAATCAAACCTAATCCGAAATCGAAACCTAAATCGAATGCTAAGTGGCCGGAGATAAACCAGTTGGCTGTTTACAAGCGTGGTCGAGAATTTCGGGACTCAGCACTTTAACCAAATCCTGCCAGGACAGGACTTGAACTACTTAGTTCATACTGAAAAGAAAGGCTATTTGTCCAAAATCTCTTGGGATTCACTAGAAACCACTAGTGGCTCAAAAGAGGTGGCGTTCTTAGAAATTCTTACTGATCATTTTTTAACACAATTAAACTTTATCCCCACTCGTCGTGATAGCGTGTTAGAACTCGTAATTACGAATGTGCCGGACCGTGTTCGCGTGCGCGAGTTGCTCAGTCCAAAAGAATCGGATGTGTTCACGGACCATGGTACGGTGTCTTCTGAATTTCACGCCTCTACAAAAGCTACGTACAAAATAAAAAGAACAGTGTACGATTATCGTAATGGAGACTTTGACCGTCTTCGGGGAGCCCTTGAAGCCTAGAATTTATGCAATCTTATTCAAGACAGCGACGACATCAACTTGGACTGGACTTACTGGAAGGACGCATCTATGAACGCAGTCTCGGATTTTATCCAAGGGAAAAAACGCCCCGCCTTCCTCTGCGGAAAAAGGAGGTTGCTTGCTCAAAGTTGAAGAAATCTCCTACAGACCATCAACAACAGAAGTATCGCGAATTGCGTGCAAAGGCCAAGACTCGAATACGTGAAAGCCGTGAGATTTACTTCAGCTCACTTGACTCAGATCTCGCACGGCAGCCTAAACGCTTTTGGTCCTTTTTTAAACTCAAGAATAAAACGCTGATTTTCCCTGAAACGAAGAGCTCGGGCGATGACAATCAGCAGGGCCCTCAAGCATCAACGCCTCAACAGATCGCCGAGCTGTTTAACTCTTACTTTGTGTCGGTCTTCACTGCCCCCTCCTCAGAGGTCCGCACTTGGTCAGCACTTTTCACACCCTCACACCCCACTTTGAATGAGCTGAAGATCCCGGTGGAAATGGTTGTGACATCTCGCAAACAGCTTGATATAAACAAAGCAACTGGATCCGATGGAATCCCCGTGCGCCTGCTGAAGGAAACCGCTGACCAGATCGCACCGTCCCCGACCATGTTACTCAAAAAAATCTTCGCGGCTCGGCATTTTTCCGGGAGACTGAAAACTCGCGAATATTATACCCATTTTCGAGAAAGGAAAGAGAGACTTTGTGGAGAATTATTGCCTTATTTCCCTACTCTCTGTCATCTCCAGAGTTCTCGAACAGCATGGCTTTTTAGCTGGTAGATCTTGTGTGACTCAGCTCACCAGTGTCTTACATTACATTGGCGGTCAACTTGACGCCGGTAAACAAATAGACATTACATATCTTGACATGAGTAAGGCATTCGACAAAGTGGATCACACCAAGTTACTTGTAAGGTTGCACCAATACGGTATTACTGGCAAACTCCACGACTGGTTCCGTTCATACTAACAGGGACGCAAGCAACAGGTTACAGTTTTCGGAGCCACTTCCCGAGAATTGCCACCCTGCATGATAGTCACAACCTTCCGTGTAGTAGAGGTATAATTACTCCCTCTGTCTGATTTGCTTATCACATATAAAAAACTTTCAAAGCTTATCATGCGTCAATCCATGAAAATTAAACAAACGTAAGTAAGGTGATGACTGTTGCCTGCATTGATCCCGGTTTTGCTGGCAGATAGTTGTTACGGGGATTCGATAGTCGAACGTTGGTAACTAGGACGTGGTTGACTTTTTGGCGTCAACGTTACTTAGCCTCTAAAACAAATGGAGTCATCATTGGTGCCTAACCCTGACCCCAGACAATACTGAAACAATAGAAAGAGTGACATGTTATTGTTTCCTGCGACCAATTAGGAGAGCGATCCTTACGAGCAGCTCCCACAAAACAAATTAAAAAACGATCATGTTTTTCTTTAGAGAAACGCTCATGGCAAAGATATTTTACGGTTGGTGGAGAAAACTTCACCTACTTATGGACGTGAGAATGATGGAAAGAATGGTACGAATTCTAACTTTTTTATTTGCTCATGTGTTATTTATTTAATGTTATTTTATTGTTTAAATTTTGCTCCTATTCGTCGGTTTGTTTGTGTGCTAGACTACGAAAAGGGCAAGCCTGGGGTGGGAGGTCTCCCATAGTTAAAATGCAAGGATGCCCGTCTTCTCGATTTGGTGCGTCAGACAGGAGCAAATTTTTGTCTGACAGAGGGTCTTCGGGACGGAAATCCTAACATCTTTACCCGTACAGATATCGCTTTGGGTTGTTCAGAAAAAAAAAATAAACAGGTATATCGTCGTAAAACAAACCTGGGGTTGTAATACTGTTGCTGTAAAGAGTGCATTCGATGATTTTTTCTCCTCCCTTCGCGTGTGACCTTGCTCGCGAGTGGCGATTTCACGCTCGCTCTTGTATTTCACTCTTTCTGCTATCACTATAGAAAATGAGGGATTACTCGCAGTCTCCGTTATAGCGTAGTATTTTAATACAATATACTTGCTATCGATCTCATCCATTTCTCAGGCCATTCTCCATAACGACGAGATTGTAAAGAGACATTATCTTCATTACTGGGTTGAAAGAATGCGGGGAAAGTTGGACGAGCGGCAGCTGGAGGTAAGTATTTCTATTCGATTCTTGCTTTAGGTTTATCAATTAGTACATTCTTCAGCTGTACGTATGTCGAGTTATTGAGCACTTGGGAAGTTTGGAGAGCACTTAAGAGGCTAGAGATAATTCAGGGATAAATTACTCCCCCGAGTTGTGCTCCGCTCAGTCCTATCACCTTCACTTTACTCAGCAATCTGCTAAAGTGACCTTTAAATTGTCTATTGTCAAGTTTGACTCACTTTTGTTCTATTTCAGTCGGTTTGTCTAAGACCTTTAAATTTTCTGTTTCAGGCTTTGGCAGATAATCATCGAAATCAAAGATTGCTTCTGATGGGAATTGCAAGGTGGAGAGAATTTAACAGAGAGACGAAGGAAAGGTAATCATGCGAATTTTACAGTTTAGCTGTGATCTCTAGATTTAGTACTGAAACTTATCCGTGGGAATACGTTTCTATCGAGATCTTAAGCGCGCAGTGCGGGAAAGTTACTAACGCATATTACATTTTAACGTAACATGATCTTTCACTAGAAAAGGGCCGCAATTTTGACTCACTTTTGTTCTATTTCAGTCGGTTTGTACAGAAGTCAGCAGTGAGACATTACTACATACATCTGCTGAAAAAAAACATGGTCAGCTTGGAAATATGTGAGTAACTGTTCATTTTTGAGCAGAAACTGTCACTAGCTTACGCCTACGGCCCAAGCATGAACGCAAGCGATGTACTGGGAGGCACTAATACGTTGTTGACCTTTTTTTGGAACAAAATCGTCACAAAAATTGCTAGCTAGGTCTGAGTATTGTGTTTGTGCTTTTACTTGCCACGCGTAAAAAAAAAAGTAACTTTTCAACATTTATTGAATAACGACCAATTATGAGAATCTAGTGATTCAGATACATGAACAATTGCCTTGTTGTTGAGTGTGTTTTTAACGTAACATTTTTGCTTCACAGAAGTAGTATTGATGAGAGATTAATATAATTATATACGTAGCTGCCATTTAATGTCCGTGGGGTAAAGAAACCAAAGCATCACAATCCTTTTTTTCTGCATGGTTTGTTTGAAAGGAATTGAAAGTCTTGTTTAACGCGATCTGAAGATCAAAACTAATAAATCCCGGCTAAGACAGTCACTAACCATTGTCTAGTGTTCAGTGAATGTAAAAAAGCGTTGCACGTGATTTGCACGTGATTTGACGTTCAGGGGCACCCACATTCTCGTCCCCAGAGCCGCTTGGCCCTCTTAACCGTCGGAGACTGAGCACGAGGGCCGAAGGGCTCTGGGGACACAGAATCCGGAAGTCCTAGAATTTAGGAGTTCCGGTCGTTCTGCGCAAGCTCGACAAATCATAATGGAGGCCTCAGCAGACATTAAATTCAAGGAATCCTTGTTAACAGCTTTACGTTGTCTAAATCTGGGGACATTAACACTTGGAAAAGAGCAGGAAAACGCGGTAAAAAACGTTGTTGTGAGAAAGAAAGACGTTTTAGTTGTTTTGCCTACAGGTTTTGGAAAATCTTTGATTTTTCAGATGTTACCATTTGTGTTTGACTCTTGGCTTTATACGAATGGTTCTTTCATTTTGGTTGTTTCACCATTAAACGCACTAATGAGAGATCAGATAATAAAGCTTGACAATTTGAATGTTAAAACGTTGATAATTCGTTGTGGTGACTCTGTATCGAAACTAGCCAATCAAATTCTGTGTCCCCAGAGCCCTTCGGCCCTCGTGCTCAGTCTCCGACGGTTAAGAGGGCCAAGCGGCTCTGGGGACGAGAATGGGGCACCCAACGAACATTTTTCTGAAAATGAGCCGTTAACCACAGAAAACGAAAATTTAGATGCTTTTAAGGCATTTCCAAGCGCTTTTCTGTGTTGCTGGAAAGAATTTATCTGTTCCTCACTCCCAGCAGGTTAGATGGCTATTCTCCCAGCCAGCAGAGTGGCCTTCTCCGCGTTTACGAGCCAGCAGAAAAAAACATCTGTATTCAAATAAGCGCCGCAGGGTTGCTTGGAAATTGCGGCGCTGATTCGAGTATATACGGTCAAAATAAATAACACACAGCCTTATCTCTCGCTTGTCAACCAAGAATAACAACAACTACAATGGTAATGAAAAAGGAACGTCACTAAGCCTTCCCTAGATGTACCTTTTGTGAATCCTATTCAGTCCAACTTGAATATAATACATCAGGCTGTTTAATAGGTCCTTACCTTTTGCATAAACATGAATCTCATGAATCGTCCTAACCGCCAGTGAACCGTTGCCAGTTATCCAGTGGCGGAGCGTAGCCTAATTTCGAATTTCTAACGGTGCCCACGTGCAGATTTTTGGTAATTGATCAGCGGTAAATAAATAATCAGCGTCCACAATTCGCGCACATAGAGGAGCCACCTGAGAGGAGCCGATTGCTCCTGATACCCAGCTGGATATACACCCAAGAAAAATTTCTAACAAATTAGAGGGATAAAATATCTCCAGCAAGAATTTTTGATACATTTGATAAATTCTTGACCGTAGATTTAAGACTTTACTTCCCAGCAGAACAGCCGAAACCTCAGTTCCCAGCCAGCAAAATTTTCTCTGTAGAACAGATATTGTGAGGAACAGATCCGTTGGGTGCCCCTGGACGTTGCAGAATCAGAGTCAGAATCTTTCTTGTTTAATTCGCAGTGTTTACTCGTGATGTGTATTCCCTTTCAGTTTGTTCATCAAAAGCAACTAAAATGGCAGAAACAAGCTCGCGCCGATCTCCATTACCAACAGCGTCTTCTCTCTGTTGTTGTGAGCTCTTGGAAGGTACGTTGCTTTGGATCACGACAGGTCTCTCCTAAGTAGTAACCTGTGTACAGCAGTCCCCTCCCCCCCAAACAAGATCGTCATGGCGAGCATATTCATGAAAGCGAATCTCGGCGTCAGTAACAGACTAACTAATATTGTGCTATTTTCCTGTGTAATGTTTTAGGATTACAAGAGTCACGTGCACACTGCTAAAAGCTGCAGCGACAGCAAGCTTCAAAGGTACAACAGCAAACGTTTAAGGTAAGCTAATATTTACTTAGCCTTTCTTTCATGAAGAGACCGCAGTACATTCCCTTAGTTTTTGACGGATTATTAAACCTACTTACCAAGACCCCTTCAAAAACATCGCTCTAAAACTGTTGTCAGCGTGGTTTTCTGAGTAGACAGCATCCACTTTGTTGTGTTGATTTCGAGTATGAAGTCAGTCCACAACACTACCTCGTGTGACTATGGACTGGTGTGCGCAGGCCTGCAAACAAAAGTTTTTTATGTCTCCATTTGTGTGAACAAAAAATGTAAGGTGACGAAGAACAGATGTTTATTGCCTCCTTCCTCCTGTTCCTTCTCTTTTTCATCCTTGGGCCTTGACGGCGTGCTTTCTCTTCCATCCCCTCCCAACGGTTTTGTTCCTGTCCATCTCCTCCCGTCTTCCCCCCTCTTCTTTCTTACTATTCCCCACCCCCCCTCCCCCTTTGTCTCTCTTCAAGCATTTTTGTTGATATGGCGCCTCGTTCTCTTCCTCTTTCTTTAACTGCCATTCATTCTATCAACCAAGTTTTTTATGGCTTCTTTTGGCCATTACTTTTCTTTGCAGTGAAAGATTTATGTTGAATTATTTTTTCAGATCAGCTTTTGAAACTTGGAAGCGTGCTGTCAAAGAAAACAGAGAGGAAAGACAAAACGAAAGCTTCGCGGAAGCCTTTCAGAATCAAACGCTTCTTTCAAGAGTAAGCGAAACAGAAAATTACATCACATGAAGCTTTGATTAACTAACTTGCCTTCCTGATCTCAGTAGTAAGGCACTTTAACATGAAAGCGGGTAATTCTAATAAACGTTTTGTTTTTAAAACATCGTTTCAGAGTTGATATATTTATGAAGGTACGGGACTTGACACACGGTAACTCAATTGACTCGTTTTCTAGTGCTTCACGTGTTGGAGAGAATTCGCAGCTCACCATGCAGTCAAGAAATGGCAGCAGTGGCAGCGTGTGAAGGAGTTGAAACACACGATTGAGAAAGGTGAATGAAGCGCTTAAAAAACATGATGCAAACGTATCCTAGACGTGCCTTCTAGGCTTAAACGTTAACCTTGAAATTTCTATTTTACTGCTCACAATTCGGTAAAGTTGAGCTAAGTTGGAAGATTGTAATAATTTATAGTCAAGCCTCCTTAGTTTATACTTACACAAACTAAAAGTCACATCTTCACCTTGTCTGCTTTTGGTTTGTCTCTTCTAGGAAAATTGGCACGTTCATTTCGCGCCTGGAAATCCTTCACACGAAAATCGGTACAAGATAAAACCCTGAAACACAAGGCTGAAAACCATTATAACACGGCTTTGAAACGTAACGCGGTGTTAACATGGAAAAGCTTCATTCATCTTCGTTTTAGAATCAAGGTGATTGGCCTTTTTTTTACTTCCTCGTCCATAAGGTTATCCAAAAGTATCTTTTTTTAAGATTTTGCTGAAAAGTAATTTGTTACTGGTAAAATGAAAAAAACAAAAAAGGTTTTATGGGATACTGGGTACGTGCGCTACGATAAGAAAGTAAGTATTGCCTTTTTACTTTGGAACTTAAATGTGTACTAGATGCCTGAGCAACTAAGAAAATATCTTTCCAAGGCTTCAGGTTACAAACATAAGGAAATAAATATATGCATCTCGTTTTTGGCAATTTTATCTAGAGTTCTGGTTTGTTTGAAATGCTTATCGATGGTTTTTCCCCATAGATTCTTCAAAGACAGAGCATGTGGCTTCATAATCGAAGGATCGCAGTTGCTTTTTTTTATAAATGGAAGATACAGGTAAGTCGCCATCTTATCTTGGTTTCAATCTACGTTCGCTATTGTAGTCTGCATTTGGTGTTGTCACATCGAGTTTAGGGTAACAAAACCTTAACTTGAAAACGCAAGCATAAGCGATGAAAGAAAACTGGAATTCAGTGGAACATGGCTGAGTGTTGAGTTTAAATTCCTTCTTTGCCAAGTTTTCCAGCTCTTTACTGTTCGTGATTCTTTACTAGAGATTCGCAGCGACCAATAACTGACCCAGTGTTTTTGTAAAATCGGAAAGCAGTCAGTCGTCTCCAGGCCCTCTCTCTTTGTACATAGTAGTGATGACGTAACATCAGTTCGAGGAATAAGAGAACAAGATTGTGTTACTGTATAGCAACTTAAACAAGGAACAATACACTAGAATGGACCAATAACAAGTCATTTGTGCTTTGTTGCTGGTCCTCTGACCCCAAACAATTGCCGTTAAGCCTTATGGGGCACCAGAGTATTATAAACTCTTGAACTGTCCAAAAGAGAAAGTAGTGTCTCAGCGCTTCTGCAGTTAGTCGATAAGAAAACCTCAGATCTTTATTTCAGCACTGTGCTGTAATTCAAGAAAAGAGACGAACAGTTCTGGCGTTATGGCAGTGGAGCATCAACTTGCAAAGAAAGGTGGGTCTTGTTAGTATTATTTTACCAAATAAAAGTCCATTTATATCGGAAGAATTTATCCACGTCTAATCTTTTAATTACAACAAAAAATGTGTTTTAAATATTTTTTCTAGCGAAATTCCTTGAGGTTAGACGAGGTGATTGTCGCTTAAACTTGGAAAAAAAAATTATATTTCGTTTTGCTTTTAGAGGAGAAGGATTGGTGATGTTAGTTTGAACAAAGTTACCACTGAGTAGCTTAAATCACGCACCAACTGAGCTTTTTACATTAGATTTTTTTTAATTTTTATGCATTAATTATCTTCCTCCTTACTTTTACGATAACCTTCTTTATACAGACACCTACTCATGAAAGAACCAAATACTCGGGAGAACCCCTCCCCCCACCACTCCACCCGCCTCTCCTCGGATTTGCAAAAGAGTCAAGATAAATTGGTCCCGCGCGCTCGCCATAATACAAGGCAGTTAACTCAAGACATGCACGGTGTTTACCTGTGGTGCTTTTAATCAATGATTATTTTGATTTCGTTATCAAGGCGTTTTATGCTCTCTTGGAATACGCAATTGGTCGTAAGCGGAAAGCAGTTCGTATTAGCAAAGCTTTGGAAGAAAGACGAAACAGGCTTCTGCGTACAAGAGTGACTCGCTGGATGAAGGTGGCTTTCACTACAAATTGTCTCGTAGTGGTTTTGAAATCTCTTTAATTTTTTGTCAGAATAGCAACATGTTTCCTTTACAATTTCAGGTTGGTTTTTATCTAGCAGCGGAAAGAGCGAGATTTGGTCAAGAACGACAGATGGAGGTAGGATTGGCTGCGGTACTGTATTACGCTCTTAAGCAATTCAACTTTTAAAATCGTTCCTTTAGTGCCGGTCTTTTTGGGCGGATTTTTTTATTTCAAATGTTTTATCTTTTTCTTGCATTTTTAGAAGAATATCTCTTCTAAAGGTTATCTTTTGATTTTAATTCCACGATAAAGGGAATTAAGGACAACAAACACCCCTTTACCCCCCTCCATAATCTGTAAATGCTTGGTCAAAGTAATGTTCAATATTAGCGGAATTTTTGGCCGACCTCGTTGACTTTGCTTTATTGCCCATATTTCTTGATCACGTGTTTACAGGCGGCTCACTCCGTGCATCAGTGTGTGTATCGTTGCGCGATGCACTGGAGACGAATAACAGCAAAACGACTCAGGCAAAGAGGAGGGAGACCGAGACCGAGACCTGTGGTCGAAGCTAAACCTGATTGGCCAGTTATAAGTTTGCCTGGAGCATCTCGCTCAGTCCCTTTGGTGCAGCCCTTACCTGTAGTAGACCTTCACAGGTATGTAAGCGGCACAGTTTATAACTATTCTTTATTTTTATGACCTCATTTCAAAACTCGTTTGCAAATTTAATGTCATCTATCTCAACAAAATGTTCACAGGTTTCAATGGAATCTACGTTTTGCGCACAAAAAGCCATTAGAGACCTTTAGATTCGAGGACAATAACGACTACGAGTACGAGATTTCATTTAAATTTTTTTCGCGTATTATCAAAAAATAGACAGCCCGGAATTCTTCATTGTACTTTTTTTCGCCAGATAAGTTAGCACTGTTATCGTTATTGAAGGAGGTTAAGGCCTCTCCCGATTGCAAAATTATAAAACTTCTAACATTTGATAACTTTTTCTCGCCACTACGACACTCTCGCTAAAACTCGTTGTGGAATGACGACGGCTACCACGTTTTCCTGCCCAAATGACGCCGGCTCACGCGCGAGCACTACTCGGTCTCTGATAGTTATAAACATCTTGAAAGACTGATAAACATCATTTTTGCCGTCTTTGCATAATTCTTCTTAAGATAACCCATTCATTTGCAAGATTAGCGGAATTCAGAAATTGCATTGCATTGTATATGTATACGTGTCGTTTTCTTATTTTCTTTCAAGTATTGTTTATCTATGATCTTGGGTATTAGATAATGAGTTGGAAATATTGGAAAGAACAATAAAATTGATAAAATTGAAATGTAGAAATATAGTTTTTAATGCTCTTGTTCCCTCTTTTCAGAATCGTTTCAGATTCTTTGAAGGAGCGCCCTCGTGCACGAAAACCTGATTATTTGAGAGAGTCCTTTGATCTTGCCCAACTCACAAAAGCGGCAAATGTACCACCGACCGTTCCACCCAAACCATTTTCAACTTTGAGCGATTCTGAGACATTACCACGCATTTCCGCACCCCGCCCGTGTGATCAAATGAGGAGCAATATTCATCCCCACCAGAGGACTCCTCGGGAAGAGTCGATCGTGTTTCCCTCATCTTCAGCTTCATCTTCTGTTAGAGACGCGGATGGTCAGAACTTTTAAATGTTGCTTTTTTTCTCATCTTTGTTTTCTTTACTTCATTATTATGATAACTTAACGAGCTGCAGACAAAGCACAAGTGAGCATATTTGGAAAAATTAGCCCTTATCGGTATTTTTTTAAATCATGTGTTATATTTGCATTAATTAAGCTATATTTAAAAGAACTCACCTAGGTCTCAGATCCTGTAAGGTCGCTTTGCATCAGCCTGAAACGGATCCCTAGTCAACCCGCTCAGAGGAAAGATTCCCGAAGACCTTCTGAGTATAATGGCCTCATTGCGATACAATACTTGCGAATATACCTTAAGCTTAAATGACTGCACTGAAGCACAGTTGATACACAAAGACTAATTTAACAGACTGGAGTGACATGCCATTTTCAACTCTTTTTTGTTTGTTTGTTTGTTTGTTTTTATTTTTAGACTCAACGAAAGCTGCTTTTAGTGAAAGGAACATGATCTTCCAAAGCCAACTTTCAGGCCAGTTAAAAAGACGTCTGCCGAACCATTTGTCCCCACGGAAAGGGTACGAGGAGCCCACAGAGGACCTATGTTAATGCCTCCCTCATCCTTCATTTTACCTGCTCGCAGTAGAGAAACTTCAAGGAAGTCTTCTTTGCCTGACGAAGCTGTGGTACGAGCTTTCAACTCCTCCCATCCTGCATCTACACCGCGCACCTCCCCAGACAGTCAAAATCAGATGGAGTTTAGCCCTTCCTCGGAAGCCTCGTCATCAAGTAGAGGTTTGCAGGAGGATGAAGATAGAGAAGACAACAGCAGTGTAGAGTACTGCAATGAAGACGAAGAGAGTTGAGAAATGGTGGAAATGGAAAACGAGGAAATGGAAGAAGTGTTGGGAAAGACGGAGTGTGAAGGAAAGGAAAAGGGTGAGGATACATCCGATGGAGAACAAGTGGACGAGGGTCGTGAATCAAAGGAAGTGCGAGAGCAGACAGTAAGGAATCAACTGTTTCATCAGCAAAGAGATCGAGGAAATCTTCAGGAACGAATTGCTGCCATGAAGAATACACTGCACGAATTTCAAGAATTAAAGACGGGTTACAGGTGAGTGAACAACTAGCGATGGTTGATGAAGTTTTGTTGTTTCTTGTTAGATTATGATGATGATCATAGTCATATTGTGGGTACGATAGTGACAAACGACATTGTCTACTATCATGCACTCCCCTCACAAAAGAAAAAACTGCTAATCGTAGATAACAATTCATGATGACTATTTTTATATCAAAATGCCTTAAATTTGTGATTACATTCGCGCTTTATCTTACTACTAGTAGAACCAAAGTGAGATACAAAATCGTTTTCGGGTAATTCTCTTATTATGTACTTTTTTTCTAGTCGTAAGAAGAAACAGCGGGATCAATTGTCCATTTGGGTTCAGGAGCAGAGAGAAAACCTAGGATCAAACCACTTGGACGAAGAGTTCTGGCAAACTGAACAGTGTTTGGACGAGGTAACGAACGTTGAAATAGTGATACTGTAAGTATTATGCCATTTTCAAGCGTGGCCAAGGAGTTGATCTCGGTACTGTCTAGAAACAAATCCAGTGAGCAATCAGTGCGTTGGTTACCTAGAGGGATTTTGTTAGCTTGTACACGAACCGACTCGCGAAAGAAGAAATAAAATTCTTTGTCAACCAGGGCAGGCTTCAATTGAACTCGGGAATTTGGGATTATGTGCAAGTGCAGCGCTCGGGCCGCTCGGCGATGCTGCTTCCTTTTCCATGAATGTTCTTTTTTGTTTGAAAATGTCATGACTTTGTTGTTGTTTTGTTCGGATGAACGACATTTTCACTGCGTTTGCGTAAATTGAGATGGTTAAACATTGATTGTCATTACTGAGAATGTGTTTTGTTGTTTAGTTAGTTGAACGAAGAAGTTACAGAGATGGCGCAAAGAATAAAACAAAATCGACCACTTGTTGAAGAAGTAGCAGCATGCATCCGCGAACTTATTCACAAATCTGCATTAGGATCTTTTACCTAGCTAGTCGCCGCTTATATCAGGTCAGCAATGCAGTGAAACGTACTGAGATAAACGCTCAAGGACGTTTATTGTGCGGGGTTTCCTTTCTGGTGGCCGGTCGATGGAGCGGGTCATCTGTCGCAGACGTTCGCAACAGAATTGGCGTGGACATCTTTTCTGGTGGTTTGTGCGACGGGAACAGTGGGCAGGCATAGATAGGAAAGAGCTGGTAAAGGACGTCTTTTTTTTTTTCCAGTTCTGACTCCTTTTGGTGGTGAACTTTGTTTTTGGCTCTTAGCTTGAACATGCCCACAGCCCAAGTCTTCGCAGCTACAGAAGGTGAATTCTCCACTGTCAAGTGATGAATTTGAAATCCTTTTGTTACGAACGCCGCCTTCAATGCGTGACCCCCAGTTTTTTAGAAGGGGAGAAATGGCAACAAACCTACCCCACCCCACTCCACCCACTCCCTCCTCATTGGACGAGTAATGCTGAGAGGCTAGGACATTGCATAGTGAAGTCCAGCGTGTACTTTAAATATTTAAATTATGTTCTTGTAATTAGTCACTCTGAACTTACATCGTACAACCCTTATATGGATGCATTCTTTGTACGTTTGAAAAGGTATATTTAACAATTATTCCTCGGGCCTGAATGGGCTGTGAGTCAATAACCCATGAGGCCGAAGGCCGAATGGTCTATTGACCAACAGGCCATGAGGGCGAGAGGAATAATTGTTTTAGTAAAATTTAACTAGCTGGTCAAAAATATGGAGAAAAAAAAAACTTTTAGCTAGTTAAAGCTAGACTTTAATCCTTTTTTGCCGCCAAAAAGCCCGCGCTTTTCGCTACTGGTGGGCTATAACATATAGCCTAGTAGTAGCTCAGCCAATCAGAACGCAGCATTGATAATAGACCACTTGTTGGATTTTACTAATGAATATTATATAATTATCTTAAACGCTGAGTTTGACTTTATGTAACTTTATTGAAAATAAGGCTTAACCCATTCGCCCCTGAACCGCCCGTAACCGCCCGTGCAGATCCACGTCCTTTCTACCCTTTGTGACGTCATCAGTTTTAACGGTCAAGGACAACTTTGTCCGCTAACTTGTGCAGAGTGAAGAGATCTCTCAAACCATACCAGAATGAGCATAATTCAGTCAAGGACACCGGAGAAAGAGGCAAAAAACCATGTAACATTGACCTGAAAATCTCCATGGAAATCTTGTTCCATTGCTCACCTACCTTTCCTTTCACCTAATCCTAAGATCCTAAAAGCTTTCCTAAAAACTATTCCCACCAAAATGAAGCCTACTAAATGCCCAGCAAGAGAAAAAAAAATGAGGCAAGGAAAGCGAAAAAAGAGGGGAGGAGAGAAAGCGAAAAGTAAAAGTCAAGACTGCTGTGTCACTTTTAAACCCAAAAACTCGAAAAACTCGAAATTTTGCTTTCTGCGCATGCCCGAACTACGCAAGCTAATATTTTACATCTGGATCAGAAGGCCGTGAAGTGTACGACCTGTAAACCGGTTTGTGGTAAGTTTTAGCTCTTTATAGTACGACAGTGACAAGAAAACCACTCGACTAGCTTCAAGACGCGTTTTTCGGCAAAATCTCCAGGAGCGAATGGGTTAAACCGTGCTGGATATCCAACCATTTTTTTTTCCAGATTAAGTGTTGTTTTCTTAATAACCTGTCAACAGACTCCCGGTTTGTTTAAGATAAGAAAATCGAGCAGAAGGAAAATTAGGAAAACATGTCATCTTAGCTAATGGTCACTACTAGTCAGTTATTGATAGCAACAATTTTCAAGACATCCTGACACACTCTTTCACTTGCTGGGTGAGGATATGAGATTTTTCAGTGTCGGGACAAACGAAGCTGTCCATTATTTACGGGTGTCCATATTAAGTGGGTGTCTGTAAAGCGGGGTTCCACTGTAGTGCAAAAAAAATTGAAATTGAAATTATTTCATTTAAATAATTACACATTCTGGGTTCAACGTTGGACATTGTCCTCTAGTAAGGTTTTGAATAGTGAGAAAACGGCCACTAGGTCAAGTGAAGCCTATGTGAAGCGTCGACTGTACTGCTTTCACCATCATTCATTCATCATTCATCATTCATCATCACTCATTAATTTTTCCTTTTCTCAGATTCCAGCCATGGGCCATGGACCCCCCATTTTGGACCGGGTCGATGGACCACTTATATGGACCGGGCCCATGGACCCCTTGTAATGGACCGGGTCCATGCCCCTCCTTAAAAAAAAAAAAAAAAGAAAGAAAGAAAGAAAGAAGGAGAAATAAACAATAAATAAGATGCAAATAAACAGTGTCCAACAATATTATTGCTTTAGTGACAAACTCAGTGACAAGGTCCAGGTTGGCCAGTCATTTTGACCGGTTACGTGGACACAAAACATGGACCCGGGGTCCATTGACAATTTTTGTTTAAGGAGGAATTAAAGGTAGAAATGATCAATAAACATTATGGCCGGCTTCAACTCACAAAAACAGTGCAAAAATAATGTTTGGTGGTGTTGAAAATCGATATTTACATCTTCTTACATGATACATTTACACAAAATGATGGTGATGTACGCTTACAGCCTGACTGTTTGACTCTAATGGTAAGTATTTGCTCAGCGTTAATTGTGGATATTTTTTTCTTTTTGCTGTTGTCTTTTTTCCTTATACAGTTAAATTGACCTTCGTTCTGGATCATGCCCCTTTCCCCTTTTTATTTTGTTACCCGAGAAATAACTTCTGAAGCACAAAGAAATTTCCCCTTGTGTGACAGTGTTATAAATAAACACACTGTAAACAAAATAAATAACAAACAAGATACAGGGCTCAAAATAACTCTTTGATAGAGGCCGGTCAACAAATTTTTGCTCGGTCGTCTGTGGACCGGTGAAATAAATAATTGTTTTAAATTAATAGCTAATTAAGACAAAAATATTGCTCCGTCTGCATCATGGATGATTCTGTTTTAAGAAACGGTCCAGATAAGAACGATAGCAGCAACGGCGACGAACATGTCGGAATGCAAAAAAGGTGCTAACTTTTCTATTGTCTGTACTTAATTCTGATTGGCTTAAACAGCAAAAATTAACAAAACTTCATAAAGCAGTACATATATTCATCCTTACTTTCCAACCATCTTCCATGTAACAAAATCTGGTCTCAGTTTGAATAACAAAGAAATCCTATGTGGGGGACATTTAAAAGTGTAAACTTTTCTTGGCTATTGTTTTCAACTCTTGTGATTGGTCAAAATCTTTTAACCCAAAAAAAACACCCTTTGAAAGTGGAGTGTAAATGTATTTTATTGCGTAAACGACCTTCATGTAGGTTTGTGCATTCTCTGTGTAAAAATGAGAACTTTCCTATGTGGGGAAAGCACCGTTGCCGCCTAACAAAAGAAATTGCTATCCACCGTACTCGGATCATTACTTAATTTAACAAATCACAAAGCCGCACAATGTAGCCCGTCTCATCTGTAGTTTCCAAATTTGTGATTGCAGCTAAAATATTTCATGATTAACAGTTTTTGTAATTTTCAGAATTCATGTGTATACACCATGTACTTTTATTATTCTTGTTATTTATTTGAAAGCTGTCCTCTCAACTGGTCAAAATGACTGGCCAACCTGGAACTTGTCACTAACACGACCTTATTTACTGTTCATTACTTATTTACTGTTCATTTCTCCTTCTTTATTTACTTTTTTCTTTAGCTGGGCATGGACCCGGTCAAAAATGGAGGGTCCATGGACCCCTGGTTCATGTTTTGTCCTCACTTCCTGGGGGTCAAGGGGTTTAATCTCAATTCCTAGAAAAGTCGGATGTCCTTTCTAAGAAGCTAGGCATAGTAAAAACATGTCAAACCACAGGGCACCCACACAATCTGTTTGTGTAGCCGGTGTTATTTTGTATTAAATGGTAGTGGATTTACCGTTTACCTCACCTATAGCGATGTATCGCTGACTATGTATATAAATCATGATACCTTACCTGTGGTATATAGTCGTCCTTTTGCCTCAAAAGCGTTTTTTTGAGCGATTTTGAAGGAGTTTGAGTTCGCCGTTGACTGTTCCTAATAACTGAAGGACAAGGTAGGAATCCTTGTTTTGAAAGGGCTCCAGCGCCGGAGCATTTGTTTCCCCGGAAAATGGCATCGCTTGGCTTTCAAACTTCACAGCAAAAGGTCGAAAACTTCACCCTTCTTCTCGTATCTTCCGATCGAAAATCCCGCCAAAAGGTCCGGAGCTAGCCCTCGAAGAAAATTAAAATCCCACAGTATTCGAGCGGCAGGAATGCGTAGCAAGATTCATATACGTGCCAGCCAGAGACCCCTTGATTGGATGTCGTTAAACAATAAACGCTTACCATGTCTTCTTTAAATCAGTTATTATTTAACCATTTTGTTTAACGACAATCAAAAAGAGGCAATCAGCGGGACGGTCTCTGGCTGGCACCTATGAATCTTGCTACGCATTCCTGCCGCTCGAATACAGTGGGATTTTAATTTTCTTCGAGGGCTACCTTCGAACATTTTGGATGGATTTTCGATCGGAAGGTACGAGGAGAAGCGTGAAGTTTTCGACCTTTTTGCTGCGAAGTTTGAAGGCGGAACGATGCCATTTTCTGGGGAAAAATCGCTCCGGCGCTGGAGCCCTTTCAAAACAAGGATTCCTCCCTTGTCCTTCTATTATAACGAACAGTCAACGGCGAACTCAAACTCCTTCAAAATCGCTCAAAAGGACGACTATATACCACAGGTAAGGTAATTTAACGTTTATTTATCATTGATTTATATACATAGTCAGCGATACATCGCTATAGGTGAGGCAAACGGTAAATCCAGAACAATCGGCTACACAAACAGATTGTGTGGGCGCCCTGTGGTCAAACAATGCCTCATGATTGGTTGGTATTGTCTGTTGCCTGAAGGGCAAAGGGGCAATTACTACATGACAACAACTTCGCCGAAAATATGATCAATCCCTGATTACAACTCCTCGGGGCGAATTCACTTAAAACCTTGTTAATTCTCTTTGCCAGCTTGGAAAATTCGGTTATGGATTCACAAACTTTATTACACAACCTACTTGAAGAAGTGTCCTGTTCTGTGTGTATGAGCCCGTTCACTGATCCAAAAATATTGCCGTGCTTTCATACATTTTGCCTTCATTGTGATTTTCTGTATAAATTCGGGGATGAAGGGAAAGGGGATGGGGAATTCAATGAGCCACGTTACTTATCAGCTGACAAAGAAGGACACCGGATGGTCCGTGATTCTGCGAATGACAGAGTTCAGGTGTTGGAATTAAATGGAAAGTTCATAACAAAGTTTAAACTAATGAGTGGGGGATTACCAACCTCTACCGCTGTTCTCTCTGATGGTACTATAGTAGTGTCTAATTATAGTGACAGTCGCATTCAGACAATTAAATAAATAAATGAAAAGTTCGGCGTCTGAATCAAAGCCGTTCCAAAGTCGTTCCAAAGGCGAAATTCCCGGCCAGGCTAGGCTAAAAGAACGGCTGAGCCGTTCCAAATTGAAGCAGGCGTTCCTAATTGATTCAGAGGCCGAACTTTTCATGTACTTAATTCAATGTATTAGGTTTGGCTCATGAAAAGTTCGGCGTCTGAACCGGGCCTTACCTAATGCATAAGTTATGATAACGTTTTTTCTAAGCAGTTCGACCGAAATGAGCATATTTCTCTTCCTGAATTAAGTTCGGCTGGAATTAAGATCAGCGTCTGAATCAATTGAGCCGGTCCAAATGAGTTGCGTCGGTCTCAATTCGAATTAGGTTCGGCTCATGAAAAGTACGGCGTCTGAACCGGGCCTTAAGTGATGAATGGGAAACCCTCGTGTTACGAACGTCGCCTTCAATGCACGAACCCCAGTATCTTTGCAGGGGAGAAATGGCAACAAACCTACTCCACCCCACTCCACACACTCCTTCCTCCTTGGACGATTACTGCTGAGAGAAAGTCCAACGTGTATTTTGAATATTTAAATTATGTTCTATTTTAGTCACTCCGAACTTACATCGTTCAATCCTTGTATGGATACATTCTTTGTAAGTTTGAAAAGATATATTAAATATCAAATAGAAAAAGAATCGAAAGGAGGGAAAATTAGGATGGAATGCAGCGCATCTTAACTAATAGTCACTACTAGTCAGCTATTGATAACAACAATTTTCACGACATCCCGACACACTCTTTCACTTCTTTTGGGGGTGAGGGGCTTTAATCTCAATTCCTAGAAAAATCCTTTCTCAGAAGCTAGGCATAGTCAAAACATGTCAAACAATGCCTCATGATTGGTTAGTGTTGTCTGTTGCCTGACGGGAAAAGGGGCAATTAACATGATAACAACCTCGCCGAAAATATGATCAATCTCTGACTACAACACTTTGGGGTTGATTCACTCAAATTCACTACCAATTCGGTTATGGATCTACAAACCTTATTACACAACCTACATGAGGAAGTATCCTGTTCTGTGTGTATGAGCCCGTTCACTGAACCAAAAATATTGCCGTGTTTTCATACATTTTGCCTTCATTGTTTGAACGAGCTTCAGCGAACAAGTGGCAAACATGGCGAGGTCACATGCCCGGAATGTCGCAGAAACTATCAAGTTCCTGGAAGTGGATATCCTAAAGACTTGCCGGCCAACTTTCGAATGAACAGTTTGTTAGATGTCATGGCTATTCAAAAATGCAGCGTTGCTGGAGTGAAGTGTGGAAACTGCGAAAAAACAAGTGCCCAAAGTTTCTATTGCTTTAAATGCTGCGCCTTCTGGTGCGACGATTGCATTGCAGCTCATAACATTATCCGAGCAAACAAAGACCACAAAGTGCTGGCGATTAAGGATTTTCAAGATCAAGACATTGAAAACGTGTTAAGGAGGCCAGTATTTTGCCAAAAGGAACATCATGGAAACAAAAAGCTGAAGTTCTTTTGCAAGGACTGTGAAGTCGCCATTTGTAACACTTGTTCTGTAACACTTCACGAAGGTCACGTCAAAGTGCCTTTGCAAGATGCTGCCAATGAACGAAAATTACGTTTGGAGTCCGTGTTAGAGTCTCAGAAGGAGAAGGCGCTTCGGAAAAGAAATATGATAACTAGACTAAAAAGTGAGTGCAATGAAATTCAAGAACAGGTTGCTTGCGTGAAAAAAAGCGCGCAGAATTTGGTTGACAATTTGTTGAGAATCATTGAAGCGAAGAAACAGGAACTATTTAAAGAGGTGGAAGACAAAGCTCAAGAGGTGATCGAGCGTCTGGTAGAGCAACAGTCTGAGGTCGAATACAAATTACGGCGGATCGAGAAGTCGATTGAAGAAAAGGAAAGATTCTTAAAGCGAAGCACAAATGCTGAGATTGTGCAGTTTAACACAGTATTCCAGGAGGAAGTCACTGACGAGGCAGGACTAGTCGACTGTAACCGTAAGGATCTTGGCCACTTCGTGTTCTTTGCAAACAGATCATTGATGGCTAAAGCAAGTTGTGAAGGTGTTGGTTCTTTGAAACAAATCATCAGCCAGACTAAATCCAGCAACTCAAAAGCAGAAGCAAATGGAATCACTGAGATGACTGTTGGACTTGAAGCACAGTTTGTTTTAACAACACGAAATGCTGAGAACGAACAATGCTACGAACAGTGTGATATCGTTACAGTGGAAGTCAGAAATGATGACGGCCGTGAATGCGCCACTGAAGCACAAGTCCAAGATAACAAAGATGGTAGCTACAATATCAGCTACTTTGCCAAAGAAACAGGAACATGCCAGACGTCAGTGATGGTAAATGAAGAACATGTTAGTGTTAGTCCATTCACAGTTCAAGTCAAACCCAGAAAATACAAACCTGCGCTGTCATTTGGAGGAGAAGGCTCATCTGCTGAAATGTTTGATGCACCTTGGGGTGTGGCGGTGAATGAACGTAATGAAATTGCTGTAACTGATCGTGATAACAAGAGGGTTCAGATATTTAGAAGTGATGGAACTTACTTAAGATCTTTTGGCAGAATGGGTGATCAAGAGGGAGAGTTTTTTCACCCTACTGGTATAGCTTATTTAAATAATGGAAACATTGTAGTAGCTGACAGTATTAACAACCGACTGCAAATATTCACTGAGCAGGGGAAGTACCTTACTCAAATTGGCGGTGAAGGAAATCTTGATCATCAGTTTAATTATCCATGCGGTTTATCGGTAGACAGTGATGGTAATATTATTGTTGCTGATGCAGATAACAAACTAGTCAAGATCTTCACACCAAGCGGCCAGTTTTTAAGGAAGTTTGGTGAAGATTTCTTGGTTGATCCCTGTCACTGTATTCAGAAGGATCAATATTTTATAGTATCAGACCATCGTGATCACAGTATCAAAGTGTTTACTGCAGAAGGTGATTTCCTGTATAAATTCGGGAATGAAGGGGAAGGGGATGGGGAATTCAATGGGCCTCATTGCTTGTCAGTTGACAAAGCAGAACACCTGATGGTTTGTGATTACGGAAATAACAGAGTTCAGGTGTTGGAATTAAATGGAGAGTTCATAACAAAGTTTAAACTAATGAGTGGGGGATCTCCAACCACTACCGCAGTTCTCTCTGATGGTACTATAGTAGTGTCTGATCATAGGAACGATTGCATTCAGATAATTAAATAAATACATTTGATGCGTAATTAATGAAATAGCATAGGATAGGCTGGTTATTCAACTCCCCGAAATTGAAAAAATATTTGGTAAAGTTTATTATGTTTTCTTCTGTATAGCGTTTTCTTTGGAACAACCTTTTGCAATGCGTGCTGGTAATTGTGGTCGAGTCCTTTCCAGAAGTGCTCAAGGTTTTTAGGCTGTGAATCGAGCTACCGTAATTTTAATCTCCTTTGAGCAAGATTGTAAATATCGATGTTACCTGATGTTTGGTACATACTTTATTTCACCCTATTTTTTATCAGTAATATAACCCTCCATACGATAATTATTTACACACTTGGCATGTTCTTCGTGAGATTATTTGGTAGTTTATTAGATAGAATGCGAGAGGTCGCCGCGAGAAGTCTCTTATTTTTATTCAATGGTGGTCTTTTAACGTGCTTACCAGGCAAGCAATGAGCGTCAAGGCCCCGAGAGATGAAAAACGAGAGCTTCATAACAAGCTGACGTAACGGGGAAATGGGCGTTTGATGGATGCCACCCTATGACTTCGAAAAAATAAGACTGCTCGTATATCTGCTAAAGAGCATAATCCGTCTACAACAACACTTGATTGTATTTCGTGAGAAACAAGTTCTGGTATCTGTGTAACAACCTTTCCTGGATTTCCGAATTTGTTTATTTAACATATATGTTGTAGTTAATTTTTTATCTCAGGTAATTTTTGTTTCTCTTTTCTTTTGGGTATGCTAATGTATGCTAATGACAAAGTTGAAACAAAAGAAAAATAAAATTACCTGAGATAAAAAATTGACTACAACATATACAAATTGATTTTCACTTGACACCTGTACGCGAAGCATGCTGAAGCTGATTCTTGCGAGGCTTCTGATGATAACGTTACTAACCTTCCGTTTAGGGATAAGGCGAGTAAACAAATGAGGGAGAGGAGCCAAAGGCCTGACGAACATCCTTTCAAGTAAGGAGATTTTAAAAACACAACAGTCGAGCGTGGATGCACATCCATGCACCTCGAGATTATTGAGTCTACCTTATGGCTGATTCAACGATAAAAAACGAGTCAAGTATTTCATGAAAGATCAAATGCATTTTTCTCCCAGCAGTAGTTCATCTTATCTTAGTTTGCGATTAGGCTCGTGTGTTGGGAGTTTCTGCTGCATATCTCTCGTTGCCTTTCATGCGAGGAATAGCATAGCTACATTGTAGGAGTGACAACTAGGAGTGGGGGGGGGGGGGGGGGGGGGGGGGGAAGAGAGGTTAGATACTGCTCGCGCAAAACTTTGCTACTACGCTGCAGACTCAAAATTCTATTATCATACTGTTATCATTTCTTCATAGGGTAATATTTTCAACCTCCTCTGACAAATGTACGCTAAACGTTCTACCGCTTCTTAGTACCTGGGAAACGCTATTCCTGAGCATGTCTCCAATCCCTCCAAGAAAGTACCTAAGTAGTTCACTAGAGAGAAATTCTAGCTCCGCTCGTGGGACCACTTCAGACGCCGTAAAAAAAAGGTTACCATCTTTTGGGCGTTAAAATGCAGAATTTGATTTGAGGTTGACGTTAGTCGTCAACCTTTTACGTCCAACGCTAGGTTTTATGCAGCTCAGGCCCCTGACGTTCTTAAAGAATCCAAAAGAAGTGAACAAAATTCCCGCCTTAAAGGCAGTTTGCCGGTCACGTGACAGGCTGTCACAAAAACGTTATTTCAATAGGTTGCGCAGTAGGTGGCATTTAGAGTGTATGCAGGCTATCTAGAGTGCGGGAAAGCTTTTTGGTTGAACCCGCGAGGAAAAATCAGGCCGCAGGGATCTGAACTTGACCGTTTTCCCTATTCTTCTCACGGCTCTGCCTTCAACACGAAAGCACTTTTGCAAAAAACACGCTCGTGCGCAATAATGAAAAAGGATTTGTAGCGGCGAATGGCGGCACACCTTGACATCCATCACGATAAAACAACAACTTAAACGTTTAATCATACACGAAGCGTCCCTGAATGATTCACAAGTGCCCCACAAAATGACCATCACAAGTATCGATTAGAATTACAGCGAAAGAAATCGATTAACGCGAGGAAAAACCTTAACAAAACGGGTTAACAATACACTTGAGAATATTTATATCCCGTGCGCAAGCTCGAAATAACGAAGGGAAATTCCGCTTAAGATCCCGCTAGCACCGGAAGACCAGTAGTTACAGGTCATGTTCGTACACCAACATTGCAATTAAATAATTTATTGTTGAACTAGTCTTTATTCTATTGAACCAGTCCCAGTGGAATAATTTAATTCATGTCACTACAGTTCCCCTATAAAGCACAACACCGGCTTTCGATTCGATCAAAGCCGGCCACACGTGATACTTTATTTCAAGAGACGTCATGTTAGACGTCATGAACCGTCCGTGAAGTTTCTCTGAGAACTCTGTGGCTTCGTGTTCAATGCTCATTGGTGGAACTTGGACTGCCAGCATCCATGACAAGCGAACGCATTCATCCATGTATTCTTTTAACTTCACACAGTTTTGTAATTCTGGAAAATCGTACAAGGTGCTCCATAGTTGTTTGCTTACATCCTTTAAAGCCAAAAAGAAAAGAAGTGTTAAAAACCTCCTTATGAAGTTATTCGCCACCTTTTTACGCATGTACGAAATGATGGGGTTAAGGCAACGTCACGTGGTCTCTCGGAAAGAAAACAGCTGACTGAAGCCACGTGTCCCGCTGTCGAAACTGTTTATTCCATTCACATAAAAATACAACTTTTCTAAGTCAAACAAAATGTATAGATTGAGTTTATATCTTCAAGATTTCCCTTATTGTTGCTTG